TAAGTATTGGTTGAGATAATCAGTGTTAAAGGTGGTAGACACGTAATTCGTGGACCACGCCGTGGGGTGGACCGCGCTCTGGTGTTTGACGTTAAAGCCCCGACTGGACTCATCGCCTTCACGGTACGTCTCACTCCACCAGGCCGTCCGCACGGAACAAGCGCCGATATCTTTTCTTCACGGTCTGGAAATATATTTTGTCTACTTGACAACCATACCCCAGGCAACTAGCTTGTATCGCTTTTCAATTTAGGGTCGCGAGCCTCTTCCCTTGCAGGCACACATGCAGATAATTGGCGGCATCCGTCGCATAATGAGGCCTCGCTATCTGAAGTTATAACCGCCAGCAACGTGAAGCACTCCCTCGACACGGGCGTCTTGGAGCACTTTCTACCACATCTACTTCATTGAGTTGGGCTATTTATCCGGGCTTATTTTCTCACGGCTGAAAATGACATTGACTCTGAAGACCAATGACGAGTTCTGATGGAATCGCCCACGATCGCCTCCCAAGAGTCCGCTGTGCTTCGTGTCCAGCTTCATCGACAACCCCTGAGGCGAGCAGCAGAATATCTACTTCGTTTCCGCGGCAGCGGGGCCTCGAGCGTCCGTGAATCCAAGAACTGCCGGGCGCAGCCGGCGGTACGTATCATCTGCATCTCCGACACGCACAATCTGCGCCCTACACTCCCGTCGGGCGATTTACTTATCCACGCGGGAGACCTCACAGAGTGGGGCACATTTGATGAAGTCCAGGCGCAACTCACATGGCTCTCGTCTCAACCATACGAGCACAAGATCCTTATAGCCGGTAACCACGACTTGCTATTCGACGGGGTATTCCTAGAAAAACAACCAGAACATAAAGATTATCAGGGCCGCACAAGACGCGACCTCGATCTCGGCTCGGTGACTTATCTACAAGATGAGAGCATCAGGCTATCATGCGCAGACGGCAAACGCGCCTTGAACATCTTCGGATCACCTTGGACGCCCCAGTATGGCAACTCAGCATTTCAATATCCACGAGAGGAAGATGTGTGGAGCAATCGTGTGCCCTCATCGACGGACATCCTCATTACACACGGCCCGCCGGCCAGATTCAACGACATCAGACCTTCTGCTGGGTGCGTCTATCTTCGTGCTGAAGTCGCGAGGGTCAAGCCTGAACTTATGGTCTTCGGACACATTCATGTCGTTCGTGGCGAAAAAAACGGTCATGTTTGATGGGGCGCAGATTCTACACGACGATATTGTGGATGGGCCACGAGGGTGGGAAGCTCTTCCGTTCATGGCTATTGCGGTCGCATGGTCTCGTATCCGACGACTATTAGGTCGTCCAGTCAAGAGCACGAAGATGATCAATGCAGCAGTGGTAGATGGGATGAAGAAGGATGTTGCACTGGATGCTTTTGTTATAGATTTATGACGGCGTTTTGGCCGGTGTTTGTAATATATTTCTTATATTCATAGCATGTACAAGGCATAGACAAGCGAGACAAAGCCTCGCATGAATTTCTTGTTGAGCCTGAAAGAGTCGGATGTCATTTCAGCGGGTTACCACTTCATCATTTGGTGAATGTGATCTTCACAGACTGTTGGAAGGCCGCCGAGCAAGTGTAACGGATGATGACGCTCTGGTCGTTTGCGTACCTGGGGGACAAAATTAGATTAACTCGTTGAAACATTGTGTGTCGAGAGGACGAACCAATTGTCATCGTATACGATTCCATAAGTAAGGCCAGAACAGCTCTTGCTAGAATCGTAGATGGTGGTGTAGTCGCTCCAGGGGCCTTGCGGATTACTGCTGGTGCGCATGCGAACTTCGGTGCTGAGGCCGCTGGCAGGGGTGTAGACGTAGACGAACTTCCCGAGGTAACGATTGTACTTGACCTGTCCTTGACCACCATCTTGGACGGACTTGGAGTTGGTATCGATCAGAGAGTACTGCTGCAAGGCTTTGATACGTGCGTTTCCGTAGACAAAGCTGAATGAATACAATCAATATTCGAGCCGTCAAGCGACGATAGCAATCAGAGCTCACCCGTTCCAGTATTGGTAGGCACTGGTGTTGAATGTTTGACCAACAGGCACGCGAGCCATCCACAAGTACGAGCCCTTGGAGTTAGTAGTGTTCGATCCGCCCTAATTCCTGTCAGATAAAAATATACCGACGTGAGATATCTGATCGGAGAATTCTCACCATAGCGTAAACATAGACACCATCGGCGTCGAGGAAGGCACTGTGGTCGCCATACCACGGCTCAGTGGGGCCATCCCAAATGTAGCTATGAAATGTCAGATGAATTTATGCAGAATCATAATCATTGGTACAACCCACTGGGAAGTTCTCAGACAGGTCGGAGTTCCAGTCTTGCCATCAATGGTGACAATCCCGGTTCCTGCACCTACGATCGATCCGCCGTAAGGAGTTCCTGGTCCACGATAGTTTGGAAGAGTGAAGATCACTCCAGCAGTTGCAGAGATTGGAACCACGTTAGTAATTCCCATGCCCCATTTGCTAACGATATACGCATCAGTTAGTTTGAAGACCATGCATCTTTCTACTAAACTCACTCCGCGGGCTGTAAGAGTAATTAGCAGAGGTGTATTGAACAGACAAGATAGCACTCACCTCATAATCGAAGTATTTGCAGAATTGACTTGGCTTGCTGGAGTCTGGTGTGTCCTTGTATGAGACGGGAGACAGTCCCAGACCAGCTGAGTTGGCTGAAATTGGAGGGCAGACTTGGCCCGGACGACACAGACCAGTGTCACCAAAGCTGTTGATGACGGATCCACCAATCTTGCCGGTGAAGCCCAAATCACGGGAGGTGCTCGGGTTGTACGCGTTGGTGTAGTTGCCTTTGCACGTCAGCAATTGACGTATCATACTTTACAGCTTATCTAAACGTACCAAGAAACTGAGCAGAGACAGTCGGGGCTCGTTCGGCGATGACGCCCCCTAGTGCTGGCAAAGCACAGCTCAAGATAATAAGAGAGAAAGCCATTGCAGAGTAAATCTTGAGATGGATTTTGAGGATGTAAGATTGATGAAAAGGGAAGATGTGAGAACAACAAGATGTGGCGATACAAGTCTAATTTATGTCTCTTTTCTCGCCAGTCTAGAGACGACACTGTTCTTTACATCTGGCATCCCGCATCATGAATTCCCCGATGTATCGGTGGCTGAATGACCCACAGTGCTAGGTAGGATTGAAGGTGCGTATTTTGTAAACGAGGCTTAGTGCTGACAGGATTTGGGATGGCATGTCTGAGGCTTTTCGTCCGCGGCATCTGATCTTGATATACTCGGTAATTTCACACTGCCACAGCGACACGCACTCGTCTAATTGTCATGCACTGCGGACGGTTAAGTAAATTGAGCCTACGGGAACTGCGACCGAGCTGCCATTTTGTTGTTTGCAAGTCCCATAGTACTCACGCTAGCATCTCTTACACCACTCCTTGGTGATCCGATCGAAACTCCGAAGACCACCCGGAATAATGTCAAGAACTTAAGCCATGCCGCGGAGATGATCTGGCTGTATGCAACTCCTGCGAGGAGGATTCGAAGCCACTGCTCCAGGACTAATCCCTCTGGCGAGACGGGTGGTGTACACACAGTGTTGGTGAGAATGAGGGAGGCTTATTCCTGGATCGTCTTTTATGCCGTTAGACCATACCTTGGTAAGCACAAGGGTGAGCTTATATTCTATGGTTCACCGAAAAGACTAAAGGTTCGATCGAATGAGTTCAGTCGAGGTCTTTTTACTGAGACTGGAGAAGGTCAGCCGAGTCTAGGCCATCTGGACTTTGATACTTGCGCTAAGGCAGAGAGTCGCTTATGTTCTCATAGTGCCTTCGTGAAGGATGATGTGGGAACCACCACCTCATCTAGCCTTCGGCCAGTCCGGGACTGTGTGAAAGCAATGGTGGCGATTTACACAGGGATGACGCAGAGGTCGACTGGAAGAACCTTTGATGTCGATTTGAAGATAATTTCGCCTGATCGCGCTGGCGACAAGCATACGCACGTTAAAGATTTCCTATTGTCTCTCATATTCACCTCGCAAGAACACTTATCTGAGAAATGGAAGGTGGATGCTTGCAAAAGGTGCAGTGCAGTGATGATCACCAAGCCTCCTGTCCTGCAGGCGTAAGCCATGTGCTGATATTTTTAGCCATGGTATACATACCTAGGTACCTAGGTAGGTATCTAATGGTCGATCTGACGCGGGGACTAGTGTATGATCCATCCGATCAGAGACAAGACGGTTCCAGTTGCGCTCATCGCCAGATTGATGCCTCAGGCAATAAGGCGACCTCGGAGCGAGGCCAACCGCGGCTGAGGTCACCTCAAGCGTGATCATGCGCCACGTTCTGGGTGCTTCTATTGCGTAGATGACTCGTCGTGATAGACATCGCCGTGAAACCGATTTATAAACAGCAGTCAAACTACTTCCCCTACGGCAAGTTCAACAGATCCTGACTCCATCATTTACAAACACCACATACCCCATCATGGCGCCGAGTGCGACGTTGCCGTTGGTACCGTTGCCACACTCGCTGGTCCTGCTACCCGGCGTCACGACCAAGATTCCGCTACAGAACCGTGCAGATATCGCCGCCATCCTCGCACACATTTACAGCAAAGCTGCCATTCCACGGCCTGAGCCCTCGAGTGTCACTGTTGGGTGCGTTCCGATCAACAGTCCATACCTCAGCGCCGATGGCAAGCGACTCATCGAGGACACCGATGCGAAAGGCAAAGAGAAGGAGAAGAAGCGGGCAACTTCTCAGGTAGACCCTGCCTCGGCGCGCAAATCCGATCTCTTCCAGTATGGAACTTTGGCACGAGTCACGGGAGTGCAAGGCCGTCGTGCTGGCGAACTAGTACTCGTGGTGGAAGGTGTCCGACGATTTAAGATTGATAAGGTCTTCCGGGAGCGACCATATTTCGAGGCCAAGGTGACCGTCTTCGAGGAGGAAAAGGTTGCTGAGAATGATGACGTCGTTGTTGCTCAGTTTGCCAACCTGAAGCAACTCAGCCGTGAGCTGATTGCGCTTATTCGATTGTCTGCGCTCCTTCCACGAGGGCCTAGCATGTCACTCTCACCGATTCTCGCTCGACGACTAGAACTATACATCGTGCGAAAGGATCTACAGGAAGCCGGCATACTGGCAGATTTCATGACCAACGTGGTGGATTGTTCTCACGAAGAGAAGCTGCGCATTCTGTCCGCAGTCTCGATCCACGATCGCCTGACACGCATTATCGAAATTCTTCAGACCCAAATCGCCAGCATACAGAGCAATAGCCGAATTCTGCAAATCACCAGCAGTCAGGACACAGCAAAGGGTGGCGTCATCGACCTCGACACTCTTAATCAATTGCGCAGCGATCCTCGCTTTCGAAGAATGAGTGGCAACCAAGGTCCCGGAAACGGCCTACCTCCAGGCATGGGCGGTGCGGGTGGACCTCAGGATGATGAAAACAACGAGATGGACGAGCTCAAGAAGAAGTTGGCTGCCGCAGGTTTAACTCCCGAGGCACAGAAGGTCGCAGACCGTGAGATGAAGCGCTTGGCGAAGATGAATCCTGCACAGGCTGAGCACCAAGTTTGCCGGACGTATCTCGAAAATCTGGCAGAAATTCCATGGTCCAAGATGACCGAAGACAATCTCGATGGCAGCACACTTGTCAAAGCACGAAAGCAACTTGATGATGATCACTACGGACTGGACAAGGTCAAGAAGCGGTTATTGGAGTACCTTGCCGTATTGAAATTAAAGCAAGCCGTCAATATGGACCTCGACAAGCAAATTCAAGCCATTACTGCCGCCACTCAGGCAAAGGAGACTACTGAAGAGCAGCCTGCTGCTGCAGAACAAGAAAGTGCTACCACTTCAACTGCGCTTGTTAAGAAGGGCGCTCAGCGGGAACAGACATCAGAGGAGGTCAAGATCCTCAAGCACAAGAAGATGGTCGACAAATCGCCGATTCTTTTGCTTGTTGGGCCTCCTGGCGTCGGCAAGACTTCACTAGCCAAGTCAGTCGCCACCGCACTCGGTCGTCAGTTCCACCGTGTCTCTCTTGGTGGCGTGCGTGACGAAGCAGAAATCAGAGGTCATCGACGAACATATGTCGCTGCCATGCCAGGTCTCATCGTCAATGGTTTGAAGAAGGTCGGTGTGGCCAACCCGGTAATCCTACTCGATGAAATCGATAAGGTTGGCACATCATCTATTCACGGTGACCCATCAGCGGCTATGCTAGAGGTGTTGGATCCGGAGCAAAACTCTACCTTCGTCGACCACTACGTCAACATTCCTATCGACCTCAGCAAGGTTCTGTTTATCGCCACCGCCAACAGCCTCGACACCATTCCAGCTCCTCTGCTTGATCGTATGGAGACCATTCAGCTTTCCGGATACACTACCTTGGAGAAACGTCACATTGCCACCCGCCATCTCATCCCCAAGCAAGTTCTCACCAACGGCCTCAAGCCAGAGAATGTTCAGATGTCAGACGAGGTCATCGACAAAGTAATTACATCATATACTCTGGAGTCTGGAGTCCGGAATCTGGAGCGAGAAATCGGCAGCGTGTGTCGTTCCAAGGCAGTACAATACGCGGAAGCGCGCGATACAAACACACTTCCAGCGTTCTCGCCCATCGTCACAGTCGACGATCTTGAGGAAATTCTTGGAATTGAAAGATATGAACAAGAGATCGCCGCACGAAACTCTCAACCTGGCGTCGTCACCGGCTTGGTCGCCTACAGCACCGGCTCCCAAGGTAGCATTCTCTTCATCGAGATTGCTGACATGCCTGGCTCTGGTCGTGTGCAACTTACTGGAAAGCTTGGTGACGTGCTCAAAGAGTCTGTCGAGGTCGCTCTCTCATGGGTCAAGAGCCACGCCTACGAGTTAGCTCTGACCCACGACCCCAGTGAGGATATTATGAAATCGCGATCGATCCATGTTCATTGTCCCTCGGGTGCTATTCCCAAGGACGGTCCATCCGCTGGCCTCGCACACACCGTCGCGTTGATCTCACTCTTCAGCGGCAAGCGAGTCCCGCCTACACTCGCCATGACCGGCGAAGTCGCTCTCCGCGGCAAGGTCATGCCCGTCGGCGGCATCAAGGAGAAGCTCATCGGCGCACTCCGTGCAGGCGTAAAGAAGGTTCTCCTCCCTGACCAGAACCGCAAGGACGTTAAGGATCTGCCGACTGAGGTCCTCGAGGGCCTCGAGATTGTGCACGTCCGACATATCTGGGAGGCTTTGCCCCATGTCTGGCCTGGTGCTGAATGGCCGGGCCAACGTGGCTGGAGTGGAATGGAGAGTCGATTGTAATCATGCTTTGCAAATTCTAAGAAGGGAAAGAAGATTGAATCCATTAGCATCTGGCCAGTCGGCCTCATATATGTTCTTTGTATTTAGCAAGCTTTTTTGATTGTATTTGAGGGTTAATACATTGATCTCGATGGAGACGAATCGTTTCTGGTCCTTCTATGCGCACGTTAGCACCGAACGTCTTCTCGAGAGGAAATTTAAGACCCCGTTAATTGATGGCTTCTATAGTGTCGCAACTATGCTTAACGTTTGTAGCTTTATTTCGCCATTAATACAGGCTAAACTTCGTCTTTTCCTATCGCTACCGACGATATACACTAATTCTCGTTTGCTCGCCCTGCTAGAATGTCTTTAGCCCTTGCATCCTCGAGCTCTGCGAGTATCTGATTGCGGTACAGTGGCATGGGATCCGGACGGAAATTGTGATTCAAATTGTCCCATGTTCGGAGTTTGTCAGTGTTGATGTCAGCTCCAGCACTGAGGAGCACTTCGACTATACTGACATGACCGCAGCATATTGCTAGGTCCAGCGGAGTTCCATGAAGAAGGTCTCTGCTGGTGGTCCCTGCTGTTGGGGTCGTAACATCAGCCCCTGCATTTATTAAGGCATGTACTATTTCAACGTGTCCACTAACGACAGCTGCGCCGAGCGCTGTCTCATTCTCGGTCACCTTGTGGCGCGTATACTTATAATAAGCCCTAACATAATGATACTCGAAAAGAGCTATGGTGTTGGCGTCCGCTCCAGCGTCCAGCAGTGCCTTCACTAGATCAATGCGTCTCAACTTGCAAGCCATGATCAGCGCACTTTCTCCCGGTCCACTGCGACTGTTTGCATCGATGCCACGATCAAGCAGCATTTTGAGAGCCTGGTAGTCTCTTGCAGTGACCGCCTTCTCCAAGGCGCGTCCATTCTTTCTCATTTGTGCCAAATGCCCACTGAGCGAACTTATGGATATCTTGCTCCAAAAGGACTGCGGCTTTTTGTTCGGAATGGACCGTGGCCCTTCGCTCGAAGTGGACGTCGACGAAGAAAGATCGTTGAGTAGGTGCTGATGCTGCTCTCCAAACCTCTGCTTAGTATCATCGCGAGAATGAATAGCTGCGACCAGACGGGCGGAGGCGCGGTCTTTTCCTTCGCCATATATGACGCTCATCGAGACACCTACGATGCCAAATAAGGCATAAATCATGTCTTCTTCCCGGGTTGTGTCCCTGTTAGTCATCCATTTCATCTTCTCTTCGAGGCGCAGGTTCACACTTGCTCCCCAATCTCCCAGCACTGCCTCCGAGATTCCAGTGATCGAGGCGATCGCCTTGGCTATATTTGGCCCTGTACCCTGAGATCCGATACCCTTGTGTCCAATGGCGCGCCAGTCGTGGTCTACGAACACTACGACGCGCGGCGCGAGCAGCTCCTGAAGTGTCCAGCCCCTCCAGAACCACTGGTCTTGCTTCAATTGTTCAGGCGTGTAATTACTTGGCAGGATCCCAAGTCGCGCGACACAGACTTCGGCATTCCGATACCAATCGAACATTGAGTTGATGGCATACGACAGTTCTGCATCACTTTCTTTATTGACACAGCATGTGTCTATCCAGAGCCATTCTATCGCTGGGTAAGATTGACGGATGTACTGGGCAAATCCATCGATTTTCTTGTATCCGGAATAGTGCTTGTTGCGGCCTTTCCTAAGATCCTTGAAGCTGCTTTCATCCGGGGCCCAGCGATGAGAGGCAATAACATACTTCGGCCGCTGGCGCGCATCGAGGAATTCAGTTAGTTGTAGTGTTTGTACATTGATGAGTCGCATTTTAGGCCGATTGTGCGAAGGCGGGATACAGATCAAGACGAGATCACAGCGTTACGAGGTTGTCAACAGAAACTCGAACGTAAGAGCGCACATCCATAAGATCAAGACGAGATCACAGCGTTACGAGGTTGTCAACAGAAACTCGAACGTAAGAGCGCACATCCATATCACGACAATCGGCTGCGAACCACATAGCGGGCGGCGTGACTCTCTCAAGTCGTACCAAGCCACAATCTGCAGCTTGCTCAGGTGAGGTTCTTTCGAAGCCCTGGAGTGATGAGATGCATGAGATACGTGGATTGTGATTAGTCATCGCAGTCCCGCAGCTCCGCGATTTGAGGTCGAAGCCGGCAACATTTTCCCTGGTTGCCAATACCACAACCTCACACTCCACGCACATATATTTCTCGACGTCGACCACGACTTCACGACTCCCGAACTTCGCGCGCTACTCTCCAAATCAGCGATCCGCAAGCCGAAACCTTCCCGAAGAATTTCCCAGCATCACATCCAACAACCATGGCCGACGCCCAGCTCTACGAAGAATCCTTCCAAGTCTCGCAAGTGAACAAAGATGTCTACGACCGCGTGCACCGCATCGACGCGACCAGCCTGGACAATGCGACTAAGCTGATCCTCGACATCAACAGCGAGCTCTACCCCATCGAGACGAACGAGAACATCCAGGTCCTGATCGCATCGACGTTGAACCTCGACGGCAGCAAAGACGAGATTGCGAGCGGATGGCGCGGGAACAGACCGAATGAGGCCTCGTTGGCGGATATGTGGGATTATGTCTGTTACGGGAAGGTGTATAAGGTGGAGGATCCGGAGACCGGGGACAGGATGTGAGTTGTTCTTCCTTTTTCCTGTTGGAATGGGGCTGGTGCGGAGACTTGAGTGCTGACAACGATTGCTTCCGTTTCGCAGAAAGGTTTACGTCTCGTTCGGAGGCTTACTCATGTGTCTGGACGGCCCCTACAAGAAGCTCTCGCCGCTCAAGATCGACTACGTCTACCTCCTCATGAAGAAATAAATGATCGCTCGGAAAATTGTTGAGCCACGACCGTCACGTCACAGGATCTGGTCTTTGCACATTCCCAAGGCATACTCTGGTAATTCATGGGTATCATTATCATGCCTTGCTCTGCTAAACCGGATGAAATCCTACTCTTCACCATATTTCACGCATTGGTAGCCGCGAGATTGCGAGCTGTTCCGACTCCCGGCAATGGAAACTCCAACTTCCGATGCAGTCTTGACACGATCTCTGTGTAATTCTCGTCGTCCTCGTAGGACAGGAAGCCATGGCGGACGAAGAAATCGAGCAAGACCAGTGCGCAATTGGGCTTGAACTCTCCATCGCGAAGGGCTTTCTTGACCTCGGCGATGCTTTGCAGCTCAAAGCCTTCTACTTCATCATCAGCTGGCTTGGGAATCACATCCTCGGCCAGCTCAAGATCATAGACGTACTGCACCTCGGGCTGCAGCAATCTGGTCTCACCTCCTGCGCGGTGATCGCGAATGTGGAAGTATGACACGATGCCCGTCGCCTTGGCTCCTGCTCGAACAGTGTCCTCCGACAGACCGGCTTCTTCGGCGCACTCTCGGACCAGCGACTCGAAGGGCTTTTCTCCGGTCGCAATGCCGCCGGCCACCGTGTTATCTAGCATTCCTGGGTAGGTCTGCTTGTTTGCAGATCTCCTAGCGACCCAAACTTTGATCTCTTCTTTGCCATCTTCTCCTTTTCTCTTGGTGTATGCTGTCATATGGCAGCCGTATGTGACTACCCCGAACAGGGCAGTTGCTGCTCTTTCGATGTTGAAGAGTACTATCCCCTTTGGTCCATATACAGGGTAGAGCTCATCTCTCCATTTGTTCAATACTTTGAAATGACCGGTCGCGGCCATGGCCTTGGTTGTTGAAGCTACAATTTTGCTCCGCTCTTGCTCATTGCTGCCTCCGTCGAGCGTGAGACTTCGCTCGTCCTCGCTCAATGTCCAATCCGGTAGACCCTTGAGGACATTCGCGACCGAGGGTAGAATGTATCCCAATTCATCATCCGGGTAACCTTTGACGTATAATGCGTAATATGTGTTGATATGAGCGAAGAACAGGTTTGGGTTGGTCTGGTAGTGCGGAAAATTGTCGCATTCGTTTATGAGGTCGAGGTTGCTTTTCGGTCCCTCTGCGATCGGCACCGGCTCGGTAAGATCCATTGTGATGGGCTGTTGGCCGTCGAAATCGGGCATGACGGGGTTCTCTGCTTGCTCGAAGTCTTCGTCGGGGTTCATGGATCGGTGGGCGGTGGGCCAGCGGGGCATCTCTTTCGAGATCATATCTTTGAGGCTGTTGAAGTCGAACGACATGGTGAAGATATCGAGGTTGTCGATTGAACGTAGAGCGATTTGAAGATGTGACTGAAGTCAATATTGTTATGCCTTCGAGGGTGATAGACAAGCTATGACAGATGACTGTAGGCCAGACGCATTGAGACAAAGGTGGGATGACAGACACCCATGCGGCGAGACTTCCTCATTTCAGGGTCCGATCGGTGCAGCGGCCGATCTCTCGAATGTCGTGCATATGTGAAGCACAACCCAAAAAGCGCTAGGGTTGCCAATTCATGCTGGAACATTCTTGAAGAGCCGGCGACATTGACGAGCTATCGAGTGTATCGCAGACATAAGATCAAGAGAGATTCATCGTTTTTAGACTTCATCAAAAAGTTCAATTGAATCCTCAAGCAAGCAAGCAAGGAACCGAAATAACGGTAACCCCACCCAACATGTTCGGTCTCATCATTTCCGGCCGTCCAGTCGACGCAACCCCCCAAGCCGTGACCGAAGCCCAATTCGCATTCAAAGTCCCACCGAGTCCAACCTTCAACCACATCGTCGTCTTCCTCCTGCCTGGGACCCAACTTCCACCGGGGACCGCCGCAACCGTCTACGTGCAAATCCCGCCCTCCCAAGAATTCAAACTCCTCGGCGCAATTGGCCCGGGGAAAGAAAGCGCCATCTTCAAAGTCAGCGGCCTCAAATCCGGCGCCGCCGATCCCGATGGAGACGTCATGGTCGACGACATCTCCTCTTCCTCATCCATGACAAATCCATCATCATCGGCCGCAGGAGATATCGTCGTCGGGGTATCCATCGAACCTGTGGCAAACGTCGAGGCCCAACTCGCGACCCTAAAAGCAACACAGACCAATCCTCCATCTTCGGCATTGGTCCGGACGAATCCTCCGTCTTCCGTCAATGATGCGCGGGTGACGACGAAAGTCCTGGCGCAGAGAATTATCGGAAACGCATTTAATTTCCTCGCGAGTTTCGGCAGCGATACCGTGCCCCTGAAGGCATTCCAGGACTGGTGGACGAAATTCGAGAAGAAAGTCGAGTTAGACCCAAGTTTTCTTGAGAGGGAGGGTTGAGAAGGCGAGGAGGGCAGTGTTATCGAGAGAAGTTGTTTCTCTCCAGACCGCCTCGCTTTCGATGCAAGTGTACGGCACGATCATCGTCCATGCCCATACAACTAAAGAGAATTTAGAAATGGTCGATTCGAGCCAGATCGACGACAAACCTGAGAATCATTCTCGCTGATGACTGACCGGAAGCTCAATAGCACCGATTACCAATGTCCAGATGGATTGGAAAAACAACAAGTTCATTTCAAAGGCTCCAGGGCTCTTCTCAAAAAGAAGAAGAAAGAGAAACAGGAAACAGAAGAAAGAAAATCGAATCTCAATACCAACAAGCCACACTCCCTCTCTCCACACCCCAGGAGGTCAAGCCGAACCCCCCACCACGCCCAAGCAACGAGATCAGAACCGATACCAGCAAGATCCATCGCCTCGCTCTCGCAGCCGAGAAGGAACAACCAGGAGATCAGAGATTTCCCCCTCCCCCTCTCGCTTCCTCTCGAACGCGTTGCAAACGCGGAGTTGGAAGGAGGGGAGGGTGGGAGGAAAGAGCTCAATCTGCAACCGGAAACGCGCCTCCCGAGCCACGGTGGAGCGAAACGTATGGACCACACGCCTTCTCGGGGTCTCGAGTCGCTGGGGGCATGGTGTTGGAATGGGGGCCGACGACACTCGACTCTTTCCACCTCCACCAAGACACAAAAAAGGAAACACTCCGTCAACGCCGCCCGAAAAAACACAAAGGGGGTATCATCCCAAGCGAAAGACAAAAACTCCAAAACCATGCCGAAATGCAATTGCGAAAATTCTTCGCTTCCCATCCCAAATCCAAAGAACTCCTCTATCCCATGCTGTTCGTAAAAGTGCGTTTCTATAGTGATGTAATGAGAATCAATTCTCAAAGTTGTAATTCTCCTGTAAAGCCACCGTTCAAGAGAACAGCGGCAATCATGCGTCGGGCAAGCGGCATGCGCGCATGTGTGATTTCTGTGAAATCTCTACCCTTGGCGCTGGCGAGGCCATTCAGACAAGTGAAGACGCCACAGTCGTCCATGTTGCCCTGTCGCGAGCTGCGGTCGATGATTTCGGACCAGTCGTCGGCGTGGTAGGCGGAACCGAGCTCCATCGCGAGCCAGTCGCGGGCATGCCGGAGGTAGCGAGAGCCCTTGCCGCCGAGACTGTCGAGATATTCGATCGCGTGGTCTTGCGGGTTGATGACGAGGAGGGTCCAGTGAGAGCCGCCGTTGATGGGGAAGAAGATTTTCTCGCACTGGAGGAGCTTGGCGCCGTTGCAGTCCATGCGCTTCGACCAGCGGGCGATGCTCTTCATGCCTTTGGCTTCGACGTTGTTGAGCCAGGCGGTGTTCATGGCGGCGAAGGGAGGTGGCGTGGCGGAGTTCTTCTTCCAACCGATTTGGTCCTTTTTGGCTTCGACTATGCCTTTGTACCAGCCGTTGACGGCGTTGTCGTTGAGCCAGGAGTCTGTGCCTGAGCTGCTACCACCCGGCGCGATGACACGGTCGAAATCCTGTTTGTACAGAGGATTGCCGTCGAGGAGGGTTGCCACTTGGCGGCTGGGGTTATTGATGGACAAGGTCTTGTCAATGGTCGCCGTCCAATGCTCACTGAGAGGTTTGATCAGTGGGTCGGTGATTGCGATTGAAGCTTTGAGTTCGGCCTGGCGCTTAGCCTCAGCCTCGACCGCATCGAGCGCATTCAGCTTTTCTTCAGCTTCAAGTTGTTCCCTCCAGATAGCTTCTTCTTTCTCCTGCTTCTTTGCTTCGGCGGCCTTCCTTGCCTCTGCAGCGAGGCGAAGCTTCTCCTTCAAGGATATGCCGCGCTTCACAGGACGGCGAGCGGGCTGCTTGGAGATGATGTTCCGCGAGATCTCGATGAGCTGAGAAATTCGCTCTTCGCGCCGAGATGAGATTTGTGCCTGTGTGCTTGCAGGCATCGGCCTTCTAGGCGGACCCGGCTTGCGTCGGCGGGATGGATCATTTGGTGAGATGGCGACGCCTCGTTGCTTCGCCTCAGCCGTGAGGTCATCATGAATTTGTTTCATTGTCTTGCCATCACGGATGATAGGCGCTTCCCTCGGGGCTGCAACCGTGCGAACTTTGTTTGTCTTGATGATTGGAATAGGAGCATGTGACAGCTCTGAAGGCACGTCACGTGCAGGCGCTTCATCTTGAGATGAAGACTCGCCCTTGATCACCTCGATAGGCTGTGTAACAACCAGCGGTGGCGAAGAAAGAACAGGCGATGAACTTCTCGAAGATGGCGAGACGGCTCTGCGCTTGTGACGATTCGTGGGTGACTCCACTGCGACTCGCTCCTCGTCATATTCTGTCTGGCCAAATAGTCTGCGCCACCATGACTGAATAAATGAAGAGGCCCTCGAGAAGAGGCTGACCGGCATTCCATTCACTTGGCGCACAGGCATCTCTGTGATAGAGAGCTGATCGGATGGAAGCTGGACGTTAGCGGATACGACTTGCTGATTGTGCGAAGGATAATCACTGGAAGATTGCATGTCATCCATCTTTCTTTTACGTGGAGGGCTAGGCTCCACCAGAGTATCAGAGGATTGCTCGAAAGAGCCGGGGAGTGAGGACTGCTTTGGTCGAGGCGGTGAAGAAGGCTTGTCGAATAGTGTTCGTTGACCTTTTGGTTTGAGGATCGTACGTGATTGAGCAACCTCTTGTATGGGCTCAGGCTCAACTTGTGGTGAAGAAGGCTGTTCAAACAGAACCAGTTGGCCTTGTGGCTTGAGATCAGTTCGTGGCTTGATGACCTCTAGATCTGGTTCGGGCACCGGCTCGCGGCTCCTCTTGATAGGTGGTGTTGGTGGCGGAACAGTGGCATTCTGTGGTAATGATACATGGAATGCTGGTGGTGTCATAGGCACTGGAGTGCTGATGTTGTCGGTCTCGGTGACATCGAGATCAGCGACGTCAGTATTCTTCTTGGGAGTATTGCGCAGAGTATTTTCGGCAGCGACGGCTCTGAGTAAATCCGAAGGGCTACTAGCCTGGATCTGTTTCTGCGCGTCTAAAATGTTCTCCCACTGCAGGCGCTGTTCATGGGTTGCAAGAGCGCGCTGGGGACGAAAGGAGGAACGCAGCGGCTTTTGAATCGAACGCGCCAGGGTGGAATGGCGGGCAGGATGTTGATAGTTCAAAGGAGGAGTGAATTGAACCTTGACTGAGTTGGAGTATGTGATGGGTTGGCCGAGCACATCATGCATCGTCACGTCAGTGTTAATGGCGGGAGCGATGGCCGGCGACACGATTTGTGGGGGAGCTTCTGTCATGGCCAGATCCGAGTCGTCGGGATTGAAGGGCGCTAGCGGAGGTATAATCGGGCGGACATAATTCCGTGAGTTGAAGCGGCCTCTGCTGGTGTGGAAGTAGTCGCCGGCGAGATATTCGCGAGGTGATTCAAGGTCAAGTCCATCGTATCGTGACGGATCTTGAAAGCGGTCGACCCAGCTTTGAGCAGACATGATGGCTCTTTGTCTGCTGTGGAATCCCTTGCAGATGTAGTACTGCAAGGGACAACTGTGGTCTGGTCTGCGCGAGGAATGGGATTGCTTTGTTTCGACGCGTCTGGTATGCGCAAAAGACACACCGAAGTACAATCTTTCCAAGAAGGGGTGGTTTGATCGATGAGGGTCGGCAAAAGTGTCTCAACAATGTTTCAAGCTTGGCAATAGAGGCTGAATGGTATAACAAGTGTGCAAAATGTGCTGGTTATCCAAATACGCATGTATGTGCATGTGTGTATTCTGTAGGTTACGCGCGTGCAACGGACAAATATCTACAATTTGCTGCTGCGGGACCGCCCATGTCCAGCCACTTTTGTAAACAACACCAAACCAACCATTCATTCTCGCGACGCGCCTGTAAACAAACCAGTCTCACATTCCACGGCAAGTATAAGCGAATATGATGACTGAGAATATGAGGCAGAGTAAGGTCAGAAAAAAGTCTGAATAGCGGGACAATTGTGAGAAGAGAATGATGCGTATAATAAAGTCAAGAACAACAGAGGGAAAGTGAATGATCTGCAATCTCGGGACCAACAAGCGAGCGGCTCATCGTCAATCAATTGATGGCGCCGCCATCCACGTGTGGGTGTGTGTGCCCAGGTGTGCAGGTGTGCAAGTGCGACATGTGTGTGAGAGAGAGACTTGGATGTACTGTAGGCGTTTTTCAGCATCCTTCCTCTTTATTACATGCAGCAATGACATTGACAACCAAGACTGTCGGGGTGCACGTGTACTCTTCAATGTAATGATAAACCATCTCTTGTAGCCTTCGCCGCCATTTTTCATCATTCCAAGGTTGTCTACATCTACCCAAGGTACTGTTCGTCGCGCAATTGTGCGTAATGATAAATGCCCCAGATCCGTGAACGTTGGAGAGGGGGTGTGTCGATGACCCTGCATACTAACCGCCGATAAGGCGAGACTGCCTGCCTAAACACCACCACCACCACGCCTCCCTTCCCTTTACTGGCCCAAAGTATAATGCCGCCTCCTTCCTCGAGTGGGCTGCTTCATTCACGACACAACGCGATGCATCCTGACGTTTCGTGACCTTCACTTCTCGTCGCAATGTGACTCATTTCGTGACATCTTCTCACCTTTCTTCGTCGCCATCTACCAACGATTTACATCCCACGCATTACATGTCATTCGATGTGTAGAGTCCTGCCGGACACTCCATGATGCCACCATGGCATTCCTAAAGCGCCTCTCGAGCAATTTCAACCTACTCGCCTACCTCTCTCCGAGCAAGCCGGACCAGGCACATCAAGCCGATCTTCTCCAGAAGCAAGAGAAGGTCGGTCACAAGAGGAAACGGACGTCTTCTGCAACGAGTCTAGGCGCCAGCAGCAGAAAGCGACCTGCTCGATATGCGGATTACTCGCCTGTCGCACACCTTCAGCCGCCACGTCTCAGCAAACCACTTCGTCGTCGGATCTTCACTCCGCTTGATCATGATGTCTCATATGAGGAGGTCGTGGACACAATCGAAGCCAGTGACGAGAGGCTACCAGGAGATAAGGAGGATATCAACGTGACGCCTATCAAGCGCGAGAGAACAGACTCGCCTATCCCCAACGAGGAGGAGGACCACAACGACGAAGTCCCATTCGCAGAAGCCGCATGGTCAGAGAATCTCGACGACAGCGCCATCCTGGACGAGCGCTCCTTCCACCTGACCAGCGGCCACCACGCCGTCGACGACGCCCTCATCAGCCCCCAAACTCACCCGCGCATCATCCACGGGCCCGAAGATCTTGGCCAACCGCATTTCTCCACCTCCCATCTCCGCTCCCTGGGCAAAGACGAAGACTACATCACGCTTCTCCACCGGATCGTCCTCCGCGGCTACGAACCTTTGCTTCCCGCCCACATGCGTTTCGATTTCCCCTTCCTGCCGGACGAACTCTTCGCCGCGAACAACGACCCCTGGACCGGCGCAGACTCCGGCGCCGCATTCCTCAGCTCCCCCTCGCCTCCATCCTCCTCCGCGCATTTCCGCGCAACCAAAGAATTCGATCATCTCATGGACCTTAGCAGCCGTGTCCGCGACCGGGTCGAAATGGCCGAGCATTTTACCATTCCACCCACACCGGAAGAAGCCGTCCATCGCCATCTCTCCCGCTATTACAATTTCCTCTTCGATGACGCGGGGTTGGATGCACAGACCAGAATTCCCGTGCTGGCGATGGTGTTCGGGGGTGTCAAGGATTCCGCTGCTCTGTTGAGGGCGGAAGCGACGAGGAAATGTGCGGCTTTGGCGGAGCGGTGGAGGGGTGCTCTTGCGGGGATCGGAGGAGATGATGCGAGGATTCCTACGCTGTATGCGATTGTCGCGTCGCATACGATTATTGCGATTATGTCGTATTCACCTCGACAGGATGATGATGGGTCTCACAACGATGAAAATCGCGATGAAGATGATGAGGAGTCAGAGCCGCAGTGCGCTGGCATGGCGATCTTGGATCTCTCCGACGCGAACAATGCCGTCTGGGATGCCCTGGCGTTGGCTTGCGTGGGCTGTCACGCGAGGAATGTCATGGTGCGGATGGCGCGGCTCACGGGTGTTGGACTGCTACGGTTGGAGGAGGAGGAGGTGAATGGTGAGAGGATGGGAGCTTCCGAAGAGGAGGATCTGGATGCTTGATGGCATGTCTCTCGCATTTGCTTTGTGGCGGGAGGCAGGTCCTCTAGGGTTGTTGAGGTTCTTTCACCTCTCGTCCTGTCTTGCGCTTTCTCGCCGGTTGCTTTGTTGTTATACTACATGATACCCCCCCCCCTGGCTACTCCTCCGATATCGAATGAATACATGTTGATATCACGATCGGAATTCTCGAAGACATCGTCATCCTCCTTCCTAGTATGTTCGAGAGATTTAGCTATGCGCGTGTCGGCAGTGAGGCGTGAAATGAGAAATCTCGTGACATGGACGCTGTTATTGATCTTATCGAAGTCGCCCTCGGTGGTGAAGAACATCCCAGTCCTACGACGCTGAATCTTCCTTGACAGCCGGACTTGTTGCTCGTGAGACCCCCGATTCTTCTCAATGCCCATCTGACAATCCCTGTGATAATCTCCTCTCCTTTCTACTTAATACGTGTGGACCAACCATGTCTACCTTCACTACTTCCCAATGTTATAACGTCCCATTCTCCTGTATTTGACACCTCCTGCTCTCTTCGAGACTCGGAGGGTGTGATGTGTTGCTAAGGGTTGATGTTTCCCAGCGGGATTAACCTAAACCCTAAGAGTTACAACGACCGCATCGCTTGCGATTCTGCTTCTCTCTGTACCTAGGTATGCTAAAACTAATGAAAGGCCATCGCTCAAGAAGACTGAGAACGGCCTGAAATGCTAAGGGTTGCAAAGATCTAGATGGTCTACGAATACTTTCGAGAGGTATTCAGTACGCTGTCTTTTCCCATACAATGCAGTCTTTGGAGTTGATCCCGATGGCTTGGAAAGAGTTAAGGATCTACCAAGCTGTGTGGGCCATGTCGATTCCATTGAGTACCTAGGTATCTATTCGATAACAGCACATGCAACCATCATCGAGATCACTTCGGAGCGGAAGTCATCTTGATATCCACCGGTACCGCCCTCGCGGCCAATGCCTCTGTGTGGCGCGCACGAGCTAGGCCACTACAAAGCGAAAGAATATACCTAGGTACCTCACGTAAATGGCTTTCACTTGCTTGATGAAACAAATTGAAACACACTAGGGCCAGCATCAAGAAGATTTGGCCCTTGGCGCGTCTTGCATGAATTCGTTCATCACCTGTATGCAGATAGCGCTACTTGGGCATTGTGGTACCTACTGAACAAACGAACAGGGCAGACGAGAGAGCAAGACTGGGTTGGTTGCTACTGCTGACTGCTTCTGCTGCTGTTGGTTGCTGTGTAATATATGTGATCTTGCTGAACGATTGATGCTTTGTGGGAAAGGTGTTTCGATAATTGACTGTACTAAGTTCCAAACGCTTTTGTATTGCCATGGAGAAGGAACATGTTTCTTCACCTGCAGGTCTTCTAGGCTATTTGTTACTCAGGAGCAAGGTGAGGATTTCTTGCAAATGACAGTCGTATGCGAATCATGTGAAAGCACAAGTTGCGCAGTGAAACGGCACGCGAGGGGCGAACATGTACAGGTGGAGGGCATCGACAATGGAATTGTTGTTACCTTGGACTAATGGCAAGTGCCCGAGGAACACTGCAGATGTGCTAGCAAGTCAAGGGCAGGTCCGCATGATTGAGCGTGGCTGCGTTCCAGTTTCGAGGTGAAGTTGCACATGTCAAGGGGCAGCCTGCCAAATTCGCCCGGAAACACTTGACAATGTCAACTTCAGAGGGGATTCTGGATGCTTGACATATGATAGTTCATTCGCAGCTCACAGCTACTTTACAAAATTTGAGTCTTCCTGACTCTTTTACCCTCGATCCCAGCGCCACCAGGATTTCGCCGCCGTTTGTCGACATTTGTCGCCAGTCCCAGAAAGAGCCTGGGACATTCAAATACCCAGAGAGGATCCAAACTCGACTCGCCGAACATCACCACCTCAGCTCGCGGAATATCACCACCTCAGCTCGCGGAGTATCATCACCTCACCTCGTGGTCACTCTCCAAAGTGGGGCTCCTTGACACGTGGGAATCGTCCGATTCTCATGGAACTTATGAAGCTATGGCGAACGAAATGGCTGGTGTCGGCCTCAGAACGGATCGAGTCGCGCCGCCCTCGGGCCTGCTCGCCACTCGCCATAGAAGTTGACTCAACACCTACCTACAGGTGGGTAGGTAGACTCCTTTTCCCCCCAGCTCAAGGCAATCCAGCTCAACCAATCCCACGCTCGACTGGCCTTCCATTGATTTTGAATATCCCCTCCCCTCCCCACCCTACACACACCACGACGGACTTCTTCTCTTGGCTCGCCATTGAGGCTTCGAGACTGATTAGACTTCCACTTGTATCTATCTTCTTCAACCTCAACTTGAGACGTTGCTTGGGTTCAATCGATCATCGCCACCACTCGTCGACAACTTTCGAGATTTGCCCAAAATTTCTGACAATTCCAGGGAATTTTCGTCTATAACACTTTCTTTCACGCCGGGCGGCTGACATGATGGAAAGCTGGCATTCGAATGCTGGTTATCCATTTCTTCCCAATTCACAATCACTTCCAAACTTCTCGTCGAATTTCTACGCCGATGGATTAACCCATGCTCCACCTGACCTGATCGACACAGAGGACGATGAGTACTTACCTCTCAATCCGAGTGCATCTAAGAAACGTCGAACCACCATCAAAAGCGCAGATAAGAAGACCCGCGGAACATCGAGGGACCATGGAAAACGTCGACGCTCACCTACTTGCCTCCCTGTCAGCCCATTGACCACGAGGGTCAAAGGGCTGAGATTTTTCAGTCTTGAAGAAGCTAACGATCATGCGAACGATCGCGTCACCCTGGCTCTTGATCCTAATGTCAAGGACGACCTGATGAATGTCAAAAGGGACGCCCATCGTCACGTCATGAACCTAGTACAGGCTTTCACGACGCAAGTAATTGATGAGCCGTCTGAACACCACCTGGATCAGATCGCCCTTACAGCCTGGCACCAGTTTCAATCAAACCACGTCGAGAAATGCAAACGTTACGCAGGTAACGAGACTGACATTATCGAAATCTGTGCTTGGAAGGTCTACGGAATCGTGATGGACATTCATCAAAATGGCTTGCCAAAGCTCAATAATATCCCGCTCGACAGGAAGTCAAAATGCTCCGAGCGCCTCGAACTCATCACGAGCTCTGTCGCAAACTACGCTATCGTTCGCTACGACGTTCTTCGTCTCGTCAAGCTGAACGAGCTTGCTGCATCACCGTACAACTATGTCTCACGCAAGATCACAAACTGGAAAAACAACGAGCACAAAGCTCGTCGCGACCAGGAGAACGCCGACGCAGCCGCTCGGACTGGCACAGTGTATCGCAAAGTCCTTGGCGACCATTCTCGTTCCACTCCAGGCAAGAAGATCATCGTCAAACGCGAGTCACCACCCGTCACGCCGCCTCGTCTGATCAAAGTGGAGGCGAGTTTCTCCAGTCAGGATGAGCCTCGCACGCCTTTTGCGCAGAGTGAGTCGTACTTCATCGTGCTTACTTGCCCATATCATTCACTAACGGCCACTCACCTGCAGCTTCACAAACCCCAGACTCCGACGTCAAGCGCTCCCTTATCGATGAAGCGGCCGGCGATCTCTACTTCTCCAGCAGTCTAGACGCCTCATACGATCTGGAGGACATCGATCCTGTCCTGCGCCTCGCCTGACGATCCAGCCATCATTTCCATCGGCGGATTGTCGCAGCAGACGCCTCTCAAGTACACCTTCCGTCACGTTGCGGAAAGACGAGACACAGAACCCTACGTAATACACAATTGCAGGCAAGATCTGTGAAGAGGTTGAAGTGCGCGCTGCTTTGATCATGTCGTCGAAGTGAAGGGAAGGGAGGTGGGGGACTTAGTTGCATATGGCTTGATCGAATTCAGTGGAACGCAGTGAGAATGTACTGCGGCAGAGGTGGGGAAAAGATGCACAAAGTTGCTTTGAATGCTGCTGTACAGATGTGGAGAAGCGAGAGCATTCTACAGTTAATGAGCAGGATTGAGAGAACAGTATCGAGCTATCACCAAGAATGAAAATCAACATCGTCCATGACGCGAGACGTTCCTCGACTGCCCCGAGGCGATGTGTGCGACCCATGTATGGTAGGAGCGCCGTGACGTGTTTCCAACAATGAGTCGGGGACAGTGAGGATCAGAATTCATTCGAAGAAAACAAAATCTTTACTGTACAAGGAATTGGGGATCGTAAGCGGAACATGGTAGGGGTCGAAGTCTGTCAAGTCCACGGATAGCGTTACCGACACGGCGAAAGCGGACGTCCCATCACCGTTGACCGAGGCTTATCGATGAAGGGATCTCGGCGATGAGGTGACCATGTCATCCCGAAAGAGAACGGTGGATGGACGGACCAGAAGGGGCAGCGGCGAACACTTATATCACGCCGTCTTGTTATCCTCCACGCCATCGATCTCCCCGTCGCCCCAAGTAACCTTGAGACCGTCGAGCCACTCCTGCTGAACGCTAAATCTCGTCTCCATCAACGCGTCCGTCAACTCCCTCGCCCGATCGCTGACGGGGAAAATCTGGATGTGCTCATGGGTGCTACTGCAGCCCTTGCAGTAATCCAGTTTGTCGGCACGGAGTGACGCCATGCACGTCTCGCAGAAGCAGACGTCGATGCAGATGCGGCAGAAGTGCAGTTCGTGGTAGGGCTGGGTGAATTTGTTGCGGGACGTCGCGCAGCCGTCGCAGTGCCACATGTGCTCGAAGCCGGCGTATTTGATGTTCTCTGGTGGGTTGGATTCGGGTGTCTCCTTGGAGGAGCCTTCGACTGTATCGACATTTTGGTTGATTTCAGCTGTTGAGGTGTTCTTCTCGGGATCCTCCTCGGCTGTGTGGCTGTCATGATTCGTTTGCGCATCGGCTGCTGTATCTTCACCTTCATGCGGTTCACCGAGCGTTAAATCATATCGCTTATCACCTTGATCCTTTCCATTCGTGAGGTCTCCATCGGCATCGTCGTCGAGCGTTACATGTTCGAAATCTTCAATCTCGTCTTCAGTGTTTTCCGTAGTGTCGTCAGAAGTCTCTTGGGTTCCATCAGCAGCGTAGGCGGCCTCCTCGAGGGCCTCCTCGAGCGGTCTCATGGTGACTCCAAGGGCAATGCGAGCGTTATCGAAATCATCAGCACAAAGCAAAGCTCGACCGAGCTTGGCATAGGCAGATTGATCATTCCAGGGATCGTTGTCGCTCAATAGGTATAGAGCTTGCTTTATCGAAGGTCGAATATACGCTTGCCAAGTAGCTTTCTCCGCTCCTTCGTATCTATTGAGCCATTCTCCCATACACAGAGCAGGGAAAGAGGCTCGCACATATCGCTTGCTGCCCTGCTGGTGGTACGCAAGGCCGTCGAGCTGAGCGATGATGGATTTGGGGCTTCGGCCTTCAGCCTTTTCGACGATGGCGGTCTTGAGGTAAAGCATAGCCAGAAGATCGGCAAGCGTATCTCTGTGCCACCATGAATTTTGCTGCACCGTCTCGTCTCCAGCATCGATAATTTCGATCACTTTCTCACACAGCTCGGTGACGTATTTCTGCTCGTCCGACATGTCATTGAGCCACCTGATGCAGGTCACGATGACCCAAAGGTTTCCAGACTCAGAAAATGCTCCACGTTGGAGTGGAACCGCGCGTTCTGTACTGCTGCGCATCAAGGGCACAACCAAATCTCGGCCCAGTGAGCGACATATCGTCTCGAGCTTCTCGTGCATGTCGATGTCGTATACATCATCGAACTGCGATCGGAGGAAGACAATCCACATGGAACGGTCCTCTTCGCCTGTCTTCTTGGCATCCAGCTCGTGCACAACTTTGAGGATGTCGTCATACTGATGAAGATTGTACAAAGCCTCGATATAATTGCATATACTGAGTCGCGTGTGATGATCGGCGACGGTCCATGATGGGTACCAAAAGTCGAGACCTCCTTCATAGGCTTGCCGGGTCACACGAAGGGCCTCTTGAGGATCTCCTAATTCTCGTTGCCAAGTACCCATCTTGCTGCGAAGATGGAAGTCTATACCTTCGTAGTCGTCAGTCTTGGGGAGCTGTTGAATGGCCTCGTTCATGAAGTCCACGGCTTCTCGATAGAGGCCCATGTTGCCATGGCAGACTGCAAGTCCCTCAAGCGCAACCCACGCGCCTTCTGCCATACTTCTTGCCTTGTTGAAATACTCGATAGCGCGCTGTGTATGGAGAGTCTCGTCGGCTTCCATCATGATCCAGGCCACCCCAGTGTACCAATGCTCATTTTTCGGTAGATCGATGAGGTCTGCGATCTTTTCGATGTCCTCAAGCGGAATGGATCCACCGTAGTAGAAGACGGGAGGATCTTCCTCATCAACGCCATCGTCACCCTGTATCAACGTCAGCGAAAGCGGACATGTACCGAAGTGGCCCACTTACCAACGAGTTGAATGCATATAATAGCCACGACTCAAACTCAGACTTGTCCAGATATGCTGGATCGTCAAAGCCGGTCTTGGTCAGCCAGCGGGTGGCGCAGGTAGACACCATACCTTCAAACAAGGCTCGAGTGGACTTCTGCACACGCCTTGCCCAATCTTGGTGACCCTCATCAAGATCTTCGATGTGATCGGAGATTAGACGTCGGACCACTTGGAGATATCTCGGAGTCTCAAACCAAATTGCCGTGAAGTTGTCCACATGCCCGTAGCTCGAGGAAACGAATTTCTCGCCATCTTTAAACAGGCTTGCAATTGTACGCGCAAGCTTGGTGGACAGATCGCCTCCAATGGCCCCGTAGTCAATGTCCAAAAGGTGCTTCGGCCAATTGTATCGCGCGTACAATGTCAGTCCACCGACATTGTACTTGTCGGCGATGTCTGTCGCCAAGATTCGAATGCATGCCGCCACGATACGCAATTTTGATTCATTTAAGTCGTGGTTGAACAAGGAGCAATCATCCCAACGTCGCGTCGCAGGATCGCACTCAGTTGTCAAGTAGTCTCGAATGCGAGCGTGCGTGAAGGTGACGACACCATCATGCCAGGAGTCGGCGATCATATTACCAGCCTCGAAAACGGTTTCGCTCTCTCCGGGCGCCGCATCGTCCTCCACTGTATCGCCTTCTGTGTCATCGTCGGCAATGTCCCCTCCCTCGGAATCTTCGTCGTCAACAAAGTCAAAGTCGTCATCGCCATCATCATCCTTGTCTTCTTGCACCATTGCGGCCTCCCCACCCGCACTTGATTCATCATCTATTTCTTCACCAGAATTTCCGGTAATGGTGAAAATGCTGGAGTATCTGGTAAGAAGATCCTGCTTAATCGAGACGCAGTGTTGGCCGGCTGTGAGATGCAGAAGCACAAAGAGCTCCGAGATAGTCAATTGCCGATAGGTGCACAGCACCCATGTCAATAGATCGCGCAAGTAGCTCTGCCTTGTCTGCTCCTCATTGTCGAATCGCTTGAACACGTGATGAAGCATATCATCCAGTCCATCTGGAGCCTGAGCAAGGGAAGTCTTGACTGCCTCAGCAGAAGGCAGATCACGGATTTGGTGGAATACAAGACTTGCCCACAAGAACATGCCCCCCGATCTGGATTGAACGACGGAGTAGATGTGCTTTGCGAGGCTCTCGCGCTCTTTCACAGCCTTACGCTTTCGCAAAAGCTTGAGGACGAGGACGTCGCCGAGATTCTGCTTGATGAACGCACCGATGTCTTTTGAATTTCGCTCTGGCGTGATGATAATTCGACCGGAGCGATACCAACCGATTTTGTCGAATCCTGGATCGGCTCTCACGTCAGGTCTTGCAAATATTGCAATTTGGATCCGGCAGCGCGTCCGATCGGTGACTCGATTGGTGAGCTCGGCCATACATGCGAGAAACTTGACTCGCTCTCCTTCTGGTGCCTCATCGAGACCGTCCACGATGATAAAGGCCAAGCTCGTCTCACCCTGAGTCGAACTTTCTTCGGTGAAAAAGTTCAAAAACAGAAGTTCCCAAGCCCGACGCGATGAGGCGAATGCATCATCTTGCTTCAGAACCGAGAGAACATGCTTCTTGAAGCGCTTGTTGGAGTTCACGATCTGTGAAGCCGCTGCTTTCCACATCTTGGTACAGTCTTGAAGTTCAGGATTGTCATCTTTGAAGTAAAGGTAACTGACCGATGTCAATGAAGGTATATCGGGATGTTGTGGGAATTTTGTCTTCAATACTTCGACGGTCCGCGTGGCCAGCATTGTTTTGCCAACTCCAGGCTTACCAAGAATCCACAGGATTGGAGCCTTTTCTTCTTCCCAAGCTTGGAACATGGGATCATCTTTGATCCAGATGCCGGTGCCTTTGGTAAGTGCTTCAGCGTTTGTATTGTATTTGGCTGAGATATGATGAGTAGCTTCCGTTTTCAGCGCTGCGCTGATTTTGGCCTCTTCTGCTTCGCTGAAAGCCCGCAGGCGCTCATTTCGTTGATTGGTCAAGACCTCACTCACGCCCTTACGCACTTCCTCCTGCGCCTCTTGAAGCTCGCCTACAGCATCCTGGACATCGCCGACCCGAGCAAAGGTCAATGCTACGACCAACCCGAGTTCGTCTTCAGCGAATTTGTGTAATTTCTTGATGCAAGGGCTGATGTCATCGTCCGTGAGAAATATTGATTTGGCCCACTGCTTGATGCGTTTGCGCCGCACGACCTTCTCAACTTTCCCCATGATTTCTAGAATGTATGCCAATATCTGAGCCATCTTAGATCGCAAAGACTTCTCCATAGTCGAATTCTCATACTCCTTGAAGCGCACAGTGATATTCTCGATATGGTCGAAAACTTCTTCGACGGCATCATAGCATTTCGTGACCTTCTCACAAGCCTGCAGCAAATATGAGGCGGCTCCTAAAGCAATCGCAGCGGGTGCGTAAGGGCCTTGTTCCAAAGGTCCCTTCAGAATGGTGAAGATTGGTACCAAAGGGGTGAAACATCTGTTCAATCCTCGATACAGCTTGCGATGTTCCTTGCGGAAGGTTGTGAAGCTCTTCTCGTGTTCCTCAATGTAATTGTCGAGATCGGTGAGCGTCCTGAATTTCCGGAATGTAGCATCGCCTTCCAATTTTCGCTCGGTCTCAGCCTCGTAGCCGACGACGGCATTCTGCCAGACGTCTTCAAAGCCGTCCAGGGTATCCATGTTGAACAGTCAGCTTATTCTCTTCAACGATCCAATATATTGAGCGAGTGCCGACTCGAACAGGGTTGGCGAAAGCGGAACAATTCGACATTGTACGATCACATGGAATCCAACAGCTTATCGTGCATGCCATGTAGTGGGGCGTGTCTGGATGCGCGTCCAGCGGCTTCGTCGGCCGCCACTTAGAAGGATTGCCGCCTGCATATTGAGATCGCATGTTCATAGGATAAGGGAATACAGCAACGAGGTGAATTTTCCGACGCCTACAAAACCTCGCCCAATTCTCATCGAAGACTAATGGAATCGTGTATATGAGCAGAAATACTATGCAAGCGTTTTCAGCTTGATCGATCGTCGAAAATTGCGTGAGACCGGTCAGAAAGTCTACCTTCCCCTGCAGTCGCCCATGTGGTGATTGTCGTGGCAGCTCACCTTAACTTTCGATTTTCTCACGTCAAAACCTACAGAGAACGAGACATTATGTGTATCTGCTCATCGATGGAACAACTTAACTTCGAGTATTCGTGGGAATCACCTGCGGGGAGTCTCATAGTCGTATCGCGGCCTCCACTTAATTCCGGAGTGCGGCTGAAGTTCGGAGGTGGAGTACCTAAGCGAGCAAGAGCTCGCGTGGACAGCTGAATCAATGTATCGCCGTGCAGTCACGTTTCTAAATCGGCACGTGCAGCAGCGTACTTGGGCACCTGAACTCAACTCCTCCAGCTTCGAGACACGCGCTCTCGTCAACATACATGTTGGTGACGTTGAAAATGCCAATTCATCATGTTGCATCCATCAATTCATATCCTCAGGCCATACTGATATGATCTGAGATCCCACCTAGTAGTCCTCCAAAAAGCCCTAATAAATCATAAAAAACCAAAACTTCAAACCACGGCCTCCACCGTCGTCGTTACATTTCCCTTAGTAGCCCTCGAATAGGGACAAACCTCCTTCGTGCGAGCAATGACCTTCTCCAACTTCGCCTTGTCCACTCCTTTGGCTGTAACCTTCATATCGACGCGAATCCCCAAATCCACCTCCTTGAGGCTGCCCACAAGGTGCACATCGCACTCGATCGTGCTATCCTCCGGGATCTTCACGCCCATCTGTTTCGCGGTGATGTTCATCGCACTCTGGAAACACGCCGCGTAGCCTGCGGAGAAGAGCTCTTCTGGGTTGGTTTTGCCCTTGACGGATTTCCCGCCGAGCGCGGACGGCATGGTCAGGTCGACCACGAGGCCCTCCGCGCCTTCGATGTGCCCGTTGCGGGCACCCGTCGTGCGCGTGTGGGCGGTGTAGAGGATCGGCGCGGTGTCGGTGTTGAGAAAGCGTTTGGTTATGGACGTTGGTACTCGTGTGGCTGCTCGTGGGGCGAGGCTGGCTGTGAGACGGGGGAGAGTGCGGAGTGCTGCCATTGTGATTGATTTGGTCTCGCTTGGGATCGGATTTTGACTTGGAAGGAAGATTCTTGTTTAAGCTTGGAAGAGATGGGATTGATCGAGCAGAACCGAAGACTATCGATGCTATTATACTGCCACGCTTATATAGACAGTAAATTGAACATCTAGAACCATGTCCACGGCCGCGAAACATCCGCGGGTGCAACGAAAGCTGAACAATGACGTCGTTCGGAGGTCTGGCTCGAAAGAAGTCAATTTGTAAGGATTTATTACTGCTTGCGGAATAGTCAGGTACACAGTTTAGCGTATCGCTCTCCGCCGCACTTGGTCGGAGGTGAATCACCACCGACGGCGATGGCGGACGTGACAAATAGAACTGATGAATTATGCGAAATGCGAAACAATAAAGAGTTGCTATTTTGAACTTTATACAAAACTCTCGGGTGGTATGGCTTTCGCAATCCGACGAACAGCACACGGAATGATTAATTTTGCTGCTGCATACTTTGCTCCATACAAACCCGGATCGTATATTGAATCTTCCGGCGTAGTGCCTCCTCATCTTGCTGTAGACGGGCATCGCCAGTCGGATTTCCTTCAGCTGACTGCCTCGAAGTCGTGATTTCCAAGCACCTGACCATCTTTCCCATTTGCTGGAGGTTGCTTTCGGCGAGTTGTGCAATTGCAGCGATCCGCAGCAGAGGCGACGAGTATAAAATGAATGATCCATTGCGCAGGGCTGGTAGTGTTTTACCAGGTTCTATCAGACCACGCATGGGAAATTGAGACTCTTTTCGCATTGATCCGAACAACGTGGTGTAGATTTTGATGAGTCGGCAGTATATCGATAAGATGAAGAGGAATGATGAGCGATCCAGCACTTGTTCACTGGTTGCACGCAAGACGTATGAGTCCCGTCGGGTCGATGTGTCATGGTTGTAGAGTTGTATCATTTCTGCCATTGCCCTTGCAAACTCCTGGGAGAGGGCAAGGGTGTCATCGACTGGTGATTCTCCTTCCGCAATACCATATCGCGCTGCCCGGTTGGTCGTTCCAGCTAGGATGAAAAGACGCAAGCCAAGGCTAGATAGCTGTTCGAAAAGCATTCGTATCTCGACTCGACGTTCGAGTCCATGAGGTGGCGACACACCCGTAACTTGCATCACAGTGGGATGTGTTGAAACCATCTTGACAACCGAGTGGGGCTTCATGTCTGGACTTCGCCAGCATGCTTCATCTTCTCCCCACATTCGTGGCCTCGAGATGTCATGATTTCCTATGTCGCCGGCGACAGTTGCAGTGTTGAGGCTGGACAGGTTATAAGATGCCGGAATATCTGAAGCATTGATATTGGAAGAAGTACTCGTGTTGGATGAACCATGACTGCTACTATTCCTTGAGTGTCGTCTAAACGCATTTCGTGGTTCTCCAGTCGTGCATATCACCCCCGCTCTGACACATCGCTGGCAGTCCTCTTGTGTAGAACCGCGTCGACATTTGAGCTTCTGGCCATGACAGCGGTCGCACGCACGATGCAGTGTGCTATTCGACATGTTTGACAGCAGGAAAATGCGATTTAGAAAAGGAGTTCAACATTCGTCAGCACCGTCGCCTTGATGCGCCTTACCTTTCATTTTTCAGAGGGACGATGACGTGCATACTAGGAGCAGAGGTCCTTCGACCCATGATGACTTACCTTGTGTCACGTCTTGCCCTGTACAACTGGCACGATGAGACTGTAAAGTGCGAGAGTATGTCGACGCCACTTGTAGCCACCACAAATGGTACCATCACCCCGAGTAGTCTGATCAAGCGCCAAGACCTGTAAGGCACCACTTGTCAAGAATACATATATCAACTTGAGAAGGAAGCCCTCGATTATGAGGCAGCCAGTGGCCTGCAGGCAATCTTGTATGCTAGTGCCGGATTTTGCTGCACCTACGAGCAGCCAGCGAGAGGAGGACAGCCTCCGCCCGCAAGATCTGCATTTCATGCTCGCGCATGTGGTAGAATTGCAGTGTAGTATTCTTGAAGCGAAGCGACATGAACTATCGGATTTGATTCGCAGGAAGTCATGAATCCATGTGTTATGAACAAGCTGCGTAGCTGGGCATCCCGAGATCAGTGTGATTGTTGGGATTTGAATCCTACCACCTTCGGAGGCCGTCACACGATATGCATATATCCATCAAGCTTCTCCAAGTTGTCGCAAATGGGAGAAGATCTGACCACTATCAGGGACTACTCCTCTCGAAATGCAAGCCATACATCGCTCTCGCACGTCGCGCGAAATTTGCGTGAGACGCATTAAGAACATTGTGAGTCTTTTCAAAGATGATCGACGAGGAGACGCACGTCGTAGGAACGATATAGGAAATGATGGGCGAGAAGGCTGGTCCTGTTCCGAGGCAGAATTGTTGAATGGGTTGCAGCACGACAATGGGCCGTTGCGAACTGCGCAGGTGTGGAGCTCGTTGCGGTGGAGAAGGAGGAGAGAGGACGACGATCGATGCTTGGCAAAGGACATTTTCAGCGGCCGACAGGACTCGAGAACAACGTCATTTATCGGCCCATCGTGCCGTGTGCTGCTGAACTGCCCTTTCAATATTGCTGTCCTGGACAATCCTCCTTGGGCACGAGCGTTACGGAAATGGAACCAGGGCACAGAGAGAACGATGGAGTCTGCATTCGTGACAGGAACATGATGGAGGAATAATGAGACATGAATGACGTGCGGGAACCGGGCGATGCGGAGACGCCTTAAGATGCGATGATCATTGATTTGTGCTGCTCTGTGGTTGTGCCTGACTCGCGCCATCCTCGCTAAACAATTTTCTCCCCGCCTGAGACCAGCCAAAACCGTTTCAACCGCCCGGCAACGACCCGCTGGATTCCGAAAGGCGTGCGCGTGCGTGTGGGCGTTGCGTATACACATGCACAAATGCTGCTGCTGCTGGTGTGTTTCGCCTTGGGAACGGGCGAGTGGCAGCCGTTGTACACTGCACTGGGCGGCGGGTGGAGAATGCTCGGCGACAACGACGTCGTTTGGCGTCACTTCCTGCTGCTAACGTTCTGCCACGCCTTGGAATCATTATACTTCGTTCTCTGCACAAAGTCTTTTGGTTGTTTCTTTCCTTTAACATATACCCACTCGACCTCACGACATCACGGCATTTTGGAACAGCGATATTTTCAACTCTAGACTTCCGTGTACCTTCCACGAATCGACTGACCCACTGTGCGCGCTTGATAATCTGCGTAAAATCTCGACTGGCGCACACCACTTCAGCAATCATGGCTTTGTCCATTTTCCAGATCCCTAAGCCTCGTGTGAGTAGACCGACGCGCACGAAATCCCATCGTCACTCGCTCTGAGCGCGTTGCTGATCTTCTTCGCAACAGTCATTCCTTTGGGTTGTCTCATTGCGCACCGCAGCCGAATTCATCACCTTCACACTTCTCATCAACAGAATCACTGGACTTTATGGTATCCTCGCTTTATTTACAGGCTACCACCTCAACGCTCTTCAATTAAGCAGCTATATCTACTCCTTGATGGTTCTCGTATTGGTCGCATGGCTAGCGCCAGCCATCCGCAACCCTCGCGACCCGCTTCGCAACCTTGCGCTCGCATGGCTCTACGTCATTGACACGATTGTCAACACGATCTACACAGTCCTGTTCGCCCTGGGCTGGTTTGTGCTACTCGCGCAACATCTCAACGATGGAGTTCCGGTTAGCAGTGGAGTAAGCAGCGCCATCGGCAAAGGCATGATGGAAGACGTCGCTGGTTTCACCGATCCCAAAGTCCCCGGCGCTGCTGTTGTCGAAGTTGTCGCCAGTCCCGCAGAAGGTGCTTTTACTGGTCAAGATGCTGTAGCGTATGCCGCGCCCGCCGTGCCCGGAACTTCTTCATTGACCGCTCCTGGCTCGCTCCGCGAAGTGGTCATGCAGCCGGATTCACTCACAAGCGTGATCCTGTTGGTCATCTTCGGACTTCTCCGCCTTTACTTCTGCTTGGTCGTCATGTCCTACGCGCGTAGCATTCTCCGAGGTTATATCGTCAGCACCAGCGTAGCCAACGGCGGCGATTACAGCGATACCTCAGACGCTAGTATGGCCGAGAATCCCTTCCGCAAGGGCCGCGAAGAGGCTTCTCTACTAGGTCGAATTATGATTTCGCTGCCAACACGGAGATACTGGCTAGGCCGCGATGAGTACCCTGCTGCGAGCCAGAGCGACTGGGAGCGCTCAACGAGTGGCAAATTCCAGGTCGCCGCGATGAAGGAACTCAAGGTCAAGATCCCGAACCAACTCGGCCGGACGAGGAGCGGGACGGGTTCCTTGGCGGACATCGCGGAGATCGGACCTAGTGTGGGAGGCTTCAAGAGCAGCTGATGTGGTTTTCTTGGTGGTGGTCAGGCCATGACCTGATGGCTCCTTGAGCACAGCGGCGACTGATGCATTGGATGGCAGAAGACGCCTCCAGACGCTGGCGTTTCGGAGTGGGCTGTGTTCTTTTCACGCATGTTGGGCCTAGACGAGATCAAATATTTATGAGATTACTGATTACGCTTTTTACTGCGAGTGATTACATATGGTGTGTAATGATCAGGGTGGTGAGCATCAGCCCAGACGTTTCATCTCCAGTACCACTGCTGTTCATAACATCACTTTCGAGTACTCTCTTTTCAGCAGATTGTTTGATCCCGCTATCTGGATCCTCATATCAATTTGATCTCAGAATTATATGTTCAATTGATTTCTCTACAAGTCCTTTACTTTGCCCTTATATGATGCCCGGATCATATACCAGTGACAATCAGAATTGTCACAAAGTTTGCGAACCAAGTTGCGACCTCCGTGGATACATTCAACGCCACCGCAATCCAGACTTGTCGCCATGCTGCCTGGTAGCGAATGCAGCCAGGTTGAAGTATAGCGAGTCTCTCTCCTGCAAGTGTCGACAGAGCGAGACTCAGCAATCCTCTACTGCAAAGCATACCCCTGCCAGACGTGCCCATACCACTCCTCGTGACTGGGCCTGTCACCGCATGTTTGCCATCATTCCATCAGCGCCACGATTTCCGCCGCGCTCCGCTCAGCAGTTGCAGCCTCCCTCGCTTTCTGGTTTCGTTTGGTTGACATTCACATCGATTGCTGCGAAAACAACACGTGTCAGCCAGATTTCCTTCCACAAATATTGCTGTTCCCTTATCACTGCACAAAAGAGTCTCAACTTACTATTCGCCGCGCCCTGTGTCGCCGAATTCTCCCCCTCCATTCCCGGTAACGCCTGCGCTATCCTCTTGAACAGCGTCTTAACATTATGTCCGACCTTCGCGCTCGTCTCAATGAACATCAAATTGTGCTTCTTAGCCTCCTCCTCGCCCTGTTGTGCTGTGACCTCCCTCTTGTCGTTGAGATCCGTCTTGTTACCGACCAGGACAATGATAACATCGTTCCCCCGCTCGCCACGGACATCGTCGACCCATTTCCGTGTCTGCTGGAAGCTTTTCTGTGACGTGATGTCGTACACCACCACGGCCACACTGCTGTCCCGGATGTACGAGGGGATTAGCGAGCGGAATCGTTCCTGTCCGGCGGTATCCCACAGTTGGAGTCGTACGGTCCGGTCTTCGAGGTACATTGTCTTGGAGAGGAAGTCGATGCCGATCGTGGCTTGATATGTGCTGTCGAAGGAGTCGTACATAAAACGTGTGATCAGGGAGGTTTTACCGACTGTGTGGAAGGAGAATGTTAGGAGATGGATTCGGTTCGGAAAGCATTGAGTTGTCGGTTGAACTGCGTGGTGCGCGTACCAGATTGCTCGCCCAGGAAGACCAATTTGAACTTCTTGAGCGGGTTTGTGTAGGTGCCCACAGGTTGTGCCATGATGGGCGACTTTGGTCTGATCGTGTTTGCTGTGGAGGATGAAGTCGCACGTGCGGTCAAGTGGTGTTGGTATCTCTACCTGAAAGTCCCACGTTCGTTGCGCTGAAAGGCGGGCAAGGGTAACTATGTGGCTGTTAAGCGGGCGGAGAAGACGACAAGTAGTACTTCGCCGTATATGTAGTACACAGTCGTCAAGATTTCGAGGGAATCCTTGTAGTTGCTTTTTGGGAGATGGCACGTGGATCCTGGCGAGCTGTTGCAATGCACTGTTACTGTAGGACTACGAATGTGCCAGCTCGTTCGTGGAGATTGCATATAGGAGAGGCGGCAATCGGCGGGTGCACTTATGCAAGATCTCCCTCCCACTGGACTGACAGGCCTCAGGCTTGGAAAACAAGGGTGCAATTGGAGTGCAGCGGGGGCGGGCAACACCACCGGTTCGTATGCGCGTGCACGGCTTTCGGACATAGCCGTTGGCCGCTAGTCGAGGAATTTCCTGTCTCGCCAAGATTTCGACTTTTTGAAGGTTCATGTGACGAACCAGCGGATGCGATATCAGCAAAAGTTGAGTGCCAGGACCGGAATTTAATCATTTGAAGAGTCTGGAAAGATGGTGATAACCGATTCCGTCGCGGGGCCAGCGACTCACAGTCAACCTTCACGCAAAGGCAAGAAAGCGTGGCGAAAAAATGTCGACATCACCCAAATTGAAGACGGACTCAATGTTGTCCGCGACGAAATTATCCGAGGCGGTGTCGTGTCTGAGAAAACTGCGGATCAGCTCTTCGCGACCGACGTTGTAGGAGATGCCGAGATCGAAAAGCAACTCCGTGGCAAGAAGCTACTGCGAGCCGACGAGATTCTCGCGCAACGCTCAGCTGTAGCTGGCCTGGACGGCAGGAAGCGTAAAGCGGAGCTGGAGGTTGTGCCCACACTAGGAAAGAAACAGAAGAATGGGCAATACATATCACATAAGGATTTACAGAGACTACGGCGCATCGCAGATAACCGTATATCGCTGGAAGGCGAAGCTGCTACACATGATCCTTGGGCACAAACCGCGGACCCAGCTGTACGCCCCGAACTCGATTTCCTAGAGCCACCAAAGCCGATCGTGGCACCTAAAACCCTCGCACACGCTCCCATACCTTTGACAGCCAGCGGGAAAGCCGTCGCAAGTGTTCAAAAGCCGGAGGGAGGCAGGTCATACAACCCGCTGGTTGGTGATTGGTCAGCATTGCTACAGAAAGAAGGTGAAGCAGCGGTCGCAGCGGAGAAAGATCGTCTAGCACTTGAAGCCGCAGAGGCAGAACGAGAAGCTCGACTAGAGGCCGAAGCTGCGAAGGTAGACGCGCAGGAAAGAGACGCCGATCAGTACGCAACCGACTATGACAGCGAATGGGACGGTATACAATCTGAAGGCGAGCGGGAAGTGTTCACAGCGAAACCCCGACCACGAAAGACAACCCAGGAACGCAACAAGGTCAAAGCACGCAAGGAGCGTGAAGCAAAAGAGAAATGGGAGCGGAACCAGCGCATTCGCGACGCAGAGCAAAACCGCATCAAGCAAATCGCCAAAGAAGTCTCTGCTCGTGACAAAGTTCAACGACCAGGCACTCTGATCCGGACCACCTCCAACGGCTCCGATTCTGACTCGGATGCCCCTGACGTTTCTTTGCCTCGCCGTCGCTTCGGTAAAATTGACGTCCCCGACGCTCCGCTCGAGGTTGTGTTGCCCGAAGATCTCCAGGACTCCTTGCGAAGGTTAAAGCCGGAGGGCAATCTCCTTACGGATCGATATAGAAACCTGCTCATCAATGGCAAGGTCGAGGTCAGGAAAAAGCTGGGCCAGCAGAAGAAGAAGCAGACGTACGCGAGGGAGAAGTGGACGTACAAGGACTTCAAATTGAAGTAGGGTAGACTTGGGGATATTCGTGAAGTATCGAGTGCGGACGGCTTGGTGTAGGATCTGAATAGTCACGAAACACATTTACACTTCTAACGTTCGTCCCACACGACAGCGTCAGTCTATTCCCTCTGTTTGCATGGACCACAGTACGGGGCATGTGCGGGACAATGCAAGTTCGGAGCTGGCTCCGGAAACTGTGCCGCGTCAATTCCAATTCTCGATATCAGGTTCTTCTCCTTTCCAGCACATCATATTTCAAATACCTTACCGAAACTGATCAACATGGATTCGAGTCTACCGTACAAGAGCTACAAGCAGTACAAAGCCGACTCAGACTTTGTCGCGGACTGGTTAGCTGTCACTGCTCGAAGATGCTGATACGTTACACCCAAGTCCTCGACAAACGCGGCTCCTGGAGTCCCACGTTTGAAAGGGAAGGCAAGGAAGCTCGCACGGCAAAAAAGCAGCTCGGCAGATGCACGAAATAGGGAAGCATCCTCTTACCGAGTACGGATTCCGGAATTCGTGCCTCTTGCGATCTACATAGCACAATGTAGGAAACCTAGGATCGTGATACCATCGGCATTCTCGTTCATCCTGGAGCAGGCAATCTCAATGCGAAAGCGGCATTCGATGTTTTACGAGGGTGTCGCCCACAAATCAGCTGGACAAGAAGACGGACATGCGCACTTCATCAGTGTTCTGGAAGAGGTGCAAGATATTTTGCGGCCCAACATGCCGGCAGTACCTGTCACACTACAGGGCTCAGGTGATATGCCTGTAAAGAACGCAGTGGCAAGCATCTTCCAACATCTTCCGCTCGAAGAAGTTTCAGACAGCGCCGAGCCGCAGAAAAGTGTCCGGGAGACCCCAACTGTTCCCAAGAAATTCACCAGCGATCTCGGCGAGAGCGATGAGGAAGCGATGATCGCCGCAGCGTACTTCTATTGCGATCTACATAGAATCAGACAATCTATTAACGATCTCTGGTGGCAATATGAGCGGGGCGAGATGGATCTGATGTCAGTTTCGCTCACTACTAATACGTCGATCGACTTGGTCCGGAACCTTTACCAGGAGTTTGAGGCCGAATTTGGGACGCGTTCCCGATTGAAGGATGTCTCCTGTCTTCTCTGCGCCATGCGACAGGCTTCTGAGCATGAAAATGATGTCCGCCAATTCGGAACGTGTCTTTTGTCCCTTCGCTGAATGATAGAAAACTTCCTCGGCGATTGGATAATCAACTCACCAGACTACGTACCTATTGTTGCCCCGGAACACATGAAATTCAGGCCAGGACAAAGCCTTGACCCGACGACGCCGGCGGACGACGTGGAGAATGTCCAAGCTCTCCGGGGTATCATGAGCGTACTTCCTGAATATCTCGTGCTGCTCGAGAAGACCGATGGAATAGAAGCAGAGCATAACATCGTTCGCGGCCTCAGGGACTCAATACAACAAAGGTCCGTGCCGCCATGGCTGGCGTTTGCGCTGCAGCTTCACTTGGACGTGCGCCGTATCCTGCGCACAAGAGTCTATCGAGGTTTTTTGGAGCTCCAAACTGGTGGATCGTATATCCTAAGTACCATCGAAAGGGTATCAGGCGCTGGTGCACTACCTGGCTCGTGGCGATCCTCTAATAGTAAGGATAAGGATTTAATGGCGATCCATGATTTCGTGCACAATTGGACCCGTGCCGATTTTGTCGCCAGCATAAGACGAAAAGTGTACGCAGATGACGCTCCTTCTGATTCATACCCAGACCACTATCTCCTCCGAAGAGATCCGCCCTTGTGCGGACTTGTCCTTTACAATTTCCAAATCAGGATGCATCACTACTCAATAATGACAGTCAATCTTTGGCCCTGTATCAAGGCTACGGTCCATCTTTACAATTGCTTGAAGCAGAACGTTCTTAAAGGGCGTTTTTGGCCTGATCTTGAAGTGCTTCTTGCGACTCAGGGTCAACGGAACATTTTCGTCGGCGAAGCTCCCAAGAACATGGAAGCTTGCGAGAAGAACTATTGGCTGGCAAATGGTGGCTCCATAGCAGCTTTGCAATCGAACCGGAAAATCCCACAAAGTATGAAAAAAAAGGGAAAGAACCTTGAGATATTGGTGAAGACACTTTGGTGGTTCACGCATCGTTACTGCAACAACAACAACCGCTTCAACGTGACGCCAGACGGGCTCGAGAAGACTCTGCGCGCGAGCTCACCAGACGGTGTCGCAAAGTCCAATACCGGGGAAGATTTGGACGCGAGAGAAGTTCTGCTTGCACTGGCGGACACGCTTCGTCGCGAGGTCAAGATGATGGATTTCGACTATTTCCAACTGCATCTCGTCTGCCTGGATACCATGCGGTATCAGGCCAAATGGCTTGGACCCAAAGTTCCTGCTTGGAAAGCAGTGAGTACACATGAAGGCGATCTTCCGGCGCTCGTGCTTCATATCTTGTCTTTCGCCGCCCGGCCTGGGTATAAAGAGCCCGAGCGAGGTGATCTTCTCTTCGAGGCAGGACGAATCGTTTCTGAAACGATGGACGAACAAGGAATGCTTCGCGGCGAATACTATTCCTGTCCCTGATGCAGCAAGCGACTTCAAATCCGATCGCAATCCCGACCATGGGACACGTGTTTATGTAGCAATTGTTCCGCCACTGTACGTCCGTGCCGGATCTAAACGAGGACTCTCTAGATCGAACCAGTTATCACCATCAGGTAAGGGGACGCATCTGTAAATGGCGACCGATGCCTCCACTTCTTGCACATTGTCTTCTACGTGAGTATGAGACAACTTTTGTGTGCGACACTTGTTCTGGTACTGGGCCACAGAGGCTATCCGCCCAGAGCGCGTTCCGCCTTCTGATCTCCAAATATAGATACTATATGAAACTCTCTGGTCGTATAATACAGAGTTGTTGATTCTTGCAACGTTCAAATCGACGTCTTCGGCCGCATGCTTTTCGCGTAACTCCGCGCGCGCTGTTCCGCCCCGCCTTTTTAGCGATGGACGAGGGACTTCAATCCTTTCTGACACCACTTTGGCGTGACGGCACCGAACTTCACACTAGACTGGGAGAGGCATGATTCAGGTACATGAGCAATTGCGCCATTGGCAATGGCGATTGACTACCACCAACAATGGTTGTGAGCTTCGCCGCAATTCAAAATTGGACCTAGGCTTTGCAGTCATATCACATTTCTTCGAGAGGGCAAAGCCAGTCTCCATCGCCCTCCAATCAAGCGCACAATGTCTGAGCGGAATACTCCGGCTACTTCGCACGACAGAGGCGACGAGCCTTCGCGAGCAACGAAGAAGATAATTCTAAATGCATTTGTGGAGATGTGTGCGTACGAAGTCGACTTACAATAAGTCCGCGGCGATGATTCGACGAGGCGGAAGATTTAGTATCATCTAACTGTGTGGCGCTGACAGGCAGCGGGCATCAATCTCCCGGCCTCTGGGCACATCCTGATGACCACTCAATCGAATTCAACGACCTCGATCATTGGGTCCGACTCGCTCAAATACTCGAAGATGCAAAGTTCCACGGCATTTTCATCGCGGACGTGCTGGGCGGATATGATGTGTATGGCGGTCCTCAGAATCTCAAACCTGCGATTATCTCTGGCGCGCAGCTGCCTGTCAACGAACCTCTCGCTGTGGTTCCTGCGATGGCTGCTGCGACAAAAAATATCGGTTTTGGTGTCACTGTCTCGACGAGCTACGAGCAACCTTACCATTTAGCACGCCGCTTATCAACCGTAGATCATTTGACGAAAGGCCGGGTCGGCTGGAACGTGGTAACGGGCTACCTTGACAGCGCAGCCCGAAGTCTTGGCCACAAGGCGCAGGCGCAACACGAAGACCGATATGCGATGTGCGAGGAGTACATCGAAGTCATGTACAAGCTTTGGCAATCTTCCTGGCGAGACGACGCAGTGAAGCTAGACAAGCGAAGACGGATTTTCACAGACCCTGATCTTGTTCGGGAGATAAATCACAAAGGTAAATTCTTCGACGTTCCTGGCCCACATTTATGTCAGCCGTCTCCCCAAAGGACACCTGTGATCCTTCAAGCAGGCACTTCGAAATCGGGAAAGGCATTTGCGGCGAAACATGCTGAAGCCGTGTTCCTGTCTGGCCATACACCAGCTGCAGTCGCAAAATCTGTCAAGGATATCCGGCAGCAAGCAGAGAGCTTTGGCCGTGATCCACAGAGCGTCAAATTCCTGGTTAAGATGTGTCCAATTCTGGGTAGGACTCAAGCCGACGCTGAGGCCAAATACAAGGACTTACAGTCGTATGGTTCCTTTGACGGCGCCATGGCGCTTTTCGGCGGCTGGACAGGTATTGACATGGCACCCTACGGAGACGATGAAGAACTACGCCAGGTTCAAACGAATTCGATACGCTCATACATGGAGAGTTTGGCAAGTAACGCTCCGAAGGAGGGGAAATGGACCAAACATACACTTGCTCAGCATATCTATGTAGGAGGATTGGGTGCTATAGCTGTGGGTACACCTGAGCACGTTGCGGATGAGTTTGAGCGTTGGGTACGCGAGGCCGATGTGGACGGCTTCAACATTGTGAGTTCTCGGCTGAAATACATTCGAATTGGCTCAAATCGAGTCCGTATACTGATCCTTGGCTAGGCGTATGCGCTCATGCCGGGCACTTTTCAGGACGTAGTCGCACTGCTCCTCCCAGAGCTCCGACGCAGGGGCATCTTTTGGGACGACTATTCAGTCCCAGGTGGGACGTATCGGGAGAATTTGCAAGGCACTCCTGGAGAACCGCATCCACGCGCAGACCACCCAGCTGCGAAATTACAGTGGCGTGCGCCTGTCTCGACTGGGCACAAAGCGGATGCCAAATCAATCAATACACCTACACCAGTATTGCTGGATCCTCAAGCATTCCAACTTCAATAATCTCCGTCGACAAATTCCTCCACTCTGTGAGCGCTAGCGTCTCATCCACTTATCAGGTTCACTTAGTGTTCAACCGGACCATCAAGCAGATGTGGTATTGACTACAGCGCCTCGCTCCAACACCTACGTGAATGTACTGAATCCAGAGCTGCTGAGCGACAGGGCTCTGATTATGCTAGATACATGGATCCGCTCTACTGACGAAACATTTTCGACTCTTGCGGGTGTTGGGAGGTGGAGGTAGTAAAGCAATCGAATCCAATCTTGTAGCGGCCCCCCTTCAGAATCTCGATAGCACATGAGACCAACACTGTATGGTCGGAACTTCAAGCGAGACCCCACACAAGGCCTCCGCTTAGTGATCAGATGCTGCAATCACAGCTTTTCGTCCGACGACCTCGAACACTAGAAACTCGAACAAGTGCAGCCCTTGGGCGGACACAAGAAAGCTAGATATTCATAATCAGAACTATTCCACATGCCTAGTTTCGAAGGTGCCGAGCTTACAAGGGTATGGAGCGCACATCAGTGACCTTTTGGTGCAATCTGTACCCGCGCAGTTGGTGTCTGAACATGGGCCTGTGTAAGGTTCATAGGGGCCATATTCTTTCTGGCAATCGACATCTTGGCGCTCTGATAGTGGTGAGGATGGAGTGGTCAACGCACTTGCTGTGAGGGCGAGGCATAGAATGATTCGGAATGAGGGCAGCATGATGAGTTAGTCGTTTCGTGGTTTTTGCAAAGATGTGTTGGAGGTGGGCATGATCTAAAGTTGAAAAGATGGACATGAGCGAAGCTTTATGTCTGAACAGCTTCCCGTTCTCTAATCCGAGCCGTGCAGGCTACATGATGCTTTAGCACATTCTGCCCAGCCCGCTGCCAAGTTGATGCATAACGGTAGAGGTATGTTAATCAGTCTACTTGCACTCTGATTGTCCTCACCGCCGAGATAGACGAACAATATGCCCTTCAGCAGTGACAGAAAGACCAGTAGCTATATTATCATACCAAGACATTTCACGAGCCTTAGCATTGGCGCAGACACTGCCTTTGTCGATCACTGCACCCAGTCATCGTTATGTGGGAGGAGATGAGGTCAATGGTTGCTTGGCCATGCCCGGCGTTCTTGGAACATGATGTGGGGTAAAGTTCGGCGGATTGCAGATCGCGTGGTTTATATCAGCATGAATACCTACCTAGGTAGGTAAATACCATCGTGGCATATCAGACGGAACTAAACTGGTGATTGGGTTGATCTCTCGCGCGATGACTCTGCGTGCTTATCAGGTTGTCTTCCTGTGAGGGAGATATCGGATTTTGACATGATAATGTTGAGACGACACGCGGGTTGGCCGATCCATGCATACCACGCTGTTGGATGCAGGTCTGAGCTGAGAGACGGGCCGTGATGCTGAACCTGCGTCACACGACGCAACAACATCGTTTGACATGCGTGATCTCACGCCTTCAAAGGTATCTCACTTTCGAACAGCTCGGCGGCTTCTCACGGAGGAGCTCATGCGCAACTTTCCAGTGATAGTGGAGATCCGAATATATTGCATCGCTTGTGGGACCATCAAATGCACGTTCGGTACACATCACAGCTTCTAATACACAGACGGGATTTGCGCAAGACGTCCACCATCTGTGACCAAAGTCTCGCCATTCAGATACGCTCCCGCGCGCGATGCCATGAACAGAATTGTGCCTGCAAAGTCTTCCTCACTACCCGTCCGCTCCGACGGAGAACGGTCCTTGGGCATGACTTTTGCATCGGCAAAGGCATTACCATGCTCTGCCGCGGCGGCGAAATCGCCCATGTTTGACGTCCATGAGGTGGTCATCTCGGAGGGATACAGCCCCGGTGCGATGACGTTGGCTCGGATGCGGTAGCCAGCTTGCGCAAAGTAAGTTGAGAGCATCTTGACGAGATGTGTGGCACCGGCCTTGGAGGTGGAGTAGGAGAATCCTGCGGCGAGGTTCCGCGAGAACCCGGCGATGGAGGACTGCGAAAGATTGGTCAGAAGCACGATCGGAATAAATTAAGATTGGAGGTCTGTTGGATGCACACGATGGCACGCATTGTTCCCGATGGATTCTATCCCACTCACCGTGACAATGAATTGGCTGTCCTGTGGTAAGTTTCGCTTTTCGTTTCCTGCTTTGAGCAAAGGTAGAAACGCCACCGCGGTGTAGAATGCAGCAGTGATGTTCACATTGAAGGTCGCCGTGAAGTCTTCGAGTTTCAAGTCCATAAGGCCAGCCGAGAAATCCTCTACAGATGGGGCTACCTGACCCTCTGCCGTCTTCTCTCGTAGAGCACCGACGTGGCTAGGACCAGCGACACCTGCATTTGCAAAGACCAGGTTCAAGAAGCCCTCCTCGGCCTGCACCTGTGCGGCGATCTTCTGCAGCGACTCTCGGTCCGTGACATCGCCGACAATCGGCTTGATGCGGCCATTACGTGCCGTCGCCGCAGCTTGGCGTAAGGTGTCCTCACGACGGCCGACGATGTAGACTGCTTTGGCACCATTGGCATCGAGAGCACGGGCAGCGTACAAGCCGAGACCGCTGCCGCCGCCGGTAATCAAGGCCACCATGCCGTTGACATTGAACAACGTAGTGGCGGAGATGTCGGGCAATGAAGCAGTGGAAGTAGCCATTTTGCTGATGCGATATGTATTGATCTCTACGGCAATATTTCGCAAACGAGCGACGTTGAACTCCTACTTATCTTCGATTTCCACGGTTGGATCTAAGTTTGAGCTCCAGCGTTATGCCCTTTCTGGGCCTCTTTTGCGACCGATCGCGCAATAGCGGCTCCATGGCGGAGTCTCGAGCTTTGAGACTCAAAGAGGAGTGTCGTCATTGTCTATTTCCTTGTGAGAAGTGGGGCACAAGCTTTCCAGCAACTCTGCCCATATCTAGGTGGTTAACAATGGTCGAAACAGGCTGCATTCCAACATTTCGGGTGGCAATACTCAATGCTGCCAGGGCCAATCGCAGATACGCGAGAGTACGTCTTCACCACAAAGTTGCGGAGACTTCCCCCGACATGTACAATGTTCACGCTTGACACATACTAGACAAGAGCTCATGAGCCAAATTAAACCCAAATGTCTGTTCTTGTCTCTACATTCTCTTCTAAATGAAAATCGATAGCCAGGTCAACTAATTTCCTTGCCGGATTTCTTACAACGCGGCGAGATCACTGCCATGGACGTTGTGCATCTCAACAGAAATGTGCTAACCCAAACCCTAAGCCCCATCGCCAGGCACCTCGAAGATTCCACGCCAGTATACGTGGAAATGATGTCGTTCCATTCATGGCTGTACATGTCCGCATATACCTAAACTTCTCACTTCGCATCGACATTCGCTATGTCAGTCCAAGTTGGCCGAACATAGCTCATGCGTTCCGTTTACGTAATCTCACAGATTGGCGCGAGACGACCTAGAACTGTCGTTCTATACTAATTTCAGGTTTACCAAGCCTGTCCTGTAACGCCGACGATAAAGGCCACGCGTGATACGCACGATCATAGCACGAGTAGAACATTGTTCACAGATGATTGGCCGGATTGTTGTCCTTAGGCTCAACCAAGCATTATTATTAAATGAATGTTGGATTGCGGATGTGGGATTGTTCCTTTTTGTCAGCTTACGAAAGAAGGGCCGGAGATATACCATATTTCCGATTCGTCATGTCCGATGAGGTAGAAAGCCGGTACCTGTAGATCTCACGTGCTTGGGTGGTACCACCTCATATTCGTGGTGATCAGTCATACCGATCTTACCTAATTACCCTTTGACAAAGCCAGCGAGAGACCAACCGATCTCCAGCCTGAGCATCGCGACGCAATCTGATGTCAAGATGGTCTAATATTGCCAAATCATCGCATATAAGGACTCCAAACATACGCACCAAGATGTCCTCATTCACTCCAACAAACTGTCGATCTTATCCGCTCCAGTCTACCTCACCAACTCCAACAAACAGTCGATCTGGTCCGCTCCAGTCTCCCATAAATTGAAATCTCACTCCCAAAATGTCTTCTCCATACAAGACTGTCGCCATTGTCGGTGCATCTGGATCCCTCGGCGCTCCCCTCCTCGAACGTCTGCTCAAATCCGACTTTGTTCGAATTCGAGTTCTCAAGCGAGCTAGCTCCAAGTCTACATTCCCAGCCAACGTCGAGGTGGTAGATGTCGACTTCTCCTCACTGGACTCCATCACCGAAGCTTTGCGCGGACAAGATGTTCTCGTCTCCACCATCACTATGGAAGCTCTCGGCGACCAGATCAAATACATCGATGCCGCCATCGCCGCAGGTGTAAAGCGTTTCCTCCCTTCTGAATTCGGCTCCAATCTCGAGGTTCCGTCTGTGCGCCGCCTGCCCGTCTACGCGACCAAGGTCAAAGTACAGGACTATCTCGCACAAAAGGCCGCCGAGGGTCTAATCTCATACACCTCGTTCTACAACAACGTTTTCCTCGACTGGGGTGTCGAGAAGAGCTTCCTCATCGACCGCGTCAATTCGAGCATCACATTCTACGACGACGGCGAGTCTGAGTGGAGTACCACGACCCTTGCCAGCGTGGCTGACGGTGTCGTCGGCGTTATCAACCACCCCACCGAGACACATAATCGCGCTGTGTATGTCCACAATACCGTCCTGACTCAGAAGAAATTGCTCGAGGTGGCACAAAAGGCGGACCCTGCCCGCAAATGGACTATCAACCACATCACGATTGACGAAGTCATAGCTAAGGCGGACGCGAGCGTTGCGAAAGGAGACTTCACTCTTGAAGTCGCCTACGCCTATCTCGCCCGTGCCGTTTATGACCCAGCCAGTGAAGCCAAGTTCACAAAGCTGGACAATAAATTGCTTGGAGTCAAGGAGTTTTCGGACGAAGAAGTTTTTGAGGTTGTGAAGGCGTCTCTGTTGAAGTGATAAGATGGCACTCATAATTACGACCTCATAGTATTCCAATTACAAATTCGTATCCTTACTTGTGAAGCTACATGTCAAAAGTAATATCTTGGAGGCGACGAGCCGTTTGCTGGGGCAGCTTGGATAATACACGAATATTCGCATATTGCCGTATAGAATAGGATGAAATGACTTGTGATCGCATGTTACTGATAGGACTTATCCTCGCTTGTTGTCTTTTGGATTTCACACCGAGACTGAAAGCAAGTTGTGCTTACTATCTCGAGGAAAATTGAAGGTAGATCAGGTTACTGTATACAAACCCTCTCGTGCGTGATGAAACGCTGGTAAGATCACGTATCTATCCCTGAGATCGTCAACATTCCTGTCGAGGCATACGAGCCTCGTCAGATCCCCTGAGCCGTTTGCTGGGATATTTTGAACTGGTTGCATAGAACTGTCGTTTACTAAACAGTTGTGGTCGTTCTGGACACTGGCAGGATAGTTTTCACGATGAGCATTCACGTGAGTAATATGAATCTGTCACGATGAACATGGCGTACGTGTGCTGTCATTTTCCTACTGTCGGCTTACACAGACGACCTCTCTTTTCGAAATACTGCACCTGTGCCATGGAGATCCCACAAAGTGCTCAATCGACGCCACTCGGCAGGAGCTATTCGCGCAAAACGCGTTTTTGGTGCCTTCTCTGCTGGTACGGACTCATGCTAGCGAGACGCATTTGACATGCAATGTCCGTGAAGCGCGGGAGGGCGCAAATTCGATATTGGCACTACCTCGCGGAATGCTAAAGCTCGTTCTTGAAACTGATGTGATGCGTTTCGATAAGTCAGCAAAGCGGAGATATATAGCGCGCAGAAAATACCGATATGGCGTTACCATGACTTCATACAATGGTCAACGTTCTTTTCTCGAAACCGGGCAATTTGTGCTTTGCCGTGACCCGTGTTCTGACTAGCCCAACATGAGAGTAGCATTTGAGAATCCCGACACGGGAGTGGGCGCCATCATCGCGTTGTTTGAGTAACATTATCTGCACCAGCACGTTTCCTGAAGACAGACCCAGTCGACGCAAAATAGGTGTTGACGTCTTTGGACCAATCATCTCCAAGAGCACGACCCGAGCATCATCCTCCGAAAAGTCATCCGCCGCGTCAGCATATATTCGATATTTTGCCCGAGGACCATCAGTAGTGATAATCTCGTCTTTGGTATCGGAATCCAATAATTTACCTGCGCTCCTTCGCCATATAGCCTCCCTGCTTCTGCCAGTGATGTCTATAGAGGCAGAATTGACAGCACTAAACGGCGCAAGGGACGACGAGGGTGTGACGGTGACTTTCAGAACACGACACGTAAAATCTTTATCCTTAACGAGCTGGACGTCCATCCAAGCTGGTCGTCCGTCGATAGAAGCCCAAGACCATGAAGGTGCGCGATAATCCTTCGGCCGCATCGCTATCTCCCCCGTGAACATATTCCATCCAAGCTGACCTAGGAGGTTGTATTCCCACAGACCTGCAAAGTACTTGCCAAAGAGGCTTTGTCCTGCGATATACTGAGCCACGGCTGAGATAGCGACTAGCTTGTCACCTGGAAAAGTCAAATATCGCCGCGAGTATTGCTCGCAGTAGTGCAGCCAAGGCCAGACATAATAAGTCTTGAGCTTACTTCCGCTGATTTGTGCAAGTCCTTCTGTGATGTGCATGAACCCGGCATCTTCCCGGTATCGGAGGGGGACGGTACCTCCGTCGCCCGATCCTGCGAGTGAATGCTGTTGTAAGCAGAAAAACCGCACTTGTCGGGTACCATACGACAGGATCCGCGGCGCCAGGGAACACTCTTGAAACGTCCAAGCACGCCGAGCAAGCGGCTCGTGATAACCTTTCCCTTCCTTGGGCACGACTACAATTGTCCCCTTTTCGCCTTTTCGAAATAGGGCTTGAAGCTCGAACATCTGACAGTCTTGTCGAGGGTGCAGAAACCCCTTGGTACAAGCATCAGCAGCTGTCGCGGCGATGACGATGCCTGCGCACGAGTAGATCATTTGCATTTGCACGATCTCCCGTTCCTTGTCTTCATCATCATCTTGGATGATGCACATGCTACAGAGTGTCAGCCATAAGTCACACCAGGGATACCACGAATCGTATACGGCGAAAAGTCGAATCACTACCATCAGTAGGGGGGGTTGACTTACCTGTCAACCCACAGGTATGTGAATCCTATCTCTCTTGTCGTACGAATGGCATCCTGGATCGTCAAAGGAAGATCCTTGATAAGTCTTTCAGGGTTTCTGAGATTTCCCATGGTCGTTTTGCATATTTGATCACCTCCCCAGCAATAGCTGAGCGCAGCATACGGCTGTACCTCCTTAAGTTCGGCAGATTTTATGATTACTACGCTTTCATCTGAGTCCGAGAGTACGGAAAGCAATCTTGTCGGCATGAAATTGATTTGTTCCTTTGGAGTCCACAGATGACATGCCGTGTGATTTTCCAAGCAGTCCATGAGCCAGTCGCGGGCCTGCTGGAAACCTTTGGGCGTCGCTGGAGAAAGGTTGGGAGCGGGAACGAGATATTTGAATGCTGAATTTACATCATCTGACGAGTCTGGAGAAACAGATGAAGCGAATATCTCGAATTGTCCGGAATCCAACGGCCATGCGAAGTCCATCTCACAGAACCCTTCTGAGAGTCTCGCTGAAATGCTGAGCTTCGATTCTAGGGTTTTGCTTTCAGTATGGTTTCGTAGAAGGTAGGCCATCAGTGCACATCCGTTGATGGCGTCTTGCGCTGCTTCAGCTACGGTTTTCGAAAGCTCGGTCTTCCCAAGATCCAAAGGTCGACCTTCCCATTCTATGCGACCATTTCGCAGCAATACGCCATCAAGCTGAGTCAGATCAACCACGATATTCTCGCATGACGGGCAAGTGTGACGCAGGGCCTGTTTAGGGTCCATTGATGATTATTCGTGCTTGAGAATATCACCCATGTAATTGGAGGAAGAAGTTCGAGGTCTGTCCATGATAAGCCCTCTTCCCAGCCACCAACATGGACATTCTGGACCCTTATCTAGTGGGATGATGGCTTGAAGCGGTCGTTCTGCGAGCCCTCATGTTTAATGATTTGAAAATTGTGGGACTTTCTGAGAGAAACAGTCGTCTCTCTCACATCGTTTACTACCAAGACTCGTTACTCAAAATACAGTAGAAGAAAAGATATCATGATACAAGAATCTTATATTTTTACATTTCTAGCAGGTACCGAAGAAGCAAAAGTGGGGTTCATTCGTTAGGCAGAAAACGCTGCCAAAGACGCTCTAGCGGGGTCGATGTCGAATATAATTTTGACTCTACCCAAGTGATTGAGTACTAACTTGTCATATATTGCTCCGCAGAGTTGGTAGCGATCGCGTGTTACGAATTGGATTGTTTGGTAAACTATACTTGGTGTCCTTCACTGTTTCTCTTCAGCGTTACATGACTTTGGCGATAGTGACATGTTCAGTAGGTGATTCTCAGCTTAACCTTTGTCGTGATCGACTCATCGAAGAGGCCAGAAAACTCAATCTCGTTCGGGTCGTTGAGGAAGAGATAATAACCAAGGTAATCTCTGAGTTGGTCCTCGGCAACGTAAAAGATCTGATTCCTGACGCCAGTCTTGTCCCTGCTACTCTTACAGGACAAGAGCAGAGTGTTGGCTTCGATTGAGCATTGGAGGTATGGGTACAAACTCTCGTACACATGTCCAGAAGCAGTCAACCTCTGACCATAGTCGTAAAGTCCTCCAAGGATGGACGATGCGTTGTTGAAGACGCGGAGGTGACCAGTTGCTTGCTCATAGGTCCATCGGAGAGGGGCAAAGTTCTCACCGGGGTAGAACTTTTGATCGCCGTTGCTTCGCCGAATGCCAAAATTAAAAACGTCACCAGGATCAGCTGACCCGGCTACAGTCGTGTTGTCGAACACGGAACCAGGCGCAACGACGGTCAATTTGAATCCTGGCGCGACCGACGCCACGGTAGTCGTCGGTGTAGAGATGGGAGTCTGCGTCGTAGTCGTAACACTGGGTGGAGGAGAGCACTCTCGGTACTTTGAGTAGCCCGTTGAACCTCCAATGACCACTTGAAACTTGTTACGGTATTGACCTTTATTCAACAGGTACTCTTGTCCGAAATCGATACGGGTCGAATAGAAAGCACACCTGATTTGTGTCACGCTAGGTGGGTTCGGACACTGAGTGCCATTGCCAGGATCTATCGATGGCGATCGTTGATAATAGATGTTGAAGGTCTCGCATGATTTGAGGGTACAGCATTTCCTCGCACAGAATTTGGCGTCGAAAAAATCCGGCACCAATATGTATCCGAGATAGCCTGGAAAGTTGGGACCCAACGCACCGTCCTCAGAACCCCATAACTTGCTGTAGTCGCCGATGAATGGAGCAAAATCAGAAGCAGCATTCAACAATGGAGAGTTGGAGAAACCTTCAGGTGTATCCGGCTCGACTGTAGGAATTGACCCGCCGGGTAGTGGAGTGCATGATGGTTTGATGTTTGACGCGGTTGTAGAGAGGGACGTCTTTGTAGTGCGTAATAAGGTCGTCTGTGAGATGACACCCCGCGTGGATGCGGCAGGAACGACCAAGCCAAACAGGCCAAGACTGCACAATCGAGCGTAACGCATATTCCCAGAGATGATCAGATATTCAGATACAGGTTCTCTCTATATTTGCATGGCATGACAATGTATATATACACGTTTGTTTCTCTTTCGCGAGTAGTCTCGTATTCAACCGCAACACATTCCTCCAGCCCTAGATGCTTACATCTCAACGAGGTGAAGAGCAAAGGTCAGCGCGGGGTTGCATGCATGCGGCGCACTCTGCACTTGTCGTAAGCAGTGACGTTGCCGAGGAAGTTACGTAGGTAGGTAACAAACTGCTCGAATTTGACTGTGGCATGCTACACCTGGATTTGTAACGTCAAGAACGAACAGTGGACCTCGCTTGGTTGTAGTGAAGACTTCCGTTCCACAACTTGCAAGGCAATGCTGTTTTCAGAACCAAGTCCGATGCACGATAGCCCGCTGGGTGTACACATGCAACTTCATTTCGTAGATGCCTAGGTAGGCAAAGGCCAGGACTGGGGCGGCACATTTGTAACCAGATACATCGATCGCAAGCCCCTAGGGCGAATCGTGCGGAGCGATCGCATAGCGGCGCATCGTGAGGCTGAACAATGTGTGAAGCACGCTCAGCTGCGCACCTGAATGTCTATCGATACCCAACCCACGCCTCTTGTCCCCTGCACCATCTGGTTTAGGTTGTCACTAACGATCAAGGACATCCTCAAGCCTACTAGGTAAAACCCGATCCACAGTTCGTCACCAATATAGCTCAAAGCTCCGTCCCTACGTATCGGTGCTTGGCGCGACCAGGTACATGCTGCATAGGCTGACGTACCTTCGATATGCTCCGCTAAGACTGTTGCGCAAAGTATAGCTCATCTGAAAGATGCTCGTATCAAAGAAGCGATCGCGATATGCTCGCAAATATGCAGAGTGGTTGAGCAGCCGCGCAGCGAGCATCGCTGGCAAAGAACAGATCCATTGCTACCTGCCCGGCACGGAGCTTGCTCCGCCATTCTATGAAAAACAGCCAATCAGTGCGACGGGACGTTCGTCGCGAAAGGGGGCGAAAGTATTTCTTGGCTGCTGCCTGCACTTTCTGAGAGGGATTCCCACAGCCTGAATAACTCGTTCAATCTCTCCGTTGCAGCAAAATACCTCAGCTAATTCACTAAAGTCACGATTTCTCCCGGGCTCCAGAATCGTCCTCGTCGTCAGGCTTTGCGCAAAGGATTCATCGCGCTGAGAGCTGCCTAGTCCACAACAGCACTTCGACGCGCAATGGGCACGCGCGGCTATATTGTCTATTACTTCAATGGCAAGTGTATTTGTGCACTAGTCAATGCTTGGCTCTGACATCGTGCACCCCAAGACGCTTCTATGTATTCTGCAATCATTATGATAGCTATCCCTCCGCCCTCGGTAGAGACCTTGTAGAAGCTCTGCCTCAAACTGAAGACGCTTACAAGATTTGGCTCGCGAATTTGCGGGAAGAACTTCGACGCGTCGAGCATGACCTAGACTCGACATTTTACAGCCTCGACGAATCGAGGATAGCCGAGATACACGAAGAAACAAGGTATACAACCGAACGCTCGATTTGTGTTCTGGGCCGGGACAAGAAGCTTTGGCTCCCACCTTCACCCTTCAGGCCCGATTTTGGATTCGATATTGAATGACACTATATTTACGACCTCGAGGCTGAAGAGTTCCACGTCTCTGGACATTCTAGGCACACATTTGCCTTGAGCAATGTGGATATTGCGTTCTTCTCAGAGGATGCCGCCGGGCTGGACAGCCAATTAATCCTATCCAGAGACCCGGAAGAACACGCTCTCGCCCGTATCGGTCTGCAAGACTTGTCGTCGGAAAATCAGGGTCTCACCTTCGTCTCTGAAGATCCAGCAACCAATCATGGGTTTCCTCGCGGCGTGCGGTCGGCTATGGTGCTGGCAAGAGCCATGTACTAGATTTGGGTGAATAGTGACGAAGTCAAATCTATTGCAGAAAGACATGTGGTTATAGCGGACAAAGCTTTTCGGGAGGCATGCTATGTCGTGCTCGGTTTCGGTCTTGGCTATTCCCAATCTTTCCACGCCATGATATCGTTTCAACGAGCTTTTACTGGGGTAATCTACCAAGGAGATTCGCCAGGTACTCGAGGCAAAGACGTGACCACTGAACTTGGCTCACCATGGCACGTTCAAAGTCAATCAGCCTGGCTGTGTCCCACAGACATAGTCTTCAACATTGGAAGTATATACGTCTTACCATGTCCAGATATTCACTTCCCCAAAGTTGCGGCTCTAGCTACGGCCTACATTGCGAACTTCGGGAAGAAGCAGAGGATCAGCTCATTTCGCGGTGTCGTTCTCAATCTTAAGACGATGATTTTGGTCAAGATCGATGGGAATACAGTCCGAACTGTTAGCCCAATGGCCCTCGACACGAACGCTTTCTTCGCTCTGGCCGCCTTTCACGACGCTAGCGAGCTTGAAAGGTCAGTAAATTTTGCCCACTACATTACCTGCATCGCTAACAAAAGCACACTGGCCACAGGCTGGGTTGGGATAATCGACACGCTTTCCACGAAGTAGCGAATTCCAGCGCCGGGAAACAGCTTCCTGCAGAGCTTTGGATACGTATTATCGGCATGTGTGACTCAGCTTCCCAAGCGTCATGCTTACAGGTGTCTCGTCGCCTACGTGAGTGCGCGCAAGAACACTGCTTCTTATTGGGCAGTCGCCCGACCGTGGCGCACGACAGAGACGAAACACACGATAATGAGACCCTCTGTGTTATTGAACACCTCTCGACCATCAGATCCGCCGATTTGCCTTCTTCCAAAAGTGTGGAATTGTATGCCTTGCAAGCTTGTTACGCTCCCAGATCATGGAACACGTGGCAGAATGATGGGGGTGATCAGCCAGTGTGGGAAAGATGGGTCCCTTTTGTTGATTCTAGCTTGGTCACGGCTGATTCTCGCCCGAAGAAGTATATCGCGCTGCAAGAGGCAGCCTTCAAGCTGGTTGCGTGTTCTGATTCCAATACGTCTGACTCAAAATAGCTAAGCAAGTTTCTCTCGCCGCGCACCTGCGTTTTTCTATAAAATCATACAGTACCCCTTATAAAATGGCTAAATCAAGCAGATTTAGGCTACTCTATAGTAGCGGTCTCGTACGTTAAATAAGTCCTCACCAATGAACGATTGTTTCTTGGTACCTAGGTATAATAAAGTGCCGGTAGGAAGCTTTATATCCGCTACGAGTAATTTATCGATATAGGCTAGGACTTATTATGAAATTGTATCTGATAAAGCTGCTAAGCGACACTTACTACCAATATAACCAATGAACAAACAACATATTAAAATATAAGACACAATTAAAGAACAAAGTGCTGCATCGATGCTTATCAAGATGCAATGTGGCGCATCGAACGCCCCACTTTCACGGGCTGTCGAAGAGTCATCGTCGGAAGAGTCATACGCTCTCAACCACATATTTCGTTATCACTGGAATCGATGCCAATCATGGGGACACTCTTCTATCATACTCACTTAATTGTTCATAATATAGAAATCTGCACGACCCAGATCATACCCAAGCAGCTCGTCTTTGGTAAAAATATCGGCAACAGCTTCTGCTGAGACAACAGGCATGAGTGGATATATTGTCTACTATTTCAATGGTAGGTACCGTGACTCGTCAACCGAGATCTTCCGTTTATGACGAGAAAATTAGGGCGCTATTACATGTACCAAAATCAAGACGAGGATCACTTTCCGGACTGTCTCGGTTTGGCTCTCATCAAAGACATCCCCAGAAACAACGATGATTACAACATTTGGCTCGCCGAGACAAGAAAGGATTTTGCATTGGTTGAGCAGGATATACACGCGATATATAATCTCGAAAAGGCCAAGGCAGCCAAACTTTACAAGCGCCCAAAACTACGTCCTGATCGAGGCTTGAACTCACTAAGTTCCACTCTCGGGCTGTACCGATCTCCCACACCGTTCACGCCGCAGGGCCAAGACGATGATTGGATTTATCTATTGAATCTTGAAAACGAGGAATTTGTGATTTGCGGGAATGGAAGCCGGTACCGTTTCGCTTTGAACGACATTGATCGGGCGTTCTGCAGGCAATTTTGCGAATACAACACAAAAGTTCCCTCAAGTGAATTATTCCTAGGCATCGACACGGAACATGCCATTCTAGCATGCCTCGACTTACATGATTACTCGTTCGAGCAGGAGGACCTCAGCTTCTTCAGCGACACTTTACATACAAATCGACTTCGTCGAGGAGTACAGTCGGGCATAAAGTTTACGCAGGCCATTTACACAATGTGGAGTGGAAGCCCCAAGATTCTCTCCATCATAGAACGACGCGTTTCAGTTCGGGATAAAGCTTTTCGGGAGGCATGCTATGTTGTGCTCTGCCTGGCTCTCGCACTTCCAAAGGATGGATATAGGTCACTTTACACGACTATATCGTTTTCAGACTGTGCTCCAGACGGACTGTTTGACGGAAGATTTCTTGGGAAGCAACGCGACGGGCTGATCACGACGATGGGCTCCCCATGGAATGTAGAACAGGGTCCAACATGGCTATGTCCTGAAAAGTTCATTTTCAAAGCCAGAAATCTTCGCGTTTTGCCGTGTCCTGGAATCGAGTATCCGCGCGTTGCAAAAGTGGCCCTGGCATACATGGTCGAGCATGCAAGAGATAGGCGCATCTATCCATTCTACGGTGTTATTTTGAGCATCAAGATGGTCATCTTGATCAAGGTAGAGCATCAAACCGTTCGAACTTCGGGTCCATTTCCTTTCGAGGTTGATGGAACGGCTTTTGGTTCCGAGCGTGAAGTAAGCGGATTCGTCGCGTTGGTAGCATTTAATGAATCAGCTGAACTCGACAGGTGAGAGTAATTTGCATCTCATACGAGCCTTAACACTTTGCTGATGGTGATATTTCTGCTCAAGGCTTGCAAAACATTCCCCCCGCTCAGTCCCAACAGCCATAATGCCAAGCTCGGGATCGATACCTATACTACCAACGGAAGTCTGGGATTATATCATAGGAATGACTGACGCGGCAACACAAGCAGCGTGTCTCCGAGTTTCGCGGGGGATGCGTGCCTCCGCGCAAGAATATTGCTACTTGTTTGACGACCGGCAGGTTGTCGTCCGTGACATTGTTGGTCCTCGCCAGGAATGGATGCTCAATACTGTTGAATTTGCCCCACAGGATCTTTCCGACAAGCCATACGCCCGGATGTTTGGGAAATACTACATGTGTCGTTGTCAGATGCCCGATAGATCTGACGAAGAGGATTCGAGGGTAATAGACTTTGGAAGGTGGATTCCGACTATCAGCTCAACCCTGGGCTCTTCTGGTCCCCCTATGTTTACTGTGCTGCCGGAGGCTGCCTTCAGACTGCTGAGTGCTGATTAATCTTTTACCTGAGCCCATTTAAGATAGAATACCGTAGAGATTGCATCAGAAAGTGTCGTGATTGCCAAACTTTTGCAGCTTGTTTGGGGGACAAGAGCCTGCATTCGAATTTTCATTTTCCGAAGAATCTCTTCAGAGTGTCTGGTGGTAGCAAGGATGCGACTGAGGTCGCCCAGCAGGTAAATCAACTCTCGAAAGAGACTGGCATGCATCGACTAGCTTGTTGAGCTACTCTAAACAATGTCTCAAAGTGAGGATGAGCCTCGCTTTCGGATATATACGTTCAATAAGTCGATAGACCCGAGTGATCTGGGGTTTTTCTCAGTAGAACAACCAACGTACTTCGATACATGTTTCGAACGTAACTCATATCTCGAGGCAACAACGCACAGTGTAGAGCGCTCGGGCGTCTAAATTTTTCATCCAATTCCCATGTATGCGATCATTCCGCAGATGTCCGAAGGTCTCACTATCGTGCTCATCTCTGTATCTGGTCTTCTGGGATGCCAAAATTCGTTCATATTGCAAGCCGATTACTAGACTGATTACATAATTATCAAAAGACCTCGATGCTCGAGTCAGTCCTCGATCTCCTTGCTTATCATTGATGATCCACCAAGAGGAATATTTGCTCGATTCTGCACGGAAGGCATCTTTGAAGGTGCTTGCGAAGTCGTTCATCCCAGCCCGTGATTTCTGAAAGTTTAAATGTCGTCCAATGACCATCGAGCAGGTAGAACACCAGTTCGCATGTCCTTAAGTTGTTGTGAATATGCGGCGTAGATTACGCCGAGGGAGTGGCCCTGTGCAAATAACTGTCAGCTAAAACCCCTACTCCCATGGTTGCAGAAAATTTCGAACGGTTGTGTGCACAACCGCAGGTACATCGTCTTTTGTTGGCGTGTGTAATTCAAGCAGCCACTGTCTAATGAGGTTTGCACTGTATGTCAGTGTCAGTGTACATGGTTGAACATTGCTTTCACGTTCTTTTCTCAAGTCCGCGCTGTAGGCAGAATATTGTGAGCCTCCAGTCTGAGTGAAAAGGGCTCCTCACCATCCCTTGCCAACGTCTTCGCTATAGACTATTTTGGAATTCCACGCCGGCTCGTATAAATAGTTCGTGATCCATTCGGTGACTTGGTCGGTTCCCCGCTCATGGTCCAACGCCTCTTTAGCAGACACATTCATACAATACACAATCTTACTCTGAAAGCAATGTCAGCAGCCAGATATTCTCCACTGCGCTCGTAGGAAACTCCGCAAAATGGCCCAGCTCAAAATTTGTGACCAATCGGGTAGGTCTGCAATAAAGTTCAGAAATCATTAAAATACGTCGTTCATCAAATAACCACATCCGTCATGTCCGCCACAGATGCCTGCAAGTAGCGATGACAAAATTCTACTTGAGTAGCAAGAGTTGCTCTCACCACAAATTTGCACAAACTCAGATCACAACCTGTGTGCCTGGAAGTGGAGGTCAATTATCGGATTCCGTGGCCAAGAGCAGATTTGAGACTGACGATGTCCCTGATGTGTTTGATTGAATCAAAATACAAGCCAAGCTCGCTCGATGTGTTCTTGCTGGAAGCTTTTGTGATCTTTCCTGCTGAAGAAGATACGAGGGTGCTCTAGATCCGCTCTGCGTTGTTCAGGTCTCCCGCGTTAGTCACGGGGCAAGAAAAGATGATAGTAGTAAAAGCATCTGGCTGCATTTACCTTGAATTGTCAAAACTGGACGGGGACACTCCCATGGCTATGACTTCTGAACTGATGCTGGTCGGACGCTTCAACGTCGAATCAAAAGTTATTTTACTTCAGAAAGATTTTTCGCCAGACAAAACTTCGGCAAAAACACCGTGTTCGTCAAGTGTACTGCATATTACACGTCGTCTTCGTGGGTCCCGGTGCCAGTCGCGCCGCGTCGGACACTTCTACTCATCGCGACAAAATGGAACATTCTAACGCTGGTTTTTTGTCCGACCCATAGATACACCAGCCTGGTAGGCAACAATTATGCATACATCAACGCGGTCCCATACAAACCCGGCGGATGACAAGTTTGTCTCGCGCTCGAAACTTTCCTGCTGGCGTTCCTCCCTACATGACGGTAGTTCCAGCTTTGCTGAATACTACGATTTGGCAATCACCAAACTTCGGGCGGATCCAATTTCTCGCCGATTGGAATGAAAAGACTGGCCCACGCACATGGACATCTGCACAGCGGCAATTGAGCGTTCTCAAAAAGGTCGCTTTCGACGCCTTTGAAATGCTTTGCATCATCGCATACTGTGCCGCAAAGCTGCGTGCGTTGAGTGAGGAAGTGACGTTTTAAAGTGGGGCGCAATTCAAAACTCCAGAGGTCGAGACGCAACGGTGTGATCACAGCATTGAAGAACAAATATTGAGTTTTTTCGACGTATGCGGAAATCACGAATGCTACAAAATTTGCATGGTCACACACGCCGCAGCCTTGGGACAATTCGCGTCAGTTCGAGGAGATTTCCACATTGCTGAAATTGGGGCTCAACAACATGCCCGTCGAAACTCCAGAACCGCAACCGCTCCTCGCGAACCTCGGTCTCGTCGCGAGCGTATGGAATTTCTTCGTCTTCGTCATCCATCCGGCGCTCGCCGTGGTTGTCCTTGAACTCTCGCTGCTCGTCCCGATACCGGAGTCGCTGCTGGCATTCGAAGTGCGCCTCTACTTCGCCATCGGGTATCTCGTCTTCTCAATGTTCGCCGCCTGGACAACGAGCGAAAAAATCAAGGTGCGCCTCACCAAGGATCGGTATATCCAGCGATACACGCGGAACCGTATGATCGATTATGGCTTCAACCTCGCGATCGTGGCGGCGATGTATCACAATATGCAGAATTCGAAAGGCTCCCTAGGAAACCAGTCAATACATGCGACCTTCATATTCTGCGGACTTTGGTGGATTTTATTCGTCTTGTCGATCTCTATTGGTCCTGTAATATATTTCACGGCTCGCGCAAGTTCGGCGGAGGAGCTGAATGCTACAATAGCAAGAAGACAGATTGATTGGTGATGTTGGGATTTGAGGCACAGACAGACAGTCGTTTACCCGTTGATCAATGGCAAAAAATGTACCTTCCGGCGCTCCTGTATCGCAGCGTTGGAGGACGAAGACGAATGTCGATTTCGAGCTTCGCGTCGAGCAGCACCATCGTTGCACAGCAAGCACGGCTGTCAGCAAGTGCGCTGCACACACAGATCCACGAGCAGAATCCGGCGTGTAAAAGCTGTTCCGCGTGCATGTTGAAACCTGTGTCAACCGAAGTTGCATCCGTTCTACCGGTGTGGGTTCTAACACAAGGCTGATTGTTCACTACTTTCTCCAACCGTCGAGAGAAGAACCTCCCACGCATTACGATTCTCCACCTCGTTGCGACCTTGCGGCACATGTTCATTTTCAATATTTGCCCGACAATTCGCTCCTCGATCACGTCCCTCTCGAGATTCAACGAGGGTCTTCATTGGCTGATCTCGCTCGAAAACGTGATCATGCTCGCATTAGCACACATACATCCTATCGAGACTCGAGGGGTATGATTGAGCAAGATCAAATTGACACTCTGCACGCTCTATAACACTTGTAGTATTTCCCGCCACTTACATATGTCTAGTCTGAGTTTCAGGGCAGATTACTAGCATGATCTCATCAGACCGCCAACGGGCATGATCAAGGTCTGCGAAATGTACGCCGTTATGGTAGTTCGCGTGCGGCGAGTTCAATTTGAGCTGAAAGTCGTGGCCAGTACAGTCGTAGCTTTCCGAGGTCTCGGATAGACGACAGGCGAGAACATTGCCATACGGGGACATCATCACGCTTGGGGCATAATAAACCACGTCAATCACGCGCTCGACGATGCGCACAACAGACGACCTACACTGTGCGTGCCTTCGCATGAACACGCACTTACACATCAATGGTCTGCGGAAATCTTGGAAAAGCATTATGAGCATTAGCAAATTGTCTCGGTACGCGAAGTCCTCTGCGGAAAGACCAACCATTTCGTCTCCTCAATATACTCCTTGAGTTCGCCGGAAACGCCGTTTATTGGAATGTGAAGCACAATGCTGGAGTCCATGGAAAGTTTTAGTGGCCTAGCTTGTTGTGTGCGAAGTCGTTGGTCTTCGTTACTTTGTCATGGTCGTGGCGGGGTAAAGTGTGAACAGCATTGGCAATTGCACTTTTGACCCTGTTGCAAATGGGTGCCTTGCAAGAGCTCGATCCAGATCCTCCTTGTTCTAGTATCGGTACCTGGTCGAGTAGTCCTTTGGGCTCACGACGAGACCACGACCTTTCTTTGCACCCTTGTAGATGGTCTCAATGATATCAATGAGCTCCTGTTTATCCTCCAGAACCCAGTTGAGCTTGTTATTGTTACCCGTGCCGAAATCGCACATCATGTGCTTATTGCGGAAGAAGAACATGAGCGTGACGGTGTCGTACAGCTCGTACATCTGTTTGAAGTCGGGCACCTGATCCAGATCGCAGACATAGATGACGGCGAAGTTTTTCACGCGATCTGCAATCTTGTATAGCACCTCATCCTGCTGCATGCATTCGGGATCCCAATCACGTCCAAATCGAATCACGACAAGCCGATCTTCCTCGCTCATGATGGCTTGGTCGACGTGCCAGCCGGTCTGCAGGTGAGGAATGACGACGGAACCCATGTTGAAAAGTTTGACGCGCCAGCGAAAGTGTAGAATTGCTCAGCGATGTGACAATAAATGCGATTGGTGAGTGGTGCTCGAATGTTGTAATTAACTTGGAGCGTTGTGATAAGAAGAGAGTTCAGTGGCACCGCCGTCGAATCGAAACTTGAGTCATGCGACAGCCACGCAGATGCGTCATGCGATATGACAGCCTCAGGCACGAAGCGTCGATCGGCCATGCGCTGCGGCCCGCTTGCGACGACATTCGCTTTTGTGATTTCAAAATGTCAAAATGCTAGCACGTGCCAATAATCGACATTGCAAAACCGGCGACATCTCCTCGGCCTTGAGACTCACGCGAGACATACTGTAATCTCGATTGGAGCCGTCATTCGCATCGCGGTCAAGCTGTTGCGATCAAGATGCGTCTCACCGTTGGATTGATCAACGAAGCGCTATCATACAACAACCCAGTCAACGAGCGCGAGCTCAATCTTCGCGGACACAAGATCCCGACCATTGAGAACCTGGGTGCGGCGAGGGTGAGCTTGATCCCTTTCAACATGATCATGCCAACAATAAGCTGAACGCTTAGGATCCGGAATGTATCGACTTTACCGACAATGATTTAGTGAACCTTGCCAACTTCCCGTTGTCACCACGGCTGCAGACACTTCTCTGTGCACACAACCGAATCACCAGCATAGCGTCTAATTTGTCGAAAAATGCACCGAATCTGCACACCTTGGTGCTTTCGCATAACAACATTTCCGAGCTGACGGCTCTCGATGCACTCCAAGGACTCACCAAACTCCAACAGCTCACGCTTTCGGGCAACCCGGTGACTGCGAAAGAGGTGCGTTATATCGATGGTCGTCTGGCGGACGATAACTTGGCTGACCGCGGTGTCTTGAATTAGAATTATCGATATTATGTCCTCTGGCGCTGCCCGCGTGTCCGATATCTCGACCTCACAAAGGTCAAGGATGCAGAGCGCAACCGCGCCAAAGAGCTTTTTGGATCCTACGATGACCCCACGGAGCTGGCGAAGGGCATAATCGCGGCAGGAGCTCTCAACGTGCCCACTTACGCAACGTCGGTCCTGGCGAACGGCACTGGCAAGACTTCCAGGTCCAAGTTCACCAAGGACCAGGAGAGCCGATTGCGCGTGCTCATTTCAAAGGCCAACAGCCTCGCCGAAGTTCAGCGATTAGAAAAAGCGCTCAACGAAGGAAGGCTGCCTGCTGGGTTTGCCACGGACGATGATGCCATGGACGAGACATGAAGACCTTCTTCCTGGAAGAACATCAGCGAATAGAATGGCTATACCCGTAGGCGATGCCCGAGTTGGTTCAGAGATTGCTCGGTTCAAGTGGCCTTGCCCGTATCTCGCACGTCGTCTTCATATCCGCATCGTTGGAAATCTCGAGGACTTTCCCATGGCCAGGACAAGCCAGGCCAGTGCATCCGCACTGTTCGTCGCAGTGTCGCTAACGCTGCACGCGCGAGAAGCTCGAACCGCAGCCCACGTCGATGCTTCCACGTACGGGATGCAAACTCCGAGGTATTAAATACAGCTTCCGTGGCTGAGCCGTGCGGCCGCTGATATCTTGTACAGACTTCGGGACTGGCATGCTCGGGAAGTGCGACGTGAGATGACAACATTGCAGGTGTCGATTGACCGGTGCGACGCACGAGATATAAATATCAACGCTTCACGCCTGACAAACGAAAAATACCAATATTTGACATTTCCATCACGCATCGTGTGTTTCATCTCTATCTATATTACATTCCCGGGCCATGTTGTTTCCTGCCACGCCAGCGTGCATCGGAGAAGGGGGGGAAGGGTGGCGCCAAAAAAAAGAAAGGAGCCAAACCAAAAATCTCGCATGCCTTCGTCCTAACAAAACGCCTCTCATCTAGAACAACCGAACCCTCGAACATGATCCCGAAAAAGAAAAAATGCTGTCCAACGCGGAGAGAGTCCCATTCCGTTCCCCTACCGCGTCCCCACGAGCCTCAGCTTCGTGAGCAGCTCCTCCCGCCATTTCTCGCTGTGTCCGTACGCGGCCCCGCTGCGCAGACTGCAGCGCTCCATTTCTTCCAGATTCCACTTGAAGGTCGGCATGCGCGCGAGGGTCGGCGTCGTCGTCACCATCGAGTGGGGAATCCGCGGCTGTGGTTGTGGCTGTTGGTGTGATTGTTGTTGTGGCCGGAAGACTGGCAGCGCGGTGGTTTCGCCATGACGCTCTCCGCGCGGCCGGAATTCCGGTAGCGCGGTCGTCTCCGCGAGGGGGGCTACCTCTCGGTAAGGAGGGGCCCGGTCGTTTTCTGTTGTTGTCGTTGTCCAGGGGTATTGGCTGTATCGGGTGGAGGAGTGGATCATGTTGGAGGGCAGCCGGGACGGTTTCTCCATGTCGGAGTAGGAGCCCGGGGAGTCTCTGTGGTTTTCGGGGATGGGAACGTCAGTTTTTCTCGGAGCTCGCGCGTGCGTCATGCGTGGGTGTTGGTGTTTGTGTGTCACTTACGGTCGGTATCCATATTCTTCTAGGCCTGGGATGTTGATCTTCTCGTGTCGGAAATTGGTGGGAAGGCCCTGTCGAAGGATAAGTCAGGTCAGCTGGTTCCGTCGTCTTTTGCTCGAACTCGGAGGTGCAGAATCACTCACGATTTGAAGGACGGGTCGGATCTTCTCGTCCAGGTCATCGTACTCTTCGTAGCCGGTGCAGCATTGGACCGCTTTCCGAAGGAGAGTGCCTGCTCTTTTTTCGAATATGGAGAGTTTCTCGCGAACACACCCGTTGTTGGACGACATGGTTGTGATGTGATGATCCGATGTGAGGTGAGGTGAGGTGGTTGATGTGGCTGTGGTTGTTGGCTCTCGGAAGTATGTCCGTTCCGAATACTGCTGCCAGAGCACTTATGACGGCGGAATGATGTTCTTAATCCTGTCGTTGGAAGAGTTGATATCGACGGTTATTACACAATCCAGTTGTTGAGCAGAGATAAAGAAGGATTGTTCGTTTCCTTGTTTGATCCAAACAGCCATACGAGAGTTTCGTTTTTGTGAGACCAACCACGGATGAGAGAAGAGGTTCGGGACAACTCAAAAGCGAAACATGCAAAAGGTTAAAATCCCGAGAGGAGAGGACCACGAAGAGAGGTTGTGTGAAACCACAAACACATACGAGACATCCAATGCCATTCTCCCACCGAAGCGAGCGGCGGGCCCTGACATATACATACCTACCCAGGGATACATCCATACATTACATACATCACACCACATATGCAGGTCCATACAGGGTGTGGAAAGGCACGGCGGACAGATCGAACCTCTGGTCATTCGCATCCGCGACATATTAAGAGCCAGACCACCAGCTCTACGTTCCCTCGCGACACCCACCAGAGGGTTAATAATACGCGCCGCGAAAAAGAAGAGAATGTGACTGCCCTTGCGGACATATACACACACGCGCACACACACACAATCGATGATCGCCCGTGAATGATGGTGCAAATCCACGGCAAGTAACCTGTCGACTCGAGAGACTCTGGGACCAGCTGACTGCCTTGCCCATGTGTGTGTGTGTGTGTGTGTGTGTGTGTGTGTATGTCACGGCGCGGGAATCACGCTTGCTGTTTTCATCATTTATTATTATCATCATGTACCAACCTTGGAAGGTTTGAATCCGCAGACCGCCGGTTCGCGAAGCGCGGGCGGCGGGACCCAAACCACACTTCTGCCCATCCTTCAATCCATCCGTCCATCCATGAAAACGGCCAGACCCAAAATCCGTCCTTTCTCTTTCCCTTTCCCTCCTCGAGGTCTCCGAAAGCTGGCTCCACAAACCTGATGAAGTGAGGTAGGAGGTAGAGGTCCACATATACGAAAAACAAGGGGCATACAGGAGAGAGAAGCAAGCCAAATCCTTTCTCCTCCTGTCTCTACGCCTCACTGCGCCAAAAAGCGGAGTCGTCGAGGTCGTCGTCAGGGATATATTGGAACGCGAGAGAAAGAGAGCGCCCGTTTCCAATGCGGAGCGGGCGAGCGAGAGAAAGAGAGAGAGGAGCACGGGCGGGCGTTTCAGGTCCAACGTTTCAATTAATGCACGCGGGCGGACGGGCGTTCCGGCGAGGGCGAGCGCGCGCCCGTCCGCCCTGTCCGCCCTAAAGCAGCCGAAACGCGGGAGGAAAAGAGCGGGGAAGAATCAATCAGTTGTCCACCACCACCACCACCACCTGCACTTGCACTTCGGACAGCTGTGGAGTGAACGTGCCCAGGTGTGTCGCAGGTATGATATCGTGGATTCCCATGGTAGGCCCGCATGGCTTTAATTTTAGGTGCAGCCACGGGACTGAAGGCGTCGTTCCGTTCTCCTTCTACAGTAGCATCATCATCTGACTACATCATCATCATCGCCGTCGTCACCTGCATCATTGAGGGTTTTTTCCGCGTTCGTTGTTAGTTCGTCTCACCTGCGGGCTGATGATGCCTTTTTCTGACCAGAGCATGCGGGGAATTCCCACTTCTCGGTCGTTGGTGGGAGAAGGATGTCACGAATCGGTCGGTATTGGTGTCTTTGGCCATTGCCAGGGATCATCACTTTGATTGTTGTGGATTATTATCGTTATTGATCGTCCACGCGATGACCTGTCACACTTCCACATAGGGAGGTCGCGTGCGCGTGGTATCTTGAAAGACGATAGACGCGCACGTATGTGTGGGACTCGTCATTTCTTGAAAGTAAAAGGACGTGTCTTCTGCCGCCATTGGCGCATGGTTCATCATTTACTCAAATATGCGAAGATACGGATCGCCCGCAAACTAACGACGATTTGGGAGCTGCCCTGTCCAACAACCTCTATCATTATACCATCACTTGGGATAGTCCTTGACGTGGTAACTCTTCAACTTCACAAACTGATCGAAGCCGAACCGACTCAACGTCTGGCCCTTCCCGCTGTCCTTCCATCCCACCCAAGCAAGGTCAGGGCTAGGATAATCCGCCCGATTGACAAAGACCGTACCGGCCTCGACATCGGCCGCTAGCGCGTGACCCCTGGCGACGTCCTTGGTCCAGATGGAAGCTGTCAACCCGAATTGATTGTCGTTCATGAACTTGATGGCCTCCTCGTCGGATCTGACTTTGAGCACGGGGATCACCGGCCCGAATGTCTCGTCCTGGACGACTTGCATCTCTTGCGTGCAGTTGACCAGGAGCGTGGGCGCGACGTAGTTGCCGTCTGCGGGCGGGTTGTTGAATGATGCGTTTGGGGGAGTCGCGTCCTTGGCGCCTGCTTTGATCGCCGTTTCGATATGCGAGCGGATCCTCTCGGCGGCCGCTTTGCTGATCACTGGGCCGATTTGGGTGTCTTTGTCGGCGGGATTGCCCAGTTTGTATTTGGACAGCACGTCCTGCGCGGCTTTGACGAAATCGTCATGTACGCTTTCGTGGACGTACACTCGCTCCAAGCTGCAACACGATTGACCGGAGTTGAAAATGGCGCCGTCGACAATCTCTTCGGCGGCCCAGGCGACGTCAACGTCGGATCGCACGTAAGCGGGATCCTTGCCACCCAGCTCCAGTCCGACGCGACAGTCGACTCGACCTGCCGCCGCCTTCTGGACGGCAAGTCCACCCGGCACCGATCCTGTGAAACAGACCAGTTGGATTTCAGGTGCCTGGATCAACTTCTCAATCTTGCTCAAATCCCCACAGTGGAAGTATTGAATCACATCCTGGTCCAGGCCCGCCTCGATGAAGATCTTCTGGACCTGCTCCGCGATGGTCGGCGTTTGCGGCGAAGGTTTGAGGATGACGCTGTTTCCTGCGAGTAAAGCCGGGACAAGCGAGTTGACGAGTGTGAGGTATGGGTACTGCGGCGGAGCAGTTAGCGATTGTTCAGCAAGTCCGCGTCAATCTCTCCCCTCCGTGCGGGACGGGAAAGTGAATCACTCACGTTCCATGGGAAGAGGATCAGGACGGGTCCGAGCGCTTGTTTTCGAATGTAACGTTTGAAACCTTCTTGAGCTTCTCCGGGCGTGTCGGCCAGGGCTTCCTCGCTGACTTTGAGGAGATATTCGCCTCGAATTACTGCGGTTGCGACTTCCTTGGCCGAGTAGGCGATGGGCCGACCCATTTGGTCGGTGATCTCTTGTCCCAATTCATTTTGCTTGTCGCTGAGTAACTGAAGGGCTTTCTTGACGATGCTTTGACGTTCCTTGAGAGAAGTCTGGCTGTATTTGATGAACGCTTGTTGGGCAGTTTTGGGGATCTGGGTGTATTCTTGCTCAGTTGGTCCCTTGCGCTCAACGATAGGTTTGTTGGTCGTAGGCGAGATGGTGGTGATCGTCTCGACCGACATGATGAATTTGACTATGTTTCAACTTGTGAATCTATTCTCTCGCGAATTGGAATCAATCAGATTGATGTTTCGTTTGCGTATCTCTCTATAGTGGGTTATCTTTATGCTTGATACATCGACGGTGTGGTACTAGGGTTACCAGATATCAGCCGAAATGAAGCTATGTTTGGTGTGCAGTAGTCGGCCCGTTAAGAAGCATTGCTCTACGGAAGACCGCAGAAAGAAATTTCCCTACGCATCCGGCGATGACTTCATACCGCGCATCATGCCGGGCTGGCAATGCCGCCGTGGCTGGAAATGTGTCGGAAGGCATTTTCAAATCGCTCACCTTCACGACAAGTCAGTCCGAGCAGTCAGTTGTGCCACGATGAGTGATTCGGAATCTTCATAATTTTCCATTCGTTTCGCCGAGCCGTCGCTCTTTCGTCCAGTCGAAAATTTGGCGCGTCCTGCACCATCGGCAGCTTTCCCAACGCGCCGAGCTAGCTATCGCAATGCTGCCAATGCAGCGAGCCACCGGCCAAGCGGTGCGAATCGCCGCACGACGCACACCTTTCTGGACTCAGGTCTCAAGTAAACAATGTCCTTCAAGATCAATCGCACCTACGATACACAGAAGAACGCTCGCTTCCACAAGCCGGCCAGCTCCACGACCTATCCCTCGATCCTCTCCAACCTTCGACTTCCGCTCACACCAGATCAGACCTGCATCCACGACTCCCTCACCCGCCAAATCTCCTAATCGCTTAGTTCGATATACATACAAGGCCTTCGCCACCCTCGGTCTTTTCGTGGCAATCAGTGGCGGCCTTGTCGTCGCCTTCTTCATCTACGATGCATCCACCTATTCCGAGCAGCCCGACTGTTTCGACGTCCCGGTGTCCGAATACGCTTTGACCCCACGAAGAGGAGGACCAAAGAACCTTCCGATCGTCGAATACTTTATTGACGACGATGACACGCCGGAAATGAGGGAGCAAAAGCACAAGCCGAAACTTGTGATTCTAGGGACAGGCTGGGGTAGCGTCGCTCTCATCAAAGCTTTGAACGCTGGAGAATACCATGTCACGGTCGTGTCTCCCAGCAATCATTTCGTCTTCACACCTATGCTGCCCAGCGCTTGTGTTGGTACGCTCGAGTTTAGGAGCTTGGCGGAACCGGTCCGGAAGATTGTGAAGCGGATTCGTGGACACTTCTTAAAGGCATCCGCACACGATGTTGATTTTGAAGAGAAGTTGATCGAGATGGAGTCTGTTGGCCCCAACGGAGAGAAGGAGAGATTCTACCTACCCTACGATAAACTTGTGATCGGTGTTGGATCGATTACAAACCCGCACGGTGTCAAGGGGCTCGAGCATTGTCATTTCTTGAAGGAGATCAGCGACGCGCGAAAAATCAGAAACCAGATCGTGGCCAATTTCGAGCTTGCAAGCCTCCCGACGACGTCGGACGAGGAACGAAGACGCTTGCTCTCATTCGTCGTTTCAGGGGGTGGCCCGACCGGTGTCGAGTTTGCAGCTGAGCTGTACGACATGCTGAACGAGGATCTCTGCAAATTCTACCCGCGATTACTTCGAAATGAGATATCCGTGCATGTGATTCAATCGCGTGGTCACATCCTGAACACGTACGACGAGGCCCTGAGCAAGTATGCAGAGGAACGTTTGGCACACGACCAAGTGGATGTCCAGACCAACGCCCGTGTGAAGGAAGTACAAGCCGACCGCATTCTCTTCACCACAAAGGACGGAAACGGACAGACCGTGACGAAGGAATTGCCCATGGGCTTCTGTCTCTGGTCCACTGGTGTGGCGCAGACCGAATTTGCTCAGACACTCGCGAAGAAAATCGAGTCCCAAAACAACCAACACGCATTGGAGACTGATTCACATCTGCGACTCGCCGGTGCGCCATTAGGCGACGTCTATGCCATTGGCGATTGCAGCACAGTCCAGAACAACGTCTCCGACCACATCATCACCTTCCTCCGAACACTCGCCTGGGAAAAGGGCAAAGACCCCGAGAAAATACAATGTACCTACAGCGAGTGGCGCGACGTGGCGAAGCGTGTCAAGGCCCGTTTCCCACAGGCCGGTGACCACCTCCGACGCCTCGACAAGCTCTTCGAACAGTACGATCGCGATAAGAGCGGAACTCTGAATTTCGAAGAGCTTAACGAGCTCCTCAAGCAAATCGACAGTAAACTGACCTCCCTCCCGGCGACCGCCCAACGCGCTAACCAACAAGGAGTCTACCTCGGCCGGAAACTCAACAAGCTCGCTCAAGCCGCGCCCGGCTTCGCCCTCAACGACGTCACCGAAGGCGACCTCGACGAAGCCGTCTATAAGGCCTTCGAGTACAGGCACATGGGCAGTCTGGCCTACATCGGCAACGCGGCCATCTTCGATTTCGGCGGCGGTCTGAACTTTGGCGGTGGTCTCCTCGCGGTCTATCTCTGGCGCAGCATTTATTTCGCCCAGAGCGTCAGTCTCCGCACGAGGATGCTGCTCGCGGTGGACTGGAGCAAGCGAGCTTTGTTTGGAAGAGGTGAGTTTCTTTCTTTCTTTACGTTCCTTCGTGCTGTTGCATCATGGCCAGATGGGAATTGTGCTAACGGGAATTTTACTGCAGATTTGATGAACTTTTGATCGGTGTCCCCGACAGCTGTGCGCCGCATTTCTCGCTTCGAGGCGATTCGAGTTCGATTTTCTGCGAGCTGATAGATATTGCATGACCGCTCGTGTGTAAGGCACCTACAACATCCCCCTTTTGCCTTGGGGGAACAAGTGTATTCCTATTAGATCTCGGCGAATGGTGGAGTTTTGACAGTTGATGATATATGATTTTTCTCATTCGTGGTTTCTGCTTTCTTTTCTGGTTCTCGACAGACGGGATCGCTCATTTACATTTGTCCTGCAGACCACCGATCTGACCTCACTCTTTGGGCTTGGAAAGAAATTTTCCAGCTCAGGCTCGTCGTTGAAAGCACTCTCCTGACTACGTATAGTGGGTTTAGTCAAGCAATGCAGGTTCAACGCAGACGTTTCTATCACGACGGTGCTATATACTTCATATGTTCTATTGAATCCGTCCTCCCTTTGAACTTCGCTAAACCTCTGTAATTATCCTCGCTTTCGTTCAACCTATGAACATTTATTATCTCAGGTAAATTGTCAATGTTGGAGCAGACTGTTTGTGCATATAGAGGATATAAGAATGGACGAGGGAATGGAAGGTTGAATTGTCTCCTATTATTGTACATCTTCCCAAGGTTGTTCAGATTTCCGGAGTCTCGACGCGCGGGCGCTGTACAACAAGCGCGACTTCACATCCTCATGTCACAAGCAAACCCCACCCGCTTTCACGATCGATTTGCCCAAACCAAGTGATCCAAACCAAGTGATGAAACGTGACAAGAATAATAATAACGACATCATTGAGGAACGACGAAATCTCCATACGCAACAAGTCATTATATCATTTTCGAAATTGCAACGCCGCAAGTCAAGGAGAACTCTGATATCGAGTCCAGCGCGTCTTTCCAAGAAACGCCAACAAGTACTTCGAGACACCACTCCCAGAGAGAACAAAACGGAGGGAAAAATCGACTCCACTCCTCGAACTAAACCAAGAGCGGGTTGAAGACTCTACGATTTTTCCCGAATAAAATGACATCAACGACCAACCCTTCCCACGATCTCCCCTCCGACAACAACGCGCGGAACCATGTCCCCAATGCGACAACATCACCGCGCGATGTCGAAGACGAAGAAGCCTCCCTCCTGCCCCTTGAACGCGAAGTCCTCGACGAATACGCGCGCCTGGCCGGGAATCTCGACGATGTACGTCTCCTTCTCCTTCTCCTTTCCCTACCCTCCCTCCCTCCCCTTCCACCTCTCCCTGCGTTCAACCCATCGTCCATCTCCCTCCCACCCCAATCCAACCCCTCCCACAAAGTTTCACCCACTGACCAAAGGGAAAATCACAACTCGGTGTTGCGACCATCCAGCTCTCCGCCATCCTCGCCGATCTCGCGGCCGAACCTTCGGTGGGAATCCTCGATGCGCTCCGCGGGCTTGAGCGCAAGACGGCCACGGTCTTCACGCTGTTGAAGGCGAGCGTGTATTCGATTGTGCTGCAGCAGGAGATCGCCGATGGCGAAAACGGGCGGTAGGAGATGATGGATTTCTTGTTTGTATGGGTGGGAGTGGGGGAAGGAGTACATGAGGATACGAAGAAGGGAGATGCGGTTGAAGTATGTTTGATTTCTTCGCCTTCCTGAGCAGTGGGAAAGGGAAATGATTTGGCATGAGACTGATTATAACTCGGGTCCGCGAGCCCCTCCATTCCGACGGCTGCGAAATGGTGGCGAAGCCAGATGGCGAGAGCGGTTTTGAAACAACAATTGTTTCTTCTCACTTCTAGGATATCTAAAAAACGATGCAGCAACACAAAATCCTCCCCGCTGCGTGTAGAAACAGCCAAAAAAAACACCAAGAATCTACGCCTACGCCCGCCCATCCACCCTCTTCAGCATAGAACTGTATGCCACTACTTTCTATTACCCATCCTCCCAACCGCCACCTCTTTCCGTTCACTCCAACTCAATCGTGGCTGGTGGCTTTCCAGTGATCTCATACCCAACCCGCGCCACACCCGACACCTCGTTCGCAATCCTCGCTCCAACGTGCTTCAGCCACCCGACGGAGAAATCCTCAAAGACATCCGCGGTCATGAAATCGGTCGTCTGCACGGCCCGCAACCAAATCACCTCCCCGTGTAATCGCTGATCGCCGACGACGGCCACGCTCTTGACGCCCATGACGGCGGCGTACGCCTGGCTGATGGCGCGGTAGTAGCCGGCGGCCTTGATCTCGTCGATCCAGATCTTGTCCGCTTCCTGCGCGATGCGGATCCGTTCCGGGGTGACTTCGCCGATGATACGGATGGCGATTCCGGGGCCCGGGAAGGGGTGGCGCCAGACGAGGTCTTCGGGAATGCCCATGGTGGTGCCGAGCGCGCGGACTTCGTCTTTGAAGAGCTCGCGGAGGGGCTCGATGAGTTTGAGGTTCATCTTCTCCGGCAGGCCGCCGACGTTATGGTGGGTTTTGATGGTGGCGCTAGGGCCCTTGAAGGAGATGGATTCGATGACATCGGGGTACAGTGTACCTTGAAGGAACCATTCGATGTTTCCCGCCAGAGGGGTGTTTTTGGCTGCTTCAGAGATCTCCTTGGCCTTTTGGTCGAAGATGTCGATAAAGGTGCCTCCGATGATCTTGCGCTTCTTCTCGGGGTCTGCAACGCCGGCCAATCGGCTCAAGAACAATTCGCCGGCATTGACTACGGTCAAATTGATGTTAAGTCCCTTAGTGAGGGTCTCTTCCACCTCCTTTGCCTCGTTTAACCGCATCACGCCGTTGTCGACAAATACGGCGTGGAATCGATCACCAATGGCCTCCTGCATGAGCTTCGCAGCTACTGTCGAATCTACACCTCCACTGACCGCACCGATCACCTGTCCCTTCTCGCCGACTAGCGCCCGGATCCGCTCAATCTCCTTCCCGATGAACGACTCCATCGTCCAGTTCTGTTGTGCCTTGCAAATATTTACTGCAAAGTTTTTGATCACTTGCGATCCTCGAGGGGTGTGTGTGACTTCGGGATGGAATTGGATACCATAGTATTCCTTCTCTTCATGCGCAACTCCAGCAAATGGCGCACTACCAGTCTCGGCGATGGTGACAAACCGGTCCGGTAATTGCGAGAGCTTGTCACCGTGCGACATCCATACCTCGAGGCCGTCTTCCAGACCCTCAAAGAGTCGGTCGATGTGTTCCAGCTTTCCCTTATGCCTCGTCACCTGCAGCGCCGTGCGACCATATTCCCGCTTCTCTCCTGCCGCGACATTCTTTCCATGGTTCCAGGCCAACTCCTGCAATCCATAGCAGATTCCCAGGATTGGGACGTTCAGGTTGAACACTTCCGGGTCGACGTGCGGGGCGTCGTCTGCGTAGACGGAATATGGCCCTCCCGACAAGATGACTCCTTTGGGCTTCCAGGTTAACTCGGAAAGTTTCTGTGTGCATGGCAACATTTCTGAGTAGACATTGAGTTCGCGGAGTCGGCGAGTGATGAGGTGAGTGAATTGGGATCCGAAATCGAGGACGAGGATGGTATCGTAGATTTTGTGAGGTTCAGGCGGTGTAACGCCATCTTGTGTATTGTTTGTTGCCGCCATGGCGCAGTGTGTAGGAGAGAGTGTAGATATGTGGACGTCTATGAAGGAATGACATTCACCCAATGTGAACGAAATTTTGACGACAGTGACTCTTTCGTCACCCAACTTCTGGAAACGAAGACCCCTCCAAATTTTTGTTATCGATTAAGAAATTCATACAGCGACTTTTGGCCAACCCAGCCAGAAAATGTAGATTTCATCTCCTCCTCTGGACAATTTGTTCTTCAGAATACCTCAGATTGCACGTTTTTAGTCGGGCATTGTTATCAATATCCTCGACGATGCTATAGCTATGCGTCCAGTCGCTCTTTTCCTCGCCGCTACAGAATCATGTGGTCTGTACATAATAGACATTGCCATTGGAGCTGTCCAGTTGATTCCCGCAATGCTGTGAAGTAACTTGTCATAAGTCGACGTATCTGGCAAATGCCTCGATATTAAATTTGTGTTCGACAACGACGTAGATCAACAACTTGAGACTGGTCAAGAGTTTTTGGCTTATTCGATTACGCGTCTTTCTGAAATAGCAAAAGCTCTACTAAGTTACCCAAGAACAAATCGATCGATAGCAATTCATCCTCAACCATTACGATGCCCAAGCGAAAGGCCGACAGCAACAATGAGAAGCCTTCGAACGAGTCGAAGATGGACATTGATGGCCAAGATGATGACAGTGGAAGTGACGATGTATGATTGTATCATGTATGGACTCAAACTTTCTTGGGTGTTAATCCCAATGCTTTTAGGATGTTTCCATCATCGATGTCGATTTCGAGTGGTTTGACCTAGATTCAACGATCGACTTCCATGGAATTAAAACGCTCCTCCGACAACTTCTCGACGTTGACAACCAGCTATTTGATCTATCAGCTCTTTCAGACCTCATCCTATCACAACAACCTTCCGTCGGTTCAACAGTCAAATGCGACGGCAAGGAGAGTGACCCATACGCCTTCCTAACCGCATTGAACCTATCGCATCTGAAAGACAAACCCATCATCCAAGAACTAACGAAATACCTCATCGAACAAGCCTCGAAAGCTGGGGTTCCTCAACTCTCTTCGCTCCTCTCTCCCGACTCCTCATCCCAAGTTGCCTTGATTTTCTCCGAACGCTTCATCAACATGCCCCACGCCATCGTCCCTCCACTCTACAGCATGCTCCACTCGGAGGTGACATCCGCCGCGGCCAAGGAGTCCAATTTTGGCTTCACCCACTACCTCATACCCTCTCGGACCTACAGCCTCGTTGTTTCCGAACTCGACGCCGAGCCGCAACAGGGCAACTCGAAGAGGTCCAAGAAACAAGCCGCCGCCGCGGCTCAGCCCGAAACCTACTATTTCCATCCCGAGGACGAGGCGCTACATCGACATGCGCTCGCGTATGGTGGGTTCGATTATGTCAAGCAGGGCGATGAGGGCGCGTCGGACGCGAAGAGGGCATTCCAGGATGAGGGTGTGAAGACGCAAGGGCATCTGATCTTGATCGAGGCAAGCAAATTTGAGACCGCGACGAAGGCAGTGGCGGAGTATCTGGGTGGCGCGTAGTAGGTGGGATTCTCGTAGAAATCGAGACATTTGACAGAAAAGCTGTCGGCTGTGTTCCTTGATGGGCTTGATTTGGATGTTACGAGAGATGTCGACGGAACGAGACGCGGTAGTTTATGTAGACTGGTTTCACATACGCTATCAAAAAAGGAGCAAATCTCGAATAATTTGTACATGCTGGAAGTCAGAGAGCGACTCCAGGGTTCTTTTTTCGCTTTACTCGATGCGTGGTTTCTCACACGGCCACTGGTGAGGGAGAAGAATCCGCTCTTTGTTCCCTTCCCCAATGGCCTCTATTTTTTGATGACACGAATTTCATATTTCTCCCTCCAACGTTCCGCAATGCACATAAGAAAAAGCTTAACCAATAACCAAGCTGTTGTCCTCGGGGAAGTCGTATGTTGGCACCTCCAAGTTCAGCGGTGCTGGGCCTTTTCGGATTCGTCCTGAGATGTCGTAATGGCTACCGTGGCACGGGCAGAACCAGCCGCCGAAGTCACCGGCCTCGCCGATCGGCACGCAACCCAAGTGTGTGCAGACACCCAACATGACCAGCCACTCGGGGTTCTTGACTCGGTCGCCGTCGGACTGCGGGTCACGGAGCTTCTCCCAGTCGACGGACTCGGCCTCCTTGATCTCGTCGGCGGTACGGTGGCGGATGAAGACGGGCTTACCACGCCACTTGATGATGACGTTCTTGCCCTCGGGGATGGCGGCGAGGTCGACCTCGACCTTGGCCTGGGCAAGGACATCGGCGGATGCCGACATGTTGACGAGGAAGTCTGCAATTGGACAGGCGCGTCAGTACGAATTCTTCCTACAACGATGCGATCTCATCGTGTCGCATTGAAACTCCTATGAGATGTGTATCCCGACTCACTTGCTACTGTGTCCTTGGCGCCCATAGCCGACAGACCACCGAGGGTTCCGACCATAAAGTACTGGAACACCTTGTTGGCAGTCTCGCTTCCGTTCTTGTATGCCTTGAAGCTGGGGATCTTGGTGGTGTCCTGCTGTCCGCTGGTACCGCGCGAGAAGGGTGAGTTCCATTGGGCGTGCGAGGTCGAGGCGTCGGTGGCACTGGCCTGGGTGCGCTTTTGCATGGCGACGCTGGAGCTGCAGAGCGTCGAGGGCGCCTGCTGGCGCGCCGCTTGGCGGACCAGCGAGGTGGCGGCCTTGGAGGCGATAGACATGACGGGCGGCGGAGTGGAGGAGTTTCAATGGCACACGCGGAGATGGGCGGAGGTGTGGTCGTCGGCGTGCCGCTGAGTTGAGACGTGAGTATCCAGGGAGATTGGAAGTGGTGATGCTTTCGGCTGGCAGACTTTCTTGTCGGATACGGGCGACGGAAACTCCCGCCGAGGTAAGAACGGGACAATCGTGATTGGTGGATTCGGAGAGCTCCAGGGCTGTTGAGGACGTGAATTTCACGCCCGGCTGTTTTAACTACGGTGAGCTTTATGGAGCACCTGGACAAACAATCGCTGCAAACGTTATTATATTGATAAGGTCATCGTCGACTTTCGTCTCACGATGTTCGAGCATCCTTCTGCACCTTTGTAATCAAACATTCGCAACGCTGCCTCAAGCGGATGATCGGCATCATCAGCGAATCAGATTGAGGAGACACAATGTCAGAATACGCCGCCAGGCTGTCCTTGCAACGCAGAACAATCCAAGGAAAAGGGTCTCGAGCTTCTCAGCCATGGCAGTAAATTGAGATTGACCTCTGGGAATTCCACCTCTGATGAATGAATGAGCTTGTGCGAGTTCACCCGCAGCTATATCGGTGTTCTGCTCCGATCTCCTCGATAGTGCCTGCCTAGGTCGTCTATGATAGCAACCGTTATATTGACCATCAGTCGTCTGTCTCTCCTTCGAGGGCTCGATTTCTCTGATGCGTAGCACAGCCCCTACGAAACAATGAAAGCAGGGCGCATTTGCTCTTATCAGCAGCGATTCAATGGATTACCTCTCAGCAGTGACAAAGAGAAGTAAGGGCTCAATTTTCAATGTGACATTGTGAATCAGGCTGGATGCAGTTAATCTCCCGTGTCCGCATTTCCAAGGCAAGTTCGACATATGGTCAGTTTACTACAAGGCAGTCCAAACTCAGAAAGAAAAGCTTTTATTGTGGGTGCAGTGTCTCTTCAAAACTGATGGATGCTACGCCATCGACGTCGCATGAACATTTTCAAGAATCGCCAAGAAGCAAACACTGGTGCAGGACGAGCACAGTCCTTGAGGAGAATGTCAAATTGCGCATATATTTGTTATCCTCCAGACTTGTCGTCAAATGCTGACAATGCTGACAACAGTATATCAATTGCAGAGCTCGTCTCGGCAATTACTTCCGAGCCCAAAGGCGGAGAAGCCTGCACGTGGCGGGGTTCCAGGCAATTCGATCACGACTTTGTATACCTCAATGGCCAATCAGACTCGAATGATCGTGGAATATACTAAATGCGATTGCAGAGTTACGTCGAATATGTCTGTGGCGTCGACATCTCTGTGCCAGTCACATTGGAGCTGCATCTGACCCTTGTGTCGGACATGAAGCTCACACATGCATGGACTGTCCACTTTCCGAGTGCATAAATACAAGAATGGCGACACCGACAAGTGGAATAAATTAACCTCAAGTGCTCTCCCCACAACAAAGACTGCTCACAATGAAGTTCACTCGGGATCTCGTCCTGCAGGGCGGCATTTTATTGATCCTGGTTGAAGCTGTGACTTCGATCTCCATTTCGTGCGGCCCTGACTCGTTTTTTCGGGCGCTCCAGTGGAACTGCGATGTTTGCGGTGACAATTTTCTTCTCGGGAGCTCGCCGATCGTTTGCGCACCTGCCAACGCTACGGTAAGAACGTCTTTGTTCACCTGACTTTCTGGTATATTAACATCCGCCGAATACAAGCTGACCTGAACTCACAATTCGATGACATTCCCGTCGGTCCCATTGGAGAATATCAGCGAATCAATTGGACGAATTTCGAGAATACGGTCAACAAGGTGCCTTTTGTGAAACCAGCCTCTGCGGCCAACTTCGCCAAGTTGCCCGCGGGGAAAAGGGGCATCATCACCTTCGATCTTCAGAGCGATATTGACCGCCCGCAGCGATTTGGAGGCTTCCTAAGCTCCTTCCGCTACGCCTGCGCCTTGCCCTTGACCAGCATTCCGATCAGCTGCAACGTGAAAGTCGCCGAAACATGCGAAACAATTGCTGCGGATGGACTCGGCCGCGTCACCCAGACCAGCATCACGAACTTCAGGTATAATGCATCGTTGACCTCTGGCCTCATCCGCTCATCGTCGTATCCGCCATACACATACTTCTGTACGAATGCTACGTTCAGTGCCAAATCAGTCTTGGGCACGCCTGTGGATCTATACTTGGATGAAGTTTTGCATGGAGTATTCAAGTCGCGTTTCTTTGATAGTGAGGTCTAGTCTATTTGGTATCGTTATCAAAGATTAGGAGCGCCAGCGGGCGATTATCCCCAAGTTCTACATTGATACCGCACACGGTTGTCGACTGAGGGACACATGAATTCACTCAATCGTCATCAACGGCTTTGTAATAGTTTGTGTGGATCAAGGCAGCCTGAACCGATGATATACATATTTGTAAGACATTCGGGCTGCACATACGATCCCTTGGTATGGGCGGCAGCATCGACATGGGTGCTTTAGCGAGATCTCGAAGCTTGATCATCCAGCTAGCATTTCGCTAGTCTATGCAAGCCACTGTCAAGCTTTTCCGTCTGACATGTATCAACCTCACATTTGGTGCAAGACCTCCGCATTTGGAGCACTATTCCGAGGAGCATTAATATATATATATGTATACCTATCAAAGAGTCCAGCATGATTCAACCCGGTCGAAAAGCGGTCCCTCTTTGGCAGCCCTGATCTCGTGATCATCGATCACCATCACCATCATGAAACCCGACATCGTTGCTGCCCTCTACGGGGCCATTCTGCTTGCCATTACGCACAGCGTGTACGCGCAGTCTTATTTCTCCTGCAATCCCGACAGTCCGTACGCTTTTTTTCGCCAGCCGCTATGGAGGTGTCAAGTCTGCGGAGACTATCTCCGTGGTAGTGCTCCCATCGGGTGCAACCCACAAAATGCTACTGTAAGAGGGCACCGTTATTCAAAACAAAATGATCACTGCGAAGGACTCCTCACCGACTGAATCTCCATAGTTCGATGACATCCCGGTCGGACCGATCGGCAACTACCAACAAACGAACTTCACGAACTTCGTCAACGTCGCCGACAACATCCCACATTCTCTGCTGCCCCTGGTGAAACCTGCATCCAAGCCGAAATTCGCCAAACTCGCCGCCGGCAAGACCGGCATTCTCGCCTACAACTTCGACGCGCCCGCCGGGAACTACGTCGGCGGATTCCTGAAGACCATGCGCTTCGCCTGCGCGCTCCCGTTGACGATCATCCCCGTTGCCTGCAAAGTCACCGTGGCCACCACTTGCACCGCCTCTGGGGGATTCGATCCGAACCAGGTGGAGACTACCGTCACGTCCTATCGCTATGCTGGCGGTCTCAATGCGACTCTGGCATCCTTGACGCCTGGTCTGCCGACGCAGTTCAGCTGCTTCAACAATACCATCACTGCCAAATCGCTTCTTGGCGCTCCGGTGGATCTTTACCTTGATGAAGTGCTGCATGGTAATTGGGTTTTTCGGAATATTTGAGTATGTCGTTCATGAAGCTGTGCATTTCAATCAATGTTGTCGATGAGATCCGACTCCTATCATTGCTTTTCACCCATTGCAGAAAATTTCTACGCTTGTTACAGTGTGCTTGCACTTCGGACCTACGCTGGAAGATTCCCTCACCTCGAGCGTCACTTGTTTGCGCACCTGAGCAAGTATGTGACTGTCAACCTTAGCACGTCACCTTGTCGTAAGATTCAGGTGACTGTCATCATTCGAGCTTTGCACGCACGAGCAGTAGTTTCAAAACATCACAATGCAATTATCATCATCAATCTTGTTGTCGCCACTTTCAGCAAGCCCGATCTACCGTGGCTTCAAGGTCATCCGCCGCACAACATTTGCACAAACGACTGACACAAGCCGCCGAAGCTCATTTGTGTTGCTCCTTGATGTGAGGCGATAAGCCAGCTATATCGGCACAATGAGTGGTCGGATCCTCTACCCTTCCATCAGACTGAGGTGCAGAAAAGACCTGGTGACGTTATTGAACACCAATCTCCCCGAGAGAAGTCTAACTTTGGCCGATGAAATCGACGACGTATTACGAGCGGCCGGCCAGAACTTTGTCGCATTCCGAGACCCAGGCATGAGGAATAGTCAAAGGCACGGGATTTTGGTCTCGGCGATGTTGATGCATGGCACGCTGCTGCAAAAGTATCACCTTTCAACCATGACTCTTTTGTAATCCACGGCTCACAGGTATATGTTGGAAGTATTCGTCGTTGACGATTCTCTCATGTTCTAACGTCCTACAGTCTGGTGGTGCACATACCATCTTAGCCGCCTAATCACGAATGGCTTCAGACGATGCATCAGACGACCAGCCCCGCGACAGGAACACATCCGTACACATCCCTGATGACTCTCATCATCGTACGCGATACTCTGCGAACACGTCGTCCATTTCACGTAAGTTGCTGCCCTGTTCCGGGGCCGACTCATCAGCTCTTCCCTTGAGCTCGGAACCATCAACGACGACCACCGTCACACGCTGCTCGCGTCTAAACGTCTTCTGCCGTCGAACCTTGAGCTCATTCGCGACCTCCTCCTCATCAGAGCCCGCCGCAACGCCATACTCGATCCTTACCCTCGCTGGGATCCGCTCGAGGATAAGGGCCAGCAGTATGCCCAGCATGTCCCGCATGGCCGCGCTCGCCGCATCCGGATCGGTGCGCAAGACCACCGCGATCCGCAATTCCTCAATAGAAGTAAACGCCCGGAGGACATCTAGATCCAGCTCTGTGAACGGCGCGCGATAGGTGGCGGTGCAGTCCAGGACTAGGCAGACCCGCCGTAATCTCTGGAGCACGCTCTGAGGCAAACGCGATTCCGCGATGAGCGGCGCGTCGAGGGCTCCGGCGTCAACGACCACGCATGTCGAGTTTTTCGTGTAGAGGAGGTGTTTCGCCTCGTCGTAAACTTGACGACATGCCGCTAAGAGGGGAGGTGATACCCTCGGAACGACGGCTTTCCGACAGGTTGCTGAGGATGTGAGATGCAGACATCCAGTCGGCGCAAGTGATGCCTCATAGATGCGTATTCGGAGCTCGGCTGGAAGCGCAAGAAGTGGGCAGGGCACAGTCCCAGCCATTACGTGGAGGACGACTCAGACGATTCGTGTCTTCCCGACACATAAATGTGGTTCCGGGCGTTTGTTGCGATCGTGACTATCGAAGCGTGCGGGTCTAAGAATCTTGACAACTCCAGTGATATACTGGAAATGGACGAGTGGGATCCAAGCGTGTGCACATCTTGGTCCTGATTATTATTTATATTCACTCTCAAACCATGTTTACGGCACAGCACATCATCTCCATGGGATACGGCAGGACAGCAGGATATCCAATCAGCCACGCCATCGATGGAGGTTCCAAAGTTGCCCAGATGGTACTGTGAATGCTGTAACTCAACCCTGGAAGGCCGAAGCGAACCCTGAAGCCAAGGGGGACGGATCATCCCGCCGAACCCGCAACCTAGATTCCGGGAGGTCGTGCCCGAGCTAGAGAATGCGGCGGCGGCGGCGGGAAGGAGGAGAAGAATATCAAGTCCCTCACTTTCCCTGAATCCTTATTGCTTGACCGCCTGGAAACACCACCGCGACGACGACGACAACTTCACCTCTTCGTCCTTGGGCATCTAGATCTACAGAGCACGAGATCGTACGTATTCTTCCAGTCCGACAGCATTGTCGTCGGCATTGTCTCGCTCCGCCAGCGGAAGTGCGTTCACGAGACGCGTTGCACGCAAAATGCCGTGGGGATCGCTCCGCTAACACAACACACCCATGCAGAGGAACTTCCCAGGATTAATAACCTCCCTCCATCACCGCCAACATGCGTGAAATTGTACGTATCCTCTCGGTCACACTCGGCATGTCGCATCGGTCGCTGCCGGTGATGATGGAAATTACCGAATTGATTACCAAATGAATTGGTCTTGCTGACTTGGATGTTCTTTCCTGCACACAGATCCATCTCCAGACCGGCCAATGTGTAAGCTATCTCGACGGTTTCCCGGCTTCAACGCAGAGCAGCCGGCTCACATCTTCCACAGGGTAACCAAGTCGGCGCCGCTTTCTGGGACACCATCTCTGGAGAGCATGGCCTGAGCGAGGCCGGTGTGTAAGTTGCTTCCATCCCGACCGCCCGGCTGGATTCCTGCCTGGTCAGATAGCTGATCTCGTATTTTCACAGCTACACCGGCAGTTCCGACTTGCAGCTCGAGCGCATGAACGTCTACTTCAACGAGGTCAGTGAACAATCACATACATGCAAGCATGCCGTCATGAATCTGCAAACACCCCGCTTGGATGTAATTCCATATTGACACTGCTCCCCAGGCGTCTGGTAACAAATATGTTCCCCGTGCCGTCCTCGTCGATCTCGAGCCAGGCACCATGGATGCCGTTCGTGCCGGTCCCTTTGGCCAGCTGTTCCGTCCTGACAACTTCGTGTTTGGACAATCCGGAGCCGGTAACAACTGGGCGAAGGGTCACTACACCGAGGGTGCCGAGCTCGTCGACCAAGTCCTCGACGTCGTTCGTCGCGAAGCCGAGGGTTGCGACTGTCTGCAAGGTTTCCAGATTACTCACTCCCTCGGAGGAGGAACTGGATCTGGCATGGGAACGCTCCTGATCAGCAAAATTCGTGAGGAATTCCCCGACCGAATTATGGCAACATTTTCCATCATGCCATCGCCGAAGGTGTCTGACACTGTCGTCGAACCTTACAACGCAACCTTGTCCATCCACCAGCTCGTCGAGAACTCGGACGAAACCTTTTGCATTGACAACGAGGCTCTCTACGACATTTGCCTTCGTACCTTGAAGCTCACCAACCCCAGCTACGGCGACCTCAACCACTTGGTGTCGACTGTCATGTCTGGTGTCACTACCTGTCTTCGTTTCCCCGGTCAGCTCAACAGGTAAGCCGACGGTTCGATCTCATCTCTGTCACAATTACTGATCGCAATTCATCGTAGCGACTTGCGAAAGCTTGCTGTCAACATGGTTCCCTTCCCTCGTCTGCATTTCTTCATGGTCGGATTCGCCCCGCTCACTAGCCGTGGAGCCCACAACTTCCGTGCCGTCACCGTCGCCGAATTGACTCAACAGATCTTCGACCCGAAGAACATGATGGCTGCCTCTGACTTCCGTCACGGCCGCTACCTGACTTGCTCCGCCATCTACCGTGGACGTGGTGTCTCGATGAAGCAAGTCGAGGACCAGATCCGTGGTGTGCAGGACAAGAACCAGGCCTACTTCGTCGAATGGATCCCCAACAACGTCCAAACTGCGTTGTGCTCGATCCCTCCTCGCGGTTTGACCATGAGCAGCACTTTCGTCGGAAACAGCACCTCCATCCAGGCCTTGTTCAAGCGCATCGGTGACCAATTCGGCGCCATGTTCCGTCGCAAGGCTTTCTTGCATTGGTACACTGGCGAGGGTATGGACGAGATGGAGTTCACTGAGGCCGAGAGCAACATGAACGACTTGGTCTCTGAGTACCAGCAATACCAGGAGGCGTCGGTTGATGAGGAGGGCGAGTACGACGAGGAAGCTCCTCTTGAGGACGAGGAGTAAGCGTTATATGCCGTGGGCGCCTCTGTGTGCGTTCCTTCGGTTTGAACGGGAGCGAAACTTTCCATCGATTGTCGGATCGCGCGCTGTTGGCAAATTAGAAAGGTCTGAAGTGTGTGTGAGAGAGAGAGAGAGAGTAGTCTAATCCAAAATGAAAAATCGGGTTGAGCTTCACGGCTCCCTTGAAGTTTTCGATTCCTCGATATCGTCTCGTTCGTATGTGGATTGACGGACGCTGCACCAATCCGCTTTTTCTACTCATCAGAGGCCCATCACATGCAATCCACGGGAGCAGTCGCAGGCGCAGGATCCGCTGTATCGCAATATTCGCTCGCTCCTCGGTGACTGCTCGGGGCTTACGTAATTGCTCGCTTGCCCAAAGTTGGTGAATCATCGTCGTATGACGGACGATGCCTAGAATGTCGACAACCCACCCGACCGACGGGTCAATTCGCCCTCTAAGAGTCCACGAGAGTATATAATCATCCGCTCGAGAGAAACCGCGGTCTGCTTTCAGAAGAAAAAACACCATCATCGCATCGCATCGCAGCCAACCAACCAAGCGAACCTTTCGTCTCACAGGCGGTGATCGACACGAGATGTCCCATCAAAGCACAATCGGTCACTACTTTCGCGGCGGTCCTAACCAGAACAACAAGAACAACGACAATAACAACAACAAGAACAAGAATAAACGCCGCACCGACTACAAATCGACATATGACAGCGACCATCCCTCCAACACAAAACCAGAAGAACAAGAACAAGAACAAGAAGAAGAAGGATCCTCATCCCCCTCCACCAAGCGCCAGAAACTCGCCCCTCCCCAAGTCCACCCTCTCTCATCATCATCAGCGTCCAACAATCTCCAAATCGTCCACAGCACAGGCGACCTCTTCACCCTGCCCCCACGGAACAACAGCCTCCTCGTGCACGCCTGCAACACCCAGGGGTCCTGGGGCGCCGGGATCGCGAAGGTCTTCGCGAGGGAATTCCCCGACGCGTATACCGCCTATCGGGAACATTGTCGTCGCAACGAAGGGGCGGATCTCGTGGGCACGGCGCTGTTGATCCCTCCGCCGGCTTCGAATCCCGAGGAGAACGGAGCGATTGATGGGCGTGCGGCGTGTCGCAACAGCAGCAGCGGCAGCGATCGCAGCGATCGCAACCCCCGGCGAGCACCGCGGCAGTTCGTCGGCTGCCTCTTCACCTCGCGCTCCTTCGGCCGGAAAGTCTCCCCGCCCGACCAGATCCTCGCGGCGACGGCGACGGCCGTCCGGGACCTCTTGCGGCAGGTGGAGGAGTGGAACGAGGCTCACTGTCGTGGAGGCGAGAGGCGCGATGACCAGAAACAAAGGTGCGAGGATGATGGGGACGACGAAGACCGCCGGATCCGTTCCGTCCATATGTGTAAGATCAACGCGGGCCTGTTCAACGTCCCCTGGGAAGACACCCTGCGGGTTTTGAAGCGGGTGAGGGTTTTTTCAGAGGTCGCTGATGGGGATGGGGAGGGGGATGGCGATGGCGGCCAGGCGCGGAGGAAGCATGCAATCGGCGGGATCCGCAGCATCGAGGTGATTTCGCCGCCGGCGGGTTGATTAATTGGTTGGGGAGGATCTCCTGGTGGATGGATGGACACGCCTCTGTGTGTATGGACTAAGGGGCTCTGGAGGGACAGCCCGCATGCAGGAAATCTCCATGACTATTTCCATCACGGTGATGGTCATAAAGATGATGAGGATGATGGTGATGATGATGACAACAACAATAATAATAATAAAGGGAACTACCCGCCAAATCCGGCTGCTTTTTGATTTTGTTCCCCTGATCCCCTTTTCCCGTCTATTCTTTCTTTTCTGTTCGCGAGAAGGGAGGAAGGGTGACAAGAAAAGAAAAGGAAAGGAAAGCGAAAACAATTCTTCTCCATGGCGGAACCGAGGGCACAGAGGAGGAGATGGGCGATGGTTGTGTGAACCACGAGAACGACAACAGCTACAGTCATCACAACAACAGCAACGAACCTGTGGCGGGAGGGAGCAGCAAGTGCCAGGCAGCAGTAGCTGGGGCAGCAGCAGCAGCAGCAGCAAGCAGCAACGGCAGTAGCAGGAGTGGGAACAAAAGCAGGAGTAGCACCAGAGGAGACGGAATTGCAAAGGGAGCAGGAGCAGGAGCAGGAGCAGAGACCTTACCCACCCATCCACCGACGACGACGACGACGAAACAAAACAAAATACTAATTCAGCATTGCATTAGATTGCATCTCCAGACGACGATCCCGGGATGGTGGTGGTGGTGAAAGAATTGAATGTGAATGTGAATGTGAAAATCTCCCAAACAAACAAAAACTTATCGTCCATTCCATTCCATTCCGTTAATTCCATTCCATTTATTCATTCAGGAGAGGAGAAGAGGGGAGAGAATGCCGGTTTCGTTGTGAGCATCGAGTCCTCCTCCGTCTTTTTCTCTTTCTTTTTGGGGGGGTGGCCATCCCTGTTTCCTCCCCTTCTTCCTTCTTCCTCTTCTTCCTCATTTTCCTTCTCCTGGAGGGATTCTGGTATGATTCTTCTCTCCGACTCTTTGGTCGCCTTCCTGTGCCTGTGCTTTGGCGGGGAGAGAGGGAGGGAGGGTGGTCGTGGATCACGATACGATATATTCTTGCCGGTCCGACAAGAGAAGCGGCCCGAGCGTGGGGACCCGCATATAAGAACACGGGGAGGAAGGAGGAGGGGGGCAGCTGGCACGGAGGAGGAGGGGGAGGAGGGGGAGAAGAATATAAAAAAAGAAGGATTCCATTGATTTGAATTATGTGATATGAATTTCTTCACCCGAGCAGTTCGACGTCCAGGCCGATGGCGCGCATGAAGAGGTTGACCTCGGCGAGGCGGCGGTCGCGCATGCCGCCGTCGGCGGGCAGGGTGCGGGCGACGGCGACGGTCTCCATGACGCGGTCCTTGACGCCGAGCACGAGGCGCTGCTGCTGGTCCGGGCCGGCGGCGACGCCCATGGCCGCGAGGAACTGCCAGATGTGCACGTCGGCGGCGCTGGCGGCAGGGTTCGCCGTGGCGGGGAAGAGCGCGGGCAGGCTGGGCTCGACGGTGTCGAAGAGGCGGGAGTAGAGGTCCGTCCAGTGCTGCCAGTCGTCGGGGGAGGGGGGTTGTTGGGCGGGGCCGGGGCCGGGGCCGCCGCCGCCGGTGACCTGCTTGACGAGCTCGGCGCGCGAGATGAGCATGGTGAGCATGCTGATGCCGACCTTGGTGCGGACGACGGCGGGGACGCTGACGCGGTCGAGGATCAGGCCGACGAGGCCGATGATGATGCCGAGGGGCGCCTCGTTGACGTAGCTGAAGAGCGGCGGCATGACGGCGGCGCAGAAGAGCTCGACCTCGTCCCGGACGGCGGCGGGGAGCGGCGTGCCGGAGACGAGGGAGGGGAAGGTGTCGCGGACGGCGTCCAGGCTGTCGAGATGGATGGCGAGGAGCGTGAGGAGGGTCAGGCGCTGTTGGTCGTCGAGGTGGCGGAAGATGCGGGGGATGGCCTTCTTGCCCTTGGACGGGCCGAGGAATTGGATGAAGGGGTGCGAGGTGGTAGGGCTGTGGTTCAGGGGATCGTCAGTCGGGGGGATCTCCCCATCGGAACATGAGTCTCTATAGATGACTGACCTCTGTTGGATGGGCTCCATCACCTTGCTAGCCTCCCACAACCTCTGGTTCAACGCCTGCATGTCCCGTCTCCATCGCATGTGGCCTTCGATCACCTCCGGGGGGCTCTCTTCGTTTGGAGGTGGAGGCAATCGTCTCTCGTGATCTTCCAGCTGCATGAGAACCGTGTACAAGGCTTCGACATTCCGCAGAGCGGTCTTGCGATCCGCGGGTCTGTTGGCGGGCACGTTCGCGGCGACCGACGGCGTGTCAGGACGCTTGATGTTCAACAACGGCCGCGGCGTTTTGGAATTGCTGAACGCGATCTTTCCGAGGGAGCCTTCCATGGTGAGCTGTTTGTTCTTCGGGCGAGCTTTCGCGGCCTCGACGGCGCGGGCGACCTGTTGCTCCATCCGAGCGACGTGGTTGTCGGCGTTTCCACCGTGACCACCGTTGCCACCCCGTGGATGATGTCTGCTACGACCATATCCATAACGGTTACCGCCCCCGGTCTGGAAGAGGTACGTCTGAGCGAATTGGTTGAGAGGCTGGCCAGGTCCGCTACGCGGTGGCCCCCGGATCTGAGCGTAAACCTGGTAATAGAAATCCTCTGCGAGCGGGTCACCTCCACCCGGCTCTTGAGAAACGCCTCCGGTGGCGGTCAGGAGCTGCTGGAGCTGGATGCGCGTGATGAAGTTCTTATCCTGGGGGGTCATCATGCCATTGTTCTTGCTGAGGAGGAAGATTTTGTGGTTGCGCTTGGCGCGCTTGGCTTCCTCGGCGAGGAAAGCTTCACGCTCGGTGCCGGACAGGTGCATCGGCTGCTGAGGGTGAGTCACGGGAGGACCATTGTACGAGGGTCCCCGGCCGTGACCCGGTTGTTGCATGGCGGGACCGCGGGGGGGCTGTACTGGGGGCGCGGATTGATGCACGACATGGGGAGGCAGCGGGTACCCGGGGAGAGGTTGACCTTGTCGCGCATCGAAATTCTGCGACTGCGGGCGGCCGGGTTGCTGGAGGGGCGATTGCTGTTGCTGCATCTGCTGGAGGGGGGAATGCTGGCGCTGCAGGACCTGCGGGGCGCGCAGGTTGGGGTCGTACTGCAGCTGCTGCGATTGCATGTCCGGTTGACTCACCTGTGGGCGCTGGAGGATCTGCGGCGAGCGCTGCTGCTGGAGCACGGGCTGTTGCGCAGGAGAAGCGGCGTTCCGTCCAAGCCCGAGCATGCTCTTGAGACCCTGTGTCTGGGCCAGGGGATTCGGGTTTTGCTGGGCCGCCGGACGAGCCTGGGAGCGCATTTGAGCCTCGACTTCTTCCAAGCTCATCATCTTCGACGCCTGCGTGGCGGCCGGGGCGGGGGCCGGCTCGCTGGAGCGCGAGGCGATGGAGGTCCCCCAGATGGACGCATCCGCCTCGAGCTTGGGGATGTACTCGGGCTGTCGGTAGGCCTCATAACCGCTCCGTGCCGGCGCCTGGCCGAGCCGGGTCTGACGGATGGGGTTACGGGCTTGATGCAGAACCTGTTCCTCCAACAAGGTATCCCGGACGCCCGCGGTCTGTCCAGCGAAATCGAAATCTCTTCCGACCGAGTCGCGCGTGACCGGTTCGTCGCCGCCGAAGGTGTCGTCGTTGAAGGTGTCGCCGGATTCGTCCAGTTGATGGCCCAGGCCGTCGTAGGTCTCTTCGAAGTCGAGCGTCACGCCGGCGTCTCGGCCATCCCCACGGCTCAGACCGGCGAACGGGTCGTGGGACTCGAACATGCCACGCGAGGCTGAGGATTTGTTGGGACCATCGCGAGGGAGCGTCGCATCGAATCCGAAGAACGACATGCCGACCGGTGGTTTGGATCGTCTGTCGAGCTTTGTCGGTGGTGGTCGGTGGTGATGAGTATGTCAAGGAGCCTCCGTTGACTTGTGGGAGCTTGGCGATCGTGTTGGAGGTGGTGATGATTGACGCTTGAACTGGATTGAGTTGAAACGGATGTTGTTGGTCAAGCGCCAGGATCATCCCAAGATGACGTCTGGCAACGATCGTGTGTCCTCTCCCAGTGAGACTTTTCGATGCCGAGATGGTCGAGTAAAGGGTTTTGGAGTGAGTGGATGTGGGTTGTCGCCGTCGTTGCAGCTTCCCGGCGACCTCGCAGATGGGCGAGAGTGGGTGGTGGGTGCAGTGCAGCACAATGGAAGACCGCCCAACGCCGCTTTACCACACTCTCACACGGGAAATCCTTCTCCACCAGGCCAGGGCACTTACAGGATTCACTTCTGACGTCTAGGAAAGAATTCCATGTGTTGCTTCTGCGTGTGCCTGAGGCCGAAGCGGGAAATCTTTCGAGGGTGGAGAGTGTGCCCAGGTGGGCAGGTATGGCGAGCGTCGATCTGTTCTGATCTCATCACGTGACTTTCTACAGCATGTGAGAAGCAGGTGAGGACCCCGTGATTTACCCAAACCCTAAAGACATATAGACATATAGTGGATCTCTCCAATGCGGGAGATCATATTATCCTCACATGCAGGTGGGATGGATGAACGAGACATGGAGCATATCATGGGACAATTGATGAGAGCACTGTCTTATTATAATTATTGCAACAGTGGCCGACCTCTCGAAATGCGAACGATCACCAACCTGGCCAACGTTGTCCTTGGAATGCATCGTGCGCTTCAGCTCGATCACCTACGTGATCCCATCTTGACAGCTGCTCACTTCCTCCCGCACGTCCTCGAGTGCCACAGAGACACGAAACCAGGTGGACAGAGGTGACTGGTGAACATCTGGGAATGTGCCTGGGTTGTACATTCCGTGCTATATGTGTGAACAACAGATGAACATGAACGACCCGTTCGAATCGGATATCCTCTGAAGTATATTATTTTCAGACCACCTACAGTGCAGAGATTATGCGTGCCCAGGTGCCGTTGGATATATATAGCTGTCCGCCTCTCTACAGCAGTGGAGATGATGTATGATGACCGATTAGGTAATTAACACACACACAGGTTCATCGTTTCCTTACAACAGCAGCAATGACAGTCATCATATCAGTGTTCCGAAACCATGAATAATAATAAATCATCATGATAGCACCCAGGTAAGAAAACATGGCATACCTAGCAGTGTCAGGAGAGCAACAGGCGACATCCATCCATCCCCCCCTTTCTAGCCTTCCACTCTGCTGACGTTGGGGTAGGTGCGTGGGTAGTATAGTATAGTGTAGTAGTACTCGCGGCATATCTCGTATTCGATGATAATGATGAGAGGAGGAGGCAGGCATCTCCTTCTCGATAAGATGAGAGAGACACATCTCGTATTGGCGACGAGAGAGGCATCTCCTCCTCGTGGTGATTACTTCATGCTGCACCTACCTAGATACTGTAGTCGTATATCATCATCTCCTCCTCCTCCTCCTTATTGTTATTGTTATTGTTATTGTCATTATTATTATGATTATTGCTATCATCACCGCCGCCGTAGGATGCCAGCACACAACATCTCCTGCGCTGGGTTTCTCTGTCACAGTCGGGTTCTGCATACGCGTCCGCTTTTCACTCTGGTCGTTGAGATGTACAGACCGCGATATGAAATGGCGGGAACATAACGAATATATATATATATATATATATATTACCATCGTCATGATCATCATCAACAACTTGGCTGGGGACCAGGCGACGTTGAGGCGTTGAGGATGAACGATTCGATGAAGCATGGCCTAAGGATAATGATAATACCACCTACAGTAGGTATACGTACCAGATAATTCTAACAATCAACTGTGGTACATGTACCCGAGTGGTGTGTATGTACCGGTACAACTACTGTGGACCCTGGGAAATCTCCCCGGCCACGCTCGTGCTCTATTATTTCCGGGTTGGCCTATTGAGCGCCTGTACTGGAAATTCGTGTACACCTGGGGCAGTAACATCTCTCACCCATTCGTCGTCTATCCATTCATCTCTCCATCAATTCTTTCCCTCCCTCTTCACCATCTGTCCACACTGGTCATCACCGAACGACCATCGATCATCGCCCGCATCACCCTCGCTGGCGCAAACCCTCCCTCCCTCTCCTTGACTTCCGCCGCTCCTCCATCATCATCACGATCATCACCTTCACATCATGGCGGGCGGGACGCGGTTATTCCGCTACATCGTCATCGCCTTTGTCGCCCTCATCACCATCCTCTACCTGACAGGCTCATCCAACTCCGCCACCCGCGAACAGTTCAAGTCCGCCACCGACAAGCTTCGCACCCAGGGATCAAACCTCCTCAACACCGGCTCGAGGAAGACGCCGGGCACCAAGGGTGAGCTGGCACACTCGGATACTGCCGACACCTCTCCCAACCCGTACGCCGACTCGACTCCGCCTCACAATGTCCTCTCCTCGGGGAGCGGAAAGCCCGCCCCTGGCCCTCGCATGAACGCCACCTTCGTCACCCTCGCCCGGAACTCCGACGTCTGGGAGATCTCCCAGAGCATCCGGCACGTCGAGGACCGCTTCAACCGCAACTACAACTACGATTGGGTCTTCCTCAACGACAAACCCTTCGACGACACCTTCAAGCGCATTACCACCGCCCTGACCTCGGGCCGCGCCCGCTACGGGCTGATCGGGCCCGAGCATTGGGGGTACCCGGAATACATCGATCAGGAGAAGGCGGCGCGCGTGCGCGAGGACATGAAGCGCCGCCAGATCATCTACGGCGACAGCGAATCCTACCGCCACATGTGCCGCTACGAGAGCGGCCTGTTCTTCCAGCACCCCCTGATGCTCGAGTACGAGTGGTACTGGCGCGTGGAGCCGAGCGTGAAGCTCTTCTGCGACGTGGCCTACGACCCCTTCGCCTACATGGCCCAGCACGGCAAGAAGTACAGCTTCACCATCTCGCTGTACGAATACGCCGAGACGATCGAGACCCTCTGGGAGAGCGTGACCAAATTCATCAAGAAGCACCCGCAGCACATCGCGCCCAACAACGCCATGGACTTCATCTCCGACGACGGCGGCGTCAAGTACAACATGTGCCACTTCTGGAGCAACTTCGAGATCGGCAACCTGAACTGGCTCCGGGGCCCCGCCTACACCGATTACTTCAACTTCCTCGACCGCGAGGGCGGCTTCTTCTACGAGCGCTGGGGCGACGCCCCGGTCCACTCCATCGCCGCCGCCCTCATGCTGAACAAGACGGAGATCCACTTCTTCAACGACATCGCCTACTACCACGTCCCCTTCACGCACTGCCCCACCGGCGAGCAATTGCGCGTCGACCTGAAGTGCTCGTGCGACCCGGGCGAGAACTTTGACTGGAACGGATACTCCTGTAAGATATCATCCCTCTCTCTTTCTCTCCCTGTCTCTCTCTCTCTCTCTCTCCGAACCTCCTCTTTTTCCCCCTTTCCCCTCTCAACACCCCCCCTTGAAAGACCGAATCGATTTTCCTGACGGAAACCCTGATCCAGGCACGGGTCGCTGGTTCGACATCAACGGCATGAAACGCCCGGCCGGCTACGAGAAGGAGAACTGACTCGCCGGCCGCTACGCCAACGTCTTCTTCGGCCGCATCAACCACACCGTCAAACGGAACCCCTTCAAACTGTTCCTCCTGTCCATGGCGCTGAAATTCGGAGTCGTCTGGTGGATCCGTCGGGTCTTTTACCCTCGGAAGAAGGGGGAAAAGGAGGAGGGATCCTCAAACGGGAGCGCCAACGGTAGGCATACCTGGATCAGGCCCGATGGGTCCCTCTGGGATGGGATTCTGGGTATGATCGGAGCGGGGAACGGACGGAGCACGAAGACGAAGAAGAGAAGGGACAGCGATGCTCCCTTTGTCCCTGACAAGGAGAGGAGCAGAAGACCTGCGGGCGCCGTCACGCATGATGAGGACCTCCCGCCTCTCTCCCTCGACGACGACGACGATGATGATCCCCGTTTTCAACCTTCTTCTTCTTCTTCTTCTTCTTTTTCTTCTTCTTCTCCGCTGGATTCCCTCCTGCTCTCCACCGCGAAGTTCTTCTCCTCGGTCTCCGCATCGTTCCCATCATCATCATCATCATCCCTGGGGTCCTGGATGACTTCCTCCTCCTCCTCTCGCCGGTCGAAGAAGGTGGCTTTCGATTAGGATTCTCTTTTCCCCCCACTTTGTCATCATCCGACATCGAAATCGAGCATTGACATTGAGCAAGAGAAAGTGAAAGAAAAAACTTGAGGGTCGTGGACCACCCCCTCCACTCCCCAACTACAACCACAACATTCACATCCACAACAACGATGACGGAGGACAAGGGAGACGATGCTGTGGGCACCTTTTTCTGTATTTTTTTGATTTCTCTGTATTACACATTTTTTTCCTTCTTCTTCTTCTTCTTCTTCTCCAACTTTGTCCTCGTGATCGTTGGTGTGATCGTTGTTTGTTGTGATCGTTGTGGGGTTTGTCGAAGATGTGTACCTGGGTATCTACTACGAGCACGAGAGGAAAACGCTACGTCCTTTATCACCTTCGACCTGGATACTCTCTCTCTCTCTCTCTCTCTCTCCTTGCTTATTTCCATCCCTTTTGCTATCCCTCCCTCCCTGGGAACCCGAAAAAGACTGATTGTGTCCATCGTGATGAGTTGGACATCCATCGGAGAGAACGGATGTCGAGCAGGAGCGATTGTTAGCTACTATCATGGAACGAGTACATATACGAATATCGGTCTTTGATCAACCGATCGTGATGAGAGAGAGTAAATAGATTGCCTGCCAGCTGCTCGGATCATAGGTGTCATACGAACTACGGTCCATAGTATTCTTGATCGGCCTACTATCCATACTCGTAGCGGCGTCGGCAACGTCGTCGTAGGTGTCAAATGGCAACACACATTATAGCGATAGTATATTTAGCAAAAGAGTCGTTGTGACAATATTAATTTTGATTTCGAGATCATCACTCGTCTCAGCTGCCTGTGGCCGTTATGTGCCCGCTTGACAAGAATTGAAATGTATATGTCCTTACATAAGCACGCAGGGCGACCGCCCACGAACCTCGCGATCGCCCTCTCGCGACATCATCTATCTACATACCTGGGTATGTTATCATGGTACCAAGTACTGCACGAACGGATCAAACACGGGAAAATCGTACCTAAAGCCTGGGAAATATCTGCACATCGTACCCGTCGCCCTTTTCGTCTCTCTGGCTCTCTCTCCCTCTCTCCCTCTCCCTCTGTCTTATGTTACCGTCTTTCGCAACGCCAAGCAAGGTACATAGAGGAAGAAACGAGGGACCAGGCTTGCGGAGGTCATGCATGAGAGGCGTTTCCCTTTTCCCCCTCGAGCTGCAGCAGCAGCAGCAGAGGAGCAGGATTTTGGCTTTTTTTTTCACCAATCATGCAGAAGAGATCACCTCCACTTCCTCCTCATGGAATCCCTCAAGCGAAGTGCTTTTTGACGTGCATCCTCCCGCTGTCCCCGTTGCGTATGGAGAGAGGTCCTGAGGAATTGTATACATGGTGCTCGAATGGCGGGCATCACCGATGGGATTGCGTTCCCATTTCCATGTATATGATATGTCATGCTTTTCGGTAAGGGTCTATTATGTGAGGAGGGATGAAAGGGAGGGAGTTTCCTGATCTTGTTGATGAGCATTATCATCACTCATCCTGTACTAGAGGTAGAAGCGCAATCGCGCTATGGCAGGTGTATACTGTGGCAGTTCCGTTCCTCGTTTGTAGAGTGATGGCGCTCCGTTGCCTGCGGTGTTGCTGCCGTGGAGAGAAGGCCGAGGGTTTGGGAGATAGAGAGAGAGTGCGTGTGAGAGTTTGCGTCTTCTTTCCCAATGGGGAAGGCTCACCGGTGATAATGTGCCTCGTCCCGACCTCATCACACACTGGCTTGTCAATCTCACCTCACCTCACCTCACCCACACACTCTTTTCCATTGTCTCATTCCGCCCAACTGCACCAATGGTCCAGATGGAGCAATTGGACCACATGCGCCACCACCGCCACCACCGCCCTCACCACCCTCACCACAACAGTACTGGAATCTCGAGGGCTCGGTGAAGACAGGTAGATGTCCGGGCGATTCTCATCTGACCGCTTTTCATGCTGTATGCCTCTTCAAACATGCGAAGATTCTCCATGAACGGGAGGAGAGCATCTCCACCCTCCTCCACATTCCCTCACGTCCCTGGCGCTGCCGCTGTCGAACGTGATCATCGTCGATCCTCGCGTCTCCCTTGGTGCGGTAGCTTCTTTCTTAGCTCCTCTCTTAGTAGTCTTCTTCTCGAAGGACTATCGTGAAGCTTGTTTCACCTTCTACCAATAGCACCCAAGCGAGGGACCATGATCTGGCCTGTTCCTTCACGATGGATCCACGTGGTGAAGCTACCAAGATCCGTCAGGTTCCGACTGGATCAAAATAGAACGCGCGCTCTGCAATGACGCGATCGAAATCGCATCCCCCGTCCACGGATGCCGATGATGATCACTTCTTGCGGTTCTGCCCGCTCTCCCGCCTTCTACGTACGGTAGATCCACAGGAGGAGCAGGATGTGTAAAGAGAGCGCCTGCAGCACCCAACAGCCACTGTGCAAGCCTCTATGGAATGGAAATGCGTGTATGTATGCCCACCGCTCTTACGCCATATGCCTATTCCTAATAAATGGAACACACTATCGTCTGTACGCCACAGTGACTCTCGATCATCACGGAGGTCGCGGGCATTCGTCCTCATCTTGTTACCCTCGGAGTCTGTATATAGCTTCGCCGTCCGTCCGCGAGACATTTTCTTTCCGAAAGCGGACTGCACTCCACGGGAGCTCACTGAAGCTATTCTCATGCACGTCGAGACTCCCGTGGCGTTCCTGCATCTCTTGGCACATGTGCAACTTCACGCCTAAATCCTGTCAGATATGCCCTCCTACAGTGAGCGTGTGGGCTGCAACATCCGTATGCTCTCCTGAGGTCATCTATCCGAGCACCTATCCGATATACAGCTGCCGGTCAAACCGGATCGAGGACTATGACTGCTCAATAAAAACGATGACAATTCAACTCCGCCGCGTACCAACCGGGCATCCGTATTAGTCATCACTGGAGGTCAATATCTGATGAGTCATCGGAGTGCTTCGTCCGATTTGACCGATGTCTGGCAGTTATGACAATTATTATGCCCACGCCATCGCCGCCATGGTCTCGAACCATCTTCGTTGATTCACGCCTGTGGCTGGACCAGCATGCTGGCGTCACCTCTGTCTCTGCAACTTGGGCTTGCTCGCTCGCTTGTGACAAAGCCATCATGAAGCCATTCACCACGACGGTCGTGATGGGAATTCTATATAAGAGCATCTTCAGATGCTCCCAGAACAGACGATCACACCCAATCGACCCGGTCTTCAGCGTTCACAAGAATCAAAGCAACTCCTGAGGATCACATCGATTGATCATCTCTCGTCGCGCAGATATGCGTTCACCCAACGTCCTGGCCGTGTGCCTCTTTGGATTGGTCTCCGCTGCACCTGCTCCTCAAGAGATCAACACCGCCCTCGCCTATGCCCTGCCCGACCCGACCTTCACGGTCAACTCCGCGGTCACAGCACAAGTCGTCACCTACGACCGTGATGCCATCTTCGCCGCTGGTATCAAGCAACTCACTGGCCTGGGTGCCATCATCCCTGCGACACGTGTAGCGGCTCTGCCCCTCGTGACCGCTCTACCGGCCATTGTCAAGAAGGCCGTGACGACCTGTACGTCTTTGCCGGTCGGCTACGGACCAACTCCTACCCCGGACACCCCGAGTGCTTTCCTAGCTCTCCCGGACTTCGGCAAGGCCGCTCTTGCCGCCAAGACCCCCTCGGGATACTTCCAGTCCTTCCAGAACCTCAATGCCTCGAACAATGCTTATGGCTACCTCGGCTATACCACCCTGACTACTTATGATGTCAACAAGTGCGCGGCCAAATGTACTGCTCTTACAGGTTGCGCATCTTTCAACGTATATTGGGAACGAAGCCCGTCTGTCGAGCCGGGCAACGATTGTCCGAATCCTCCGAGTACGACGTTGATCAAGTGTGCATTCTGGGGTGGTCCGGTCACTTCCGGTAATGCTGTCAACAACGGCCAATGGCGCAAGAACTTCCTGGTTGTCATTGCCGGTTCGAATGGCTACGTAAGCACAGCCATCCCGACCATTCCCGGGTACACCGACCCTGTTGCCTTGGGTAATGCCGCAATCAACGCTCCTTTCGACAAATTTGGCGCCGATACTTTCCTTGGCTCGCTCGTCTTCACCAGTGGTCCTTTCGATGCTACTCTCTGCGCGAGAGCTTGCTCCCAACAAGGATTCTGCCAGTTCTTCAACACTTATCTCCTGTACATCAACAGCACTGCCAACCCAGCCCAGAACCAGGGACAGTACTGCGCGCTCTATTCGGAGACCTGGACTGGAAAGTATGCGACTAACACGGGCACTGTCAACGGTGGCGATCGGTTCATGATCCAATACAGCTTTGCCTACAGCAATTCGACCAACCCCGGTCTTCCTGATCCTGCAGTCGCTGTTTCGCAAGCCACCAAGGTCATTGCCTCTCAGACTCTTCAGCCTTTTTGTTCCTCGTACCTCGGATACACCAGCGCTGCCACGGTCAGTCTCACGGCTACTGCTTATACGACTCCTACGACCACCAGCGTCGTGGTCATTCCGACAACGAATTACATCACCTCTACCTCCACTGTCGTGACCACCACCACCGCCACGAGCCACACGACCTCATCCCAAACCTCGACTCTGACTCCGAAGACGACCACCACCAGCACCACGACTGCGACCTACACCTATTACCAATACCCAAGCAAGCGTGCCGTCGCTTCCACTCCTACCGCCCTCACCCGCTTCCCCTCCGCGATCCTCTCCTCAGCCTGTAGCCTCCAAGCCACCAAGCCCACAGGCGCGGTCTCCACCATCACCGCCACCACCGTGACCCTCCCCACGATCCCCGTCACCCAAGTCACGACTCTCGTCTCCGTCGTCCTCGGCACCGCCGTCCCCGTCGTGACCTCCATCGCCACGGAGCTCGAAATCCTCACAGACGTCCAAGTCCTCCTAAGCACCCTCGTCCCCATCATCGACACCGTGCTGGCGACCGTCACGACCAGCCTGCTCCAGATCCCCACGGTCTCCGTCCCGTCGCTTTCGCTGGATACTACTTTGCCAACTGTCTCGGTGCCTACCATCTCCATCGATACGACATTGCCGACCGTCACGATCCCGACCCTCTCCATTGATACTGCTTTGCCTACTGTCACCATTCCCACTGTCACCCTTCCTACTGTCATTGTTCCCACCGTGTCGATCGATACTACCCTTCCTACTATCACCCTTCCTACCGTCACCCTTCCTACTGTTACTCTTCCTACGGTAACTGTTCCGACCGTGTCCATCGATACCACCCTGCCTACTGTTATCATCCCTACAGTCCCTCTTCCTACTGTCACCCTTCCAACCGTTACGATCCCGACCCTCTCTATTGATACCGCTTTGCCTACTGTCACCCTTCCCACTGTCACTCTCCCTACTGTCACCCTTCCTACTGTCACTATTCCGACCGTTTCGATCGATACTACCCTGCCTACAGTCACTCTTCCTACGGTCACTTTGCCGACCGTGTCGATCGACACAACACTGCCTACTGTCACCCTACCTACCGTAACGCTACCGACTGTTACTCTTCCGACCGTGTCGATCGATACTACTCTGCCGACGGTGACGCTGCCGACTATTACCCTTCCGACCGTGTCGATCGATACTACCCTGCCGACTGTAACTCTGCCGTCGGTCACCCTCCCGACCGTATCGATCGATACTACTCTGCCGACCGTGACTCTGCCGTCGATTACCGTTCCGACTCTTACCATCCCGAGTGTCACCCTTCCGACTATCTCTGTCCCAACCGTTACCATCCCGACAATTTCGATCAATACTACCATTCCCGAGGTAGCTGTGACAGTCGCTGCCAATATCACTCTTCCCGATGCCATCATCACTACAAGTACGACCGTGCTGACGACCACTGCTATTCCCACAACCATGAGCGTCATAATCTCTGAGATTATCAGCACCATCTTCAGCACGCCGAGCAGCACTCCCACAAGTGCCGCACCCACTTCTACTGGCACAGCCGGCGCCTCTGCATCTGGCACTGTCGCAGTGAGCGTCGGCCTCAACTTGACCGCTATTGTCGGCGTCGTCACCACAATCGGCATCCCCACCACCACCACCGCCATCACTACCACTGCCAACGTGCTCACCACCACCGCGGTTCCCACCACCATCAGCATCCCGGTCGTCCCGATCACGATCACCAATCCTTCCACCACCATCACCACCACCACCGCCATGGCCACCTCGACATCCTCAACCTTGGCCACCGTCGCATCGCCCACGGCGACCGCCTCCTCCGCCCCAATAGTTTCCTCCTTCGCCCTGCAAATCGTCGCCCCAGGCCTCGCCATCGACGGCGCCCTCCTCAAAGGCACCGGCGACACCAACTCCATCCTGCCCGGCCTCAGCAGCGACAGAGCCTACTCCAGCCTCCCCACCCTGCGCTTCACCTTCGACAGCGTGACCTCCCTCCTGGGCCTATCCGGCGCACCCTCCTGGACCATAAGTTTCTACAGCAGCACCGCCCTCCAGGCCAGCCTCTACCTCTCCCCGCTGTACATCGTCGGGCCGAGATTCACCCCCTTCATCCCCGCGACAACCAAATGCTCCGTGGACGCCAAGACCTTGCTCCTGAGCTGCTCCAACCCGAGTCTGACGGGCGCGGTCGTCCAGCCGACGTTCTGGGCCTCGAGGGGCAAGCTGTGGCTTGGAACGACCGGGATCGACCCGGATACGAAATCCCTGGGGACGAGCGTCAAGGTCAAGGTCGTTTATTGATTGGCCCTTTTCCCGTTTCGATTGGGTCTCTTTTTGATCTGGCCTGAGATTAACTGTTTTTATGAGAAATGTAGTTCGAGAGGGAGAAGTTAAGAATAGCTTTCTTTTGTATAGGATACGCGCGAGCAAATGGTTTCATAGGAGCAATAAAAACTTCACTTTACATCGATCCATCTACCTTCTGTCATATCGAGAGTAATTAATGGGAAACAAAGACAAATCCGTGTTTGTGAGGGAGGAAAAGTGATTACAGGAGTGTCCCCCAAACGAGAAAGAAACACCGGAAATAAAAGGGAAACCTCCTCCTCAAAACCCAACTCGACCAAATTAGAATTTGTGGATGTCAATCAACAAGAGAGAAAGAGAAAAGATTAAACCCAAAACCCCCCTACTTCTTCGCCTTCTTCTTCCCTCCTCCCTTTCCGTTCTCAGCATTCTCGTTCTCAACACCGCCCACACCGCCACCTTCCCCTCCCGCAACGTTACCGGCCTCGCCATTCGCGGCAGAAGCGGCGGCGTTGGCCGCGCCCTCCAACGCCGCCCTCGCGCGCGCACCGCCCCTCTTCCTCAATTCGCCGGTGACGCCCTTCAGGCTGGCGGGGACCTCCTTGCCGGTCTTGAGGTACCAGAGTTTGAGGTTGCGGGCTTTGTCCTTGAGCTGGACCTGGTTGCGGTCCTTGAGGACCTCGGAGACGCTGCCGCCGCGGCCGTAGAGGGCGAGGATCTGCGACCAGTGCGGGCCGTTGACCCGCTCGAGGCCCGAGAGGAGCGCGTCTTCTTCGGGTTTGGTCCACGGCTGCCGGATGGTGGACGAGGTGCCGGCCGTGGTGCTGGTTGGGGCGGTCGAGGGCCCGCTGGCGCCGGGCGTGCCGTTGGGTCCCGCGCCGGTGCCCGAGAAGGGTTTCTTGCCGTCGACGTTGGAGTCGGAGCGGGATTTGGCGTTGCCGGCGGCGGTGATGCTCTTGGATAGGGTGGAGAGGATGCTGCCGGCGATGCTGCCGCTGCCGGCTTTGGTGACGGATGTGCTGCTCTCGTTTGCGGATTGTCTGCCGCCCGCGTGGGCGCGGGTTGGGACGTTCATGATGCCGTCGACGTTCTTGCTGATGAAGGCGGCAAATTCACGAGAAAAGTCTTGCCACGAATATTTCTTCTGAAGCTCTCGGGCGGTCTCGGCGGAGGCTGGCTCGGCGAGGAGGTAGCTCTTTCGTTGACGGCTCCGGTCGATGAAATCTTGCTCACTAGGCGAAAGACTCGGCGCATCAGGATGGCGCGTCAGAATTTGAGCATCTAGATCTGGTGGGAAAAGCTCTTCCAGGAGTTCCTCAGGGCTGCCTTGGCTGTTGAGCAGAGACGATATATATGTTTGAGTCTTCATTTCCAGGTAGATTGCACCCTGCCACTTCAACAAGCGATGACTCAATGGCACAAAGGTCTCCATGAAGTATTCGTTCAAGTGGTAGAACGTGACGTCGAAAGCCCCGAGGATGCTGGAGATGAAGGTAGCGATATTCGCTCTGCGAATGATTTCTTGCTGGTTGGGCTGAAACATCTGAATCGCGATCGCATCGATGAAAGGTGTTTCTCGGCTGTAGACTTTTCGTGTCTGATCGAAGAGACTCTTGAGCGTGGCGTAAGCTTGGCTCTCTTCGGCATCGCTGCCGCTCATGAGCTCCTTGATCTGCTGGTAGCTGGCCTTTGATAGAGTGTGGATCAATTGCGTAGCCTGCGAAGACGTCAGAGGAAGTTTGGCAATTTCGGGATGATTGTCAACATACCAGGTTATCGAGAATGGGGAGACTCTGGATCTTCATGTTCATGCTCGCGTCATCGTTAGCGTTGTAATATGGCGAGCCATGGCGAGTCGCGTCGTGCGAGCGGGAGAGAGCAGAGACCTGCTGCGGATAAGGATATGGTGTTGCCGATTCGATTTCGGCGGGATAATATGACGACGGCGGCGCTTCCATATGAGGCTCTGCCTTGCCGTACGTCGACTCTGAAGACGGGAAATACGGCATGACTGCAGTACCCGGCTGATCTCGTGCCGGATAGGAACTCGAACTAGAACCTACGCCAACAGGCGGATAAGAGGAAGTTGGCGGTGCTTGCCAAGTCTCTTCACCCTGGTGGTATGGCGATGAATGAGAGCTCTGCCGGTCGTGGAAATATGGTTGTTGATGATAAGGAGTCAGCTCGGGATATGCAGAAGGCTGTGCGGAAGCGTCATTGGAAAGAGAAGGGTTTGACCAAGAAGGTGGTTCGGCGTATTGGTGGTGATGCTGATGAGGGTGGCTGCCGTGATCATTGCCGTTGAGTGGCGGCGATCCGTCTTGTTCTGGTGATTGAGCTACGGGAGCACGATAAGGTGGAGCAAGGGCATGCGGCACAGGATATGCAGATGGAGTAGTCGCTGTTGTTGATGCGGCGGTATGCGGCTGATCATGCCATTGTGGGACATCAGGAGGGTTTAGACCTGCACCGGCAGCATGGTCTTGTCCATCTAGTCGTCTTCGTTTATGCAAGCGTTCCGGAGAGTCGGATGGTTGCATAACGCCGAGACCTACTTCATGATGATGTAGGGCAGCAGCGGCAGCGGCAGCGGCGGAGGACTGATCATATGTGGAATATGATAGCGGCTCTGCTATACCTACGGCGTGTGAAATTAATGATCAGCCAAAGCTTTACCAAAGTCCGGTACCGATCTCTATGCGGAGGTAGAATTGAAATATCGTGAGCCATCCCACTCGAGATGGGGGTGATTAGAGTGAGGTTGGTCGGAGTGATGGATAAATTGGGGAAAGTATGGACCGCACAAGGTGACGGCCGAGTGGAGATCAATTGCATGTTTTCGAAGATGATGCCATGATGTTCAACATACCCTCCATGATTTCTTATTAGATCCAAAAGTGGAAGATGTGTGTTTGTCCCGCGTTGGAAGCTGTCTTGTTCGCCTCACCGGTCGTACAAGGTTTCGATGTGTGGAGCGAATCCGGCGAATGCCACCAGCGCCCACCGACACCAATGACAGATATAGAGGACAGGATGCACCTCCAATACACAAACTGTGTTGGCGATACTCGAAGGTTGATGGTCCGGAGCCCTAAATCAGGGCATTACCACCTTTCAATGCAATGCCCTACTCGAATTTCCCGATTGAGCTGGGTGTTGTCCTTTTTCGCGTGCAGTTCCCGGGAGATTGGACTCGGCAAATGTATTTCACTATGTCGACGGCCACGATTCAATGTCCGACACGCTTTGAAACGTGTTTGCTTGATGGAATTGGTGGCAGAGGGGATGCGGGAGGGACGAGTGAAGGAGAGGATGGAAATGAGGAGATGGCACTTGTCCGAGACAAAATAGCGAGAGAGAGAGAGGAGAGGACAGACGGCGGGAGAGCCGGGGCCCGGAGGTGTGCGTGTGTGTGCTGAGTGATGGGAGACAACCGTGACCACCTTGGAATTGGAATTGGTGAGAGAAATCGCCGCCCGCCCAACAGTGAGGAGAGAGGAGCCAAGGCTTCTTGCCATTCCCAGCCCTAATCAGGGTAAGTTTTCTGGTGAGCCGCAGCTGAAGACAAGAAATTGTCCAGCCGACGTCGATTTTACCCGTCGATCCGTCCGTTCCTCCCGCCCGTCCGCGACACACCTCGATGACTAATCTTTAGGGCTTGGGCGACTTAAGGTTTGACGGCAACCAACTCAAGTCGGGCTACAGGACTTTTCCTGCTTCTCCGTCGTGAGAATACACGTAGGTGGACAGGGCATTGGACGATTCGCGAGTTCGATATGAAAGAAGATTGCGCTGAACTTGATCATCCATTTCGAACCCTCATACATGCGTTGCATACCGCGCATACCTCCTCTCTGCGCTGGCGCAACGAGGAAGCTCCATAAAGGTACACAGGCCGTGCCAACGACTTTCATTCGAGCCGTGCCAGCAACGCCATCGAGACCTAATAGTAGCGGTGTCATCAGCACTGTGTCAATCTGTCGACTTCAGAGTTTGTAATGAAAATGTATGCGGGATATCGGACGTGTCTGAAAACCTACCGGCTCATCTTCAGAGAGGCAAACAAGCTTCGAAGACGACCCGGTGCCGTTGTACCGGCACCACTACAACACTTTTCAACTTCTGCATGTGTCTTGGACGCTCGCGAAGGTGACCCCAATAATTCGAATAAGGCTTTGTTCCAGCAAATGAAGGATACTACACATGATCATCTCTTCCGCTACACCAGTGGTCGATGGCTTTGGGATGAAGAGCAGCAGCTCCAAGAAAGGTATAGGGCTTTCAATGTTGTTGAGCTTCAGCGCTTGGCTGCCGAAGTCGTTGGCTCGACCGGATGTGCCTCGATAACGAAATTAGCTGAGGGAGGATACAACAAGGTCTTCCGCTTGACCATGAATGATGGGAAGCAAGTCCTTGCTCGAATTCCAAACCCAAACGCCGGGCCCCAATTTTACACGACTGCTTCCGAAGTTGCTACCATGACTCTTGTAGGTGCGTGTTGGCTCGACTGAGCGTATGTGACTACATGCTCATAGTTATGCAAGTGTCGAGACTTCCTCCAGATACCGACTCCTCGAATTTTGGCATGGAGCGCCACGTCAAGTAACCCTGTCGGCTCGGAATACATCATCATGGAAGAGGCAAGAGGATCGCAGCTTGCGGAGGTTTGGGACGAATTGAGCCCGGTTTCCAAGCTTGCCATAATGCGAGAAATTGTGGCTGTTGAGTCAAAGTTGCTGTCAATTTCGTTTTCACAGTGAGCCTCCGTGCTCATTGGTCTTTTGTTCTTGCAATACTGATCGTCCCTCGATAGCTACGGCAGTATATATTTCGCACACGATGCGGTTGAAGGTGCTGTCCCAGCTACCCTCACGAATGGCGCACTTGCAGAAATCCGCGACAAGATTCGTGATAAATACTGCATTGGGCCAACTGCAGAGAAGGAATTCTGGAAGAAGGAGCGCTCGTCTATGGAGATATCAAGAGGACCTTGTAAGCATTTTCATGGCGAGTTACAGTGTGTTGGCTAATCATCACCAGGGCAATCCCCCCAGGAGTATGTGACGTGTGTCGGCAGGCGGGAAAAAGAGTGGATTACTAGTCATGCCATTCCGAAGCCTTCAAGTATACCTGGACTGGCAATTACCGCCCAGAACGACCCCCAAGCACATTTGCACCTGTTGGATCGTTATTTGGAAGTGGCGCCTTCCCTAGTCGACCTGGAAGATGCTCTAACACGCCCAACATTATGGCATGGAGACCTTCACTCATCTAACGTGTTTGTGGAAGGCAGCCATATAACGGCTATCATTGACTGGCAAGGCGCATGGGCTGGTCCGCTTTTTCTACAAGCTCAGCCTTCTCCAATTCTGGATTATCGAGGAGAAATCATTCTCAAGCGTCCAGACAACTTTGACGATTTGAGTTCCGATGAACAAGCTGAGATCAAACGAACCATCTCGAAATCCACACTCTTTCAGCTTTATTTGCTGGAGACCGAACAACGCAATCCTCTTCTTGCACGAGCATTCCATCTAGATCATGGGAAGACACGGCGTCTGCCAGTGGCACTGTCGGGTAATACCTGGGATGACGACATCGTCTCTTTCCGTGGGTCGCTTATCGATGTTGAAAGGTATGTCCGAAAAGCGCTACATGCCATCTGTGACCTTACTCATCGTCGACCGTTGTATTCAGGTATTGGCACGAGCTCGGCATGCATGGAGAATGTCCGTACCATTTCACCCAGGATGAGCTTCTTGGACATCCAGCCGATGCCGAGAATTGGAACGCCGCTCAGGACTTTTTCGATAGCATCGAAGGCTTGATACAGAGGGATGGATGGACGAGCCATGAAGCGTACGAGGATGCGCTGAAGTACTTCTCGGAGCTCCGTCAGCGCGGACTTGATCAGATGAACGGCGAAGAACGTGCCAGCTTTGAACGGCAAACGCGTTGGGTCGAAGACAAAGGTCGAGCACGGACTTGACATGGTGCGTTCGATACCACCAGGATCCGATCACTCATGATAGCTTCGGGAAGTGCAGTTCAATTATCATCGAAAGACGTGCAGATGAAAAGGACACGCCGCAGCCCCAGATTGGGTTTCTTGTGCCGCAACAATGCCCGCAAAGGCAATGTTGCGTCTCCGCCCTCTTCATCTTCACCGAGCGGTCGTCAAATACTTGGAAATTTTATTGTATAAAATCATACACGTCTGAATAGAGATTAACAATTTCTCAAGGACAACTCGATACCGAAGCAAAAGAAGGACCACAAATTTGAGCCTCTCAGGGCTTTCCACCAATGCACAGTGTGTTCGTTCCTTGGTAGTTTGTCAAGCTTTACTCACTGGATCTCTGGAGTTCTCCACTCGCTACGCGCAGGTGCGATCACTGGCTTCGTGCATGGCTCGTCTATGACAGTGGAACGGACAGCCTGTTTCACATTTCGTCCATGCGAGGTGAAATATCACACAGCAGTGAAGAGCGTGAGCAAAAGACGTCTATTATCTCCAGCCGCGACAAGGGGTGTGCCGATGCTAGTCGAATTTGATCAAGAATGGTCATCAATGAGGCCGTAATAGTTCTCATATCAAGACTCCTGAGAGCCTGTGTAGGCCGAGCTCGCGTAAGACAGAGACCTCGCCCACCGGAATGTGCAGTCGCAGCATATCAGCCCTGGAATAGCACTGGTCTTCTGGTTTGAGCAGTATCATGTTATGCAAGACGACCTCTTCATCTTCGACGTGACGCGCAAGGAGCAGGAAAAGCTGCTTGCCGGCTTCGCACCATCGGGAATCGGGGTCATATGTCGTGATGCCTTCGACTGTGTGTCCAGCCGTATCGATCTCTACCAGGGAATGGTCCAAATTTCCCTCGTCTTCCCATCGACGATCAATTGCGAATTCTAGAGCAAATCCATCAAAGAACAAGAGCCTATCCAGATTGTCTTTCTGATACAACAGCAAGCTTTCTAAATCGTATCGAATCGGCACGGGGACAAAAGTTGCGAGAGGGTCATTGGGTAAGATACTGAGGAGCTCGTCAGGCATGTCAGCATATGTCTGCGAGAAAATTGTCCGGATTGACGACGGGGATGAGCTGGAGTACTCTCCGAACTCAAGGTCGAACGGGCATGATTCGGGCGATGGTCCTTGACCTCCGATGGCAGGACCACCAGCCCAGAAAAAGCCCATGTGGCGCAACCAGGTCCAGGATGGAAAGTTCAAGTTCTGCGGCTCAGCCGGCTTTTCGGCTTGCCAGGACATGGCCCAATTGATATGTTCACGCGGAAGACCCCATAAGAAACCATCCCCGTAAGCCATCTCTTGCAACAGCTGCAGGAGCCCTGAGAAAGCGAGCAATCTGTCAGAAGCGTCTGTGATTTGACAGGGGCTATACTGGTTTGCCAGGATGGAGTAAATATTGAGAGCATTGCCGGTGTCATGAATCTTCCGGGGGATCGGATTACGGGTAAGCCCGATGTTGAGGATTTCAGTGTAGCTGCCTCGTTCGAAGTATCTATCATCCTTCACAGCAGTATGCATTACTGAACGACTTATGTCGAGCGCTTCGAGGCATTGCATGGAATTACACTCGAAATGAACCCCGTAGTTGCTGACAAAGATGCATCGTGCGCTCAGACGGGCTTCCTGATAGGTCCATGCGCGAGAGTTCCATGAGCTGTATGCCATCAGAGTGGTCAATGCAGGACCGATCGTACGAAGCACTACTCCGTCCACTTCACAGCACATCTGTAGGGGTACTGTACACTCAGAGACCCTGGGCATGCCGCTGTTTGCATCATCCGCCGACAGTGCCACAAGAGTTGCAAGAGAGCCTCGATATATGTCTTTCATCATAGCAATCTGGATCTGTTTGTCGTCGGAATCTTCCTGATTGATGCACACCGAGTCTATCCAGATGTAGCGGAAGCCAAGTCTGATGGTCAGAGTGATTGCGTGCTCAAGTGTTCGATGTAATGTTGGGAGTCTACTTCCCAGAATGCCGGCTCCTGGGAAAGACTGATCAACCTTGCCCCAAACATAGCTCAGCGTAAGGAATTCTTGAGTATTTGAGGAGTACGATACGATGGTGCGAGTTTCCACATCGATGAGTCGGATGAGAGCAAGGCTCTCCGTGACCTTCCGTGCACAGTAAGTCTGATGCTTCTCCGTACAGACCTCAAGCCACTCTCGCACGGCCTTGGTATCGATAGCACCGGGATCGAGAGTTTTGGAACCGAGCGACACGTCGGTCTTGGAGAGTTGGGCGTGCGCGATGACAAGACCGTCTCCTCCATTCACAATGATTCCTTTGGGATCAGATCCAAGCGGAAATGGCTCAAGGACGACGGTCACCATGCGTGAACTTCCCATCATTCCCGCGTTTTCAATATTACAGCCTTCCTCCAAACGGAGCATTGTCCAGCTTAATACTAGAGTGATCGATTGCTCTGATGAGTCAGGGGCAGGACATAGATCGAAGAGGCAGCGGCAGAGACCGCAGCGCAGATCAAATTCGACGATCTCCACCGCCCCGAGGGTTCTGAACGTTCGTTCACCCCATGCTGCAGATCCGTCGCTCTGTTCTTGTTCTTGAACGGACGTTTCGCTAAACTCTTGGCGCCCATCACAAACTTCCGCGAGCTGTTCTTCTCCATCCAGGAATGGCGGCACACTACTCAGCCAAGAAGGCAGGTTTAAAGCTGTGCATCTGGGACATGTCATCGAAGGAGGATCGGCAACGCTGAATCTTTCGCGCAGCTGTTCGCGTTGAGAGGAACATATCCATTCGGGGTCGTCCTCGTCGGAACCTCCCTCAACGATAGGGCTTCCAGAGAATTCTTCCTGTGTGCAGTCAGCAAATTTATGGCCGAAGCCACGACATTTCATGCACAGTGAGTATTTCTCGCTTGCAGACGATTCCTTCATGAGGGATGATTCTTCGATCGGGCCCGGTACACATGAGAGGGTCTCTGGTGCGGCACTATTGTGTTGATTGAAACAAGAAAAAGACGGATGGCTACACCTGATCTTGATGATTCTGAGAGCAGCTAAATGTGTGACAACTACGAGTCCCAAGGCTTGCAGGGATTGCCGAATCGAGTAGCTGAAGGCGAATCACATATATCTTACCTTATCTCGTCCATGGCCTTATCGGAGTCACCATGCACACTCAGCTCCGACGACGCCTCCATGAGTTGGTGTCTCCTGATACCCTGGCGACCACCGAGGCTTTTGGTCTCGACAGACAAGACCCTTGGCATGCAGCGCGGGCAAGAGGCGGCTGCTGAGCAGTACTCGACACTTTGCTGCAGGTGGTGCTGGAAGCGAACTGTCATTCGTTCGCAGGCCTCCTTCAACCCTGCAGCCTCTTTCCAAAAGCGGAACATGGCGTCGATTCCCATGAGATCGAGACTCAAAGCTGCTGTTCTCGGCGATTTCGCAGATACGTGAGTGTGTCGTCCACATCCTTCGTGCGGACCAGTTTCTGCCCCCACGTCGCGAAGCAAGGTCGATGTTTGTTGGAGCAACCGAAACAAGGAGGGTGTCAAGTCGCAGATGAAGGCGCCGTGGCGGAGTGGCTTCCGATCTGGCCGTGGGTCAGCCCGCTTCTATTAGACACATGTATGCGGGGTCAGTCCGGTGTGACAACGCTTCTGCCTCGTGATTATGCAAATGCAATGACCATCCTACAATTGACGAAGTCGATGACTCGGACTCTCAACACTGTAGCGTAGAGCTCAGGAAGATTGAGTGATGTCCTGCGGATTACCATACTGTTGCGAAACAATGATACGTGTGGCCAATGTATCGTTCGACATGCTGCAGCCAGTCGCGTGGAGAGTCCTTTGGATTCACATGAAGCACCCGCGGTGTCGTGCTTGCTCTCAGAGATTTCTCTGCTTTCTGCCGTCTCGCTGACGACCTAGAGCATTGTTTCCCTGGCAATCTCATCCCAGGGCTTCCACAAGATCGGACGTGGGCACTAGATACTTACATTTCGGCAAGCAGTAATCTATTGGATATCAAGAAGCGGCCTGCAAAGTTTCGCGCTTTGTGTGAAATTCGGGCGTGTATTCATTGTGTACGCGCACACATGTCGTTGTGTCTGAACGGAGACGAACAATTTCTCATTAAAAATCCGAGAACTGAAACAAGTCAAGGGAATCGCTTGTAATTGCATCGCTCATATGCTGCAATCATCACAGTCATGGTATCAGACGTAACACCGGCTCGTGAACGTGAATTTCATCAGATTTTCCCTTATTCCTTTGGATAACAGACGGGCATTCGGAGTGAAATCAGGTAAACATCCTTTCAGCCAGCAGATGGCTTCGGCCGTAATGCTAGGTTATTGAATGAAAGCTGTCTCGGCGTCTGTGGTATCGCTGTCGTCGAATCCGGCGTCCTGGCCGTGGGTCTTGATGGTGCCAGGATCTCTCTTGCTCGGGCGAGGTTGGTCGTCATGCCCTTGGCCTTCATCTCGAGCAGGTGCTCTTCGACGGTTTTTCGAATGCTCTTTTCTGCGTTTGAGCCTTCTCCGAAAGTCGCCGCAGCATTCTTGAGATTCCGTAGTAACTATCGAGAGAGAAATAAGAAAGTGAGTCTGCGCTGCACGAAGTGATCGATATCCGATTTTCTTGTTAGGGTTCACAGGTCATCCTGTCCACCTTGGGAAGAAATGTGACTCATGGGATGACAGCGACAACGTACAATCAAGAGAGTTTCGTCTTCTTGCGTGGCTTCTGCGGACATTTTGCCTTCTTGAAAGGATTTTACAGAAGGAAGATGCACTGAACTGTAGCAAATTGCTGGTCGCACTGCGGACAAATGAATCAACCTCGACGCCGCAGCATCACCACATTTCCATCGGGGTCCGTGCGTCCGCCGAACACACGACTTTGACCGCGCCTTGTCCAATGGTAAAAATCGGCGACAGAATAATGCAAGAAGGAGAAGATCTCCGAGATATTCAATTTTTGTGAGCGGACCCGAAGAGCCCATATTGGGATTTGGACATCACAAGCATCATCATCGTCACTATCATCATGGCGGACGCGGACGAAGATGCGATGCCTCGTATGGGCACAGGTGGTGAAGACACCGATTTATCAGACGAGACGCAAGACTTTCGCTTCCTCTCCATAATCTCGTAAGCCTCCTCCTATTCATATTCCCTCTGAGAGGCAGAGAAAGACGACACATAAAAAGACGACAAATTCCAAGTGCCAGCAATCTCTCAGAAATTTGCTGTTCTCAAGAAACACACTCATAATAATGATCACAACAGTCGCGAAGATGCCTCGATCCCCAAACGCGGCGAAAAAGATTTCGAGCCACACGCGACCGCGCTCCAATCCAACACCCTCGCCGCCTCGCGACAAGCGATGCACAACGCGCTCTCCTTCCAACGCATCCACCCGAACAAGACGCACAACATCGGCACCTACCATCCCGAGACGAACAAGGCCTACGTGACCAATCCGCGAGGAGCAATACTTCCCAAACTCGGCCATGTGCTCTCCGCCAAGGATGATCCCCTCGGACCCGCAGCGGGGAAATTGCAGCGATTGTGGCTGTTACCTGAGGAAGCGATTTACTGTCTGGAACGGGGATCACTCGATATTCGATGGCCGAAGGCCGACGACACGGTGTCCGGCGATGGCGACGATGATGGCGATGACGCGGAGTATGGTCTCCCTATGAGTCTGCAGGCGGCGTATGCGATGTTTCTCGGCGACGGCTCATCGGAGAGGGAGTCACTCACGCTGGAGAGATATAATGTCTATGCTAATCTCAAACGGATGGGCTACCTGGTCCTGCGAGCGCCGAGTTGGCATGGCATCGGCGATGTCCTTGGGAAGGAGACGTTTGCTCCTTTACAGCAGCCGCCGTGGCAGTTGGGTTTGCGCAATCCCTGGGTCCTACTCCAACATCTATTCTCAGGAGGCGATGCAGATGCATCGGCGTTGAACGCGCCATGTCGTTCGGAGAAGCTAGGGCCCGTCGTCCCACCGGGAGTGTACAGAAATTACGCCAGCGTCTACCGCAAACTCGCCCTCGTCCCCTTCCACGATCCCACAAAGCAACATCGACCGGCGGGCCTTTCTCCTCTCCTTCCCCAAACCTCGCCCGATTTCCGGATAACATACCACGTCTACAAGCCGAGCGCGACGAATTTCAAGAAATCCGCCCCGGGTCCACCGGACTTCCGGATCGCGGTAGTCAATGCGCGGGAGACGGGCGTGCCGACGCTAGAGGATCTCTCGCGATTGATGGAGACGACGCCGTATGACCCTCCGGTCCATCCGGCGTCCAAGCCGCCGATGTCGTTGTATCAGAAACTCAAATATGGATATAAGAATGTCACCTTGGCGATCGTCGACCAAGGTGTCATCAGCTATCTGCGGATCGCGGACGCGGCGTTCGGGATGGAGAAGTTATTCCTGAGGGAATTCAAAGGCCCTGGAGCGAAGAGAGGTGGTGGTGGAGGTAGAGGAGGTCGAGGAGGTGCTCGAGGGGAAAGAGGCGGAGGAGGACGATGAGCGAAGGTTTGGAACTTTTGTCACATGTGAGCGTTGTCTTCACCAGCGGCGTCCACGTCCGCGTCCGCGTCCGCGGCCACCTCCTCCTCCTCTCCTTCCTCCTGGCCCTCCTGGGGCTCGATGTTGGCTACCATCCAGGCGAGGTCCCTCCCGCATGCGCTCCATTGCCTCCTCGTCCGGCATCTCCAATGGATTCGAGAAATCCAGCATTCGACAAAACGCCGCCGTCTGAGGGTTGGGGTACTCCCTGAGAAGGAGGCCTTCCCCATTCGAACCCTCGCTGCCGTCACCACCGGGTCGGTACTTGGGCGCGCGGAAATCGCCGCCATCGTACACGGGAGCGACGGCCGTGAAGTTTTCGGGAATCTCCAAGTTGGTTACATTCGCGTCAACCCAGTCGATTGCTTCACCGATCAGCCTTCTATACTCTTCGCGCGGTTTCGCGCCGGGTACGGGAAGCGCTCGCGAGGGTGGACTAGGGGTGCCGAAAACAGGAGGTTCGGCCAGAGCGAAGGCGCGGGTGATGGCGAGCCACTCGCGATCGTAAGATAAGATCACAGGAGGGCGAGAGAGCTCGTCTTCTTGCTGGTCTACAGGATCGGCGCTGGTATTATCTTCTGCTGGCGGTACACCGCCTGATGAGGCACATTTGGGATCGATCTCGAGGAGCTGAAGAAAGTCGCGATCTCTGAGACATTTGTCGAGGCTGAGGAAGTGCGTCGTCTTGTTCGTGATTGCGGGAGGTTGTGTGATTGGCGGGACAGGTCTCGAAACTGGGACCCGCCGGAAGGCTGCAGGAAGAGCGTCACGTGCGGAGAGCGATTTTGACTTTGAATTGACATCTGGCGCGGCATTGCTTGATGTGTTGATGTTGTCCGTTTTCGCTACTGACGCTTGTGGTTGTACGGATGGCGTCGTACCCTCGTCTTCCATGTCCAAGTCGATTTCATCGTCATTGCGAGAGATCTGTTGCACTTGTGGTGCAGAGAGCCGATTTGACTCCGAAGTGCCATCTGGCGCGGTATTGCTTAGTGCGTCTTCGATATCGAGGTCAATTTCGTCGTCGTTTCGAGGGATCTGTCCCACTCGTGATGCTGAGTTCCCTCTCTGTGAAAAGGCGCCTTTGTTTGGCGTGTCTCGGTCTTGCTCGCCATGGTGTACCAGCGCCGCATATTTGACATGCAAATGCGCACTGAACCAGTATCTCGGCCGCAGGAACTCCAAAACTTCCTTGGCCGCGACGCTCCCGAGTCTGCCGTCCTGCGCATCCTGCCTGAAGAATGGCTTCTCGGTAAACAATCGCTCGACATTGCCGAGCCATTCCACCCCCTGTGGCCAGTCATGACTGATGCCCACGTCGACCTGCGTGTTCACCTGCAGCAATTTCCTCACATCCATCTCTCGCACATGATACACACTTCGTAGATCCGACTCGGAATAAGGCATTCGCTCAACATGCGGTTTCCGATAATCGAAGCCCTTCCAGATCCCACTCATCCCCGCAATCCTCAACACCGTCGTCTTCTCCGCACCGTCTCCCTCCGCAGTCGGACGCGTCAAACGTAGTACGTTTGCCGCACCCATGTAATACATCCTCGGCGCGACCCATCCTCCGAAGTACAATTCCTGCAAGTAATTACTCGCCTCGTGGTTTCCGCCCACGAAGATCGTCAGGTAGGGTGCCACCCGCGCGCCGGAGTAATACTCGTGGAAATCGTGCATCTCCCGGTATTTCTCGGGCATGCTGACACAATGCAGGTCCGACGCGTTGCGCACGGCCTGGAAGTCTCCGCCAATGATCACCAGGTCGATGGAGGATGGCGACCAACCTTTTCTTTTGCAGGACTCGGCGATTGAGGCGTAGATGGCATGGAGGGTGCCATGGCCGCAGCCTTCGACGGCGATGCGCAACGGTCGAGAAGACATTTTCCGGATTCGGGATCTTTGCTTGCTTTTATTCGTTCTTGACACCCGGGTGTGTCGGTGAAACGAGAAGATGCGTGTTGGTCTGCAGTATACTGCCAGACAATACCTGAAAAGTCTTGATCATGGAGATTGACGTTTTCGGCGAGGCTTCACGATCAATGGCTTCAACGAGGTCTCAAGCAGGGTTCTTGGTCGCAGTCGTCGTCCTTCACTCCAGGCTAACCGTGACTATGGCGTTTTACCAACCGGAACAACGAGGCGACTGTCTTTAGACGACACGCTGAAGGAAATCATGAAGTAGATGTCAAACCAAACTTGATGATGCACGACTTTGGACGGACGCGTGCAGTCAGAAGGTGCCTCTTGCATGTACAGTATAGACGCGGTGCACGGCCCTGTGCGGCTCGGTGACCAACGAGGTTTTCCTTCCATGGAACGAAGCGATTACTGGTATTGACTATGCGCCATTCCAATGCGTGAGAACTGTAGACCTTCAAGCAAAACTTCATGTTCAACGGTATACGACGATACGAGGGGCACTTGTCTGCATCTCTTCCTGTACGGAGGAAAGGTATTTTCATCCTGTCTCCAATACACCAGTCGGACTTTTTCTCCAGATCATTGCTCTCTGATTCCGCCTGCGACGACGGAGGCCTTTCGATGTAGGATGTGCTCCTTCTCCAAGCGAGCAGGACAACAATACAACACACATTTCTTCGTACGATCAGAGCGTCTGAAACATAGAACCGGCCTAAGTCCTCCGATGATGGCGATCAGTAATCAATGCCATTTCCAAACAGAAGAGGAGAGAAGAAACGACGAGGACTTTCCAGCGGGAAATGGCCTGAAGCGGACTAGTTTTGCCCATGAATTTCGCCTGCAAAATCGTGGCCCCGCCATCAAATTTAGTGGGCGTTCTTATCGATTTGATTATGACGAGTGCGGGCAGCTGGTGACAGGATCCACGCCAAATTTATTTTCTCGTTCGTCTATATAACAAACAAACCTTTCAACACCTTTCTCCGATATATTCCAATAAAGTCCACGACACAGGATTATCGAAAGAATTCAGTTATTCTCTCAGACAAAAATCGACTGGGAACCACAATCATGGCCATCTCACCATCAACCGACGAGCCACCGCTCACAGGCGCCTCTCTCGCTCGCGATGTCTTTGAAGACATGGGTCGACAGGTGGACCACATCGACGACGACGTCGACCAAAAGGTCGTTGACGAAATTGAGAGTTTATGCATGAACTGCCACGAAGACGGCATCACAAAGTTGCTCCTCACCAGGATACCGTTCTTCCGGGAAATTATCATCATGTCGTTCCACTGCGCCAAATGCGGTTTCCAAAACAACGAAATCCAGTCGGCGGGAGAGATTCAAGAGAAAGGAGCCAAGTATGCTCTTCGGATAGACAAAGAGGAGGATCTCCAGAGACAAGTGGTCAAAAGTGACATCTGCACATTCCGCATCGAGGACATCGACTTGGAAATCCCTGCTGGGAAGGGACAATATACCAATGTCGAGGGTGTCATCAGCGCTGTCAAGGCCGATCTTGAGAGTCACCAAGCGGCGCGAATGGAACAAATGCCTGAGGTTGGCCAAAAGGTCGCAGGCATCATCAGCGTTCTCGGCGACATGCTCGAAGGTCAACGATATCCTTTCATGATCTCCATCGACGACTACAGCGGGAACAGCTCGATCGAGCCTCGACCAGGCGATGCAGCCGGTAAATGGGCCAAGAGCGAATACAACCGAACACCCGCTCAGAACGCCCAACTCGGCCTCGGAGACGGCGAAGAGCAACAGCCGGTCGCAAGTGAAGAGACCGGCGCACCCGCGACCGAGATCCGCCCCGAGTACCGCGCCACCGGCTTCGAGGGCGCCGACCAGACCCGACAGACCAACAACGTCGACGACGAAGACATCATCGAAAACCAAGTCTACAGCTTCCCCTCGTCCTGCCCAGGCTGCACGCGGCCTTGCGCGACCAACATGAAGATGGTGAAAATCCCGTACTTCAAAGAAGTCGTGCTCATGGCGACGATCTGCGACAGCTGCGGCTACCGCAGCAACGAGGTCAAAACCGGCGGCGTGGTCCCCGAAAAGGGCCGCAAGATCACACTTCGCGTCACCAACGACATCGATCTCGCCCGCGATCTCCTCAAGTCCGAAACCGCCGCCTTCTCCTGCCCGGAGCTCGACCTGCACGTGGAACCCGGCACTATGGGCGGCCGTTTCACGACGGTCGAGGGCATCATGACCCAGATCCGACGGGACCTGCGGGCGCAAGCCTTCGGGCTGAGCGACGGCGACGCGGAGAGGCCGGCCGAGGGCGGCGACGGCATGCTGGACGAGAGCAAGCAGCGGTGGGAGAAGTTCTTCGCCAACCTGACCGACGCCATCGAGGGCAAGCGCGAGTTCACCCTCATCCTGGAGGACCCCCTCGCCGGCTCGTACGTGCAGAGCCTGACGGCGCCGGAGCCGGATCCAAAGTTGGACATCGTCGACTATGTCCGCACCGACGAGGAGGAGGAGGACCTCGGCTTGAGGGACATCCGGACCGAGGGCTACGAGGAGGACGCGGAGAATGAGAGGCTCGAGAGGGTCGCGGCTGCGGCTGATGCCGCTGCTGAGGAGAAGAGGGAGGAGACGAAGCAGGAGGCGTGAGTGTGTGTGTGTGTGTGTGTGTGTGAGAGAGAGAGAGAGAGGATGAGATTGTCTTTTACTGGCGTGTGGACTTCTTTATGGGGATCTATGACGATGATGGTGATGGTGATGATCGCGGTTTCGGACGTAGAGGGTCGAGGCTATGGGCAGATTATGTGAATGACGGCTCATGATAAATTTTGTGGTGTTGCTCCAGTCCACCCCAGGCTGGTAGAATTAGGCGGATATCAAATGGAAATTTTCAAGGAGAGGAAATCGTTCTTGAAGCAGATGGCATTATCGATCAGAAAGGTTCTCCGTTTATGAATTGTCATTTCTTCTCGGATTGTTAGAAGTAGAGCACGAGGTACGTCGGGCAAATCGTCTGAGGAATTCCACAGGATCTCTCTCGCTTTCCACCGATAATCGGAATAATTAAACACAAAACATTTCTACATGCCACCCCACTCCACGCAGAACGTCCTGACGTCGCCGTCCTCCTTGTCGCCGCCATCTCTATCCTCCACGCCACCAAGCAAGAAGCCCTTCTTGACACCAGTCCCCAATCGTCCTCCACCCACCAAATCCATCAGATCGAATTCCTCATCCCATTGCTTCCCTACGCAAAGGAAGTGTGAATGGAATCGCAAAGGGTCGCCTGGGTATGCCATGTACTGACAACCGAAACGTAAGCCAGGTGCGAGGAAGTAGCCTGCGGAGTGGAGATGTTTGTAGAGGGGATATAAAGATGGGGAGACGGTAGGGAGGGTGTCGGAATGCGAGGATCGGTTTGGAGTGAGATGGTGGTTGAGGAGATTCGATGTCGTTGGGGTCACCCCGAAAGGTTCGGGCGGTGGAGGAAGCTTCAGGTTATCAACGTGTTGGTGTTCGTGTTGATGTTGGTGTTGGTCATTGGACGGGCGGTCGTCGATTTCGGCTGCGGTTGCGACGGCTTTGTTGCTGCCTCCTGGTGAAGGATTTGGTGAGCGCACGCTTGGGGTGGGGAAGGAATTGGAAGGTGAGGCGAACAGTAGATCATCGTCTTCATCTGCTTCGGTTCCTGAAGCATCACTTCTGTCGCCATTACCCGACTGTTGCACCGCGAGAAGACCATTGCCGTCGGTGACGGTCACCTGGCGGGGAGCTTTCTTTCCTGCACGTTGACGCGGACCAGGCGTGTACATGTCGTCGGGCAGGTCATTCCAATTCTCCGTCGATGCAGATGATGTCGTAGCTGGCGCTGACGCGCCCAGTTTCTGCAACGCTGCCTGTTTGCGATCGTCACTTCTCTTCACAGCGTCCTCGGCAGCCATTTGGCCTTGCTTGCGCAATGCCGCCTGATATGCTTTGCGCTCTTCGACACTGAGACCATTCGCGAGGAAATTTCGCTTATGTTCTGCGGTGTCGTCGACAACGTATGCTGCGCCCTTTTCAACCAACAACCGAGCCTCTTCAGGCGTCAACTCTAGCGGGAGCCCAAGAAAGACATTCTGTTGACTGGCTTGTGGGAGAGTGCCGATCAGGACGCCGATGATGTTGTGTTCCTTCCGCACATGCGTCACGACATTGATGTCGTATAGGAGGTAGCGGTGAGCGAGCTTGGAAATGGGAAAAGGCTCGACGACAGCCGTAGCAGATGATGCCATTTTGTGGAAAGCACACTATGTATGATACTATTTCTCAAGCATGATTAGCCACGCATACGATTGAGATGTATTCTTCGATGATTCGGAAGAAAAACTTTTCAAGCGGCAAGATATCATAAAGAGCATAGCAAATTTTGTCTCGTCAGTAGCCGACCATCTTGTGGCCGACTTCAGGGGATTGACAGATTGTAATTTGTTGTATAATCATTTGAGGTGGTTCGAGTAGGATGGAGTGGATATTGAAATGGTAGTAGACTCACGCAAGACCTTTATTTATTGGGTGTGATGTTCAGTCAGTGAATTGTTTCGTGGCTCGAAGACCGAGCGGTTGGTGATGTGTTTCAGCTCATGTTGAAGCAAACCCTTCTCTCGTCAGTGGAAAGAAGAAGAAATTGTCGCCGCTGCCGGTTCAAGGATTCGTGCGAAAATTGATGAGGCTGGAGCAAGAAAACTGCAGGTGTACCTAGGTGTGCAGGTGGTGACTGGACGCTACCCGCTCGGAATTCGTCTGAAGGAGATGCCAAGCCTAATTAGGGTCTGTGCGGCCGAAAAATGTCAACCCAGCTTTCATTCTCTTCCTCGTCTCTGTATTCTGAGAGAAATCATCATCATCTTGTGGCCCATGTTGATCTGCTTGCATTCTATCCGGGAGATGGTTGTAATGCTATTGACTGAGCCAAATAGACATGATGATATGTCGCGCGAGTGAGAGCAGTTTGCGGTGATGTGCGTCGCCGCTTGGAGACTCATGACTGGCGGAAGCTTGCTTGCACGAGACACGCCTCAATGCCCCAAATGAAGCTCTCTTGCTGGCATGATGAGGTCTCGCGCTTGTTCAATGGTACGTTCGACGATATCTCTCCTATCTTGCAGACAACTACCCGACCTGTCTCTCCATTGATGATCTCCAACACACTATGTTCAAGAGACAATTCATGATCGCTGAACAAACATGCATCACCATCTGATCCTTCTACGACTTTTTTTCACATTGGCCGTGTCACCTTTGTTCCATACTGGCGCAGTTGCTAACTCTCGCCCAGATTCTTCCCAGCTGTCTTGCGATCAAGTATCCCCCAACGCCGAGTCTGCGTTGCAAATGTGCCCACTCGAGGGACCTGCACAGTGACTTTCTAGAGACGGTCAATGAGCGGTCTCAGAGTGGTGCATCTGCTACAACAGGTAAGGATCTCTCTGCTTTCCACGACCTATTTCAGCATCTATGCACAATACTATGATGATCGGTTTTTGTACAGTTCTGCTACTGAACTATTCTGTTGATATCCAAACCAGCTTACCAAAACTCCTGATATTGTTCCTTCACAACGACACTTCTCCTAAACTTATGAGAGGGGACCAATTTACTGACATGTTGAAGTCATCAGGAATATCAAGCTTCGTCTTGAAGCATAGCAACGACATTCTCACCAACTGATTAAACTCAGAAAACCAATGGTAAGCATGTTCCCATCTTTAATCAGTCTTCCTCAACTTCCTTTCAAGATGACACAAGTCTATCCATTCCACGAACCCTCCCAAAGGTAGCCATTTCCTCCGAGCTACCCTCCCTCATACCGTACCATTCCTCTGATCTTCGGAGACGAGAAATGGGAGGATCGGTTGTGAAGTTGTGGCGGTTTACCGCTGCGTAATGGTAGCTTCAGAGCACGTTGGCTGTGCTGTTCGTCTTGAGCGGTACGACAATGTGCCGGCGGAAGGGCATGCGTATGACGGCTTATCTGAGTACGACATTTACAAGTTGTTATGATATTTCTGGTGCTGAGCTCAGCACGATGCATTGTCACGACAGCCAAGATCTCGTTGCTAACATGGTCACAGGTAAATCTCGTCCTTTCATTGTCTCAACATGATCGGTAAGTGTTCACGTACTTGTAATGTCACCATCGCTCGTGCCAAATACCCTGCGGCAAGTCGTATCACCAGACTCCAGGGCTGCTACTTGTTGGGTTTGCGATACGAAATCTTCGTGTCACCAACACCGCAGTTACACCTGATGTCCGTGTACAATGTAATATTGCAACACTGTAGGTCGGCAATGTTATTTGCTCCTCGTGTATACCGCCTCTTTATGCAAGCATTCCAAGGTTGGCCTTAAGGGCTGAAATTATGGTGGAGGGCATTGGTGCTACCACTATCACGCTTGGAAGGTCCCTATTTCGATACAGTATAAAAAGCTATCATACTACAAACTTCCCGCATTTGTGTTCTCAGTACCTTGGGATGAATATAATCACACATACGTCTTTGTGCATATATAACCTGCATCTGGGACGCGTACAATGGTGCGACCAAGATGGAGCACAAAGCTTGATTCTTCCCTGCCCAGGTGTATACTAGTATATCCTGTGCGGTAACGAAATGATGATAGGCCAACTTTTCATCATCAATGTTGGAAACACGTGGAGTAATGCGCGGCCGAAAAGCCCACCCCAAGTTTCATCATTCAACGATTGCGTACGCCCCGGCCAGCCATTCGTCGCGTTTTCGTGAATGGCCTATCAGCCGCATCCTGGCCCATGTAGGATTATCTTCATCTCGGTCAGCGTGATATTCACTTCTTTTCATTCTTCCTGGTCATCACCGCCGTCAGGACATCACTGTGGACGAATTTGTTCCTTGGCTGAATTCCTCCTGTTTGATTAATACCGCACTGCTGGCTCCCGTCGCCCACTCTGCTCGGAATTACCACGCCCTAAACGCCGCCGGAGAGCTCTCACATGCAGAGCTGCCACAAAAAGTTTCCCGAGAGGAGGACGACCGCTTCAACATCGGCAGTTGCTCCCACGAGCATTGCTACGACCACCTTGACTTGACCTTTTCAAGATCTCGCATTGCTGTCACGTACTACCGCTCCACATCTCCTGGGGAGATTTCCCATCTAGAATCAATTCAAAGCCGCCCGTCGACGTGCCTGAATCATGCTGCCGCGTGTAGTGTCGTCGGCGGAGCGCGAGAAGCTTCAACGAAAGAGCAAACAGACCAATGGCTTTTCCCTTGGTGGCCAGAAATCCGGCAATGGAAGGTTGGGCTTCAGCATGCGGCCGGATAAATATGAGAAGTGCGTTTTCCTCAAGACCGTGATTCCATCATGAATGGTTTCACGACGGCCCTGAAAAGAGGCCTGAAAGCCGCAGGACACGGCGTGATAACTCGGAAGCTAATGGGATAGTTTGTGCACATCAGATATCAATCACGATCTTCACGAACCCTCACAGCTCGTCGACGAGCTACATTAATACGAGCTGGCATCGTTCTCACCATCCTCTTCCTCACCTTTCTCTTCTTCATCCCGTCCCTTCGACCAACCAGCATACTCGGCGTCCTCACCCTTGGCCTTTTCTCCTACGATGGCAGCGAAGCCTTCCAAATTGAAACCGTCCGCTACTACGATCTCTCCCATGTCAGCGGCACAAGTCGTGGATGGGAACGCGAAGAGCGCATCCTTCTCTGCTCTCCCCTCCGCGACGCCGCTCCTCACCTCCCCATGTTCTTCTCACATCTTCGCAATCTCACCTATCCGCACCGCCTTATCGACCTCGCTTTCCTCGTCGGCGACAGCAAGGACAACACCACAGACCTCCTCTCGGACCTCCTCGCGCAACTGCAGGCCAGCGGCGCCGAGGACGTGAACATGCCATTCGGAGAGATTTCGATCATTGAGAAGGACTTCGGACAAAAGGTTGAGCAAGATGTGAACAGTCGTCACGGCTTTGCGGCTCAGGCGAGTCGCAGAAAGAGCATGGCACAAGCAAGGAATTGGTTGCTATCAGCTGCGTTGCGACCTACGCATAGTTGGGTGTACTGGCGCGATGTGGATGTCGAGACCGCGCCTACGACGATCTTGGAGGATTTGATGAAGCATAACGCAGATGTCATCGTTCCAAGTAAGTGCAGGACCGCGAGCGGCGACCACGATAATGTGACATCCTCATGCTAACATTTGTGTTAGACGTCTGGCGCCCTCTTCCCGACTGGCTCGGCGGCGAGCAACCTTACGACCTGAACAGCTGGCAAGAGTCCGAGACCGCTCTCGACCTCGCAAAGACTCTCGACGAAGACGCCGTCATCGTCGAAGGTTACGCGGAATACGCGACCTGGCGACCGCATCTCGCCTACCTGCGCGACCCGTACGGCGATGAACATACAGAAATGGAACTCGATGGTGTCGGCGGCGTCAGCATCCTCGCGAAAGCGAATGTCTTTCGCTCAGGTGTACATTTCCCGGCTTTCAGTTTTGAGAAGCACGCCGAGACGGAGGGATTTGGAAAGGTGAGAGCGCTTTACGCATCATCCCTTCAATGACATCTGCTGACTACTACCGTGTCAATTTTCAGATGGCGAAACGCATGCAATACTCCGTCCTCGGTCTCCCGCATTACACCATCTGGCATCTCTACGAGCCAAGCTCCGACGATCTCCGACACATGGAGCAAATGGAGGAAGAGCGGAAGAAACTCGCCGAGGAAGCGGAATCTACAAAAGCCAAACAGGACTTGCTCACGTCGCAGTTCGATGTCGAGTCCGGGAAATCTCAGTGGGAGAAGGATAAGGAGGCGCTCCGCTTGGCGGCGCTCAAGGGCGAGGAGACGAAGGTGGAGAAGACCGCTGGGACAAACGACATTGACACCGGCAATAAGCTCGCCGGGAAGCAGGACGGCACTGCCGACAAGTCCGCCCCGAAGGCATTCGACAATCAAGCCGCGAGGAATATGGGCAAGGCGGCAGGAGACCAGAGTCCCCCTCCTGCTCCTCCAGCTGTCGCCGCCAACCAGCCCTTCGGGGATATGCTCACGAATACACAGGACAGGCTGAAGAAAAAGCAGCAACAATATCAACAACAGCAGGCCGGATCTCCCGCCCCCGCCGGCAATAGGCCTGCGCCTCAACCTGTCGCTGACGCTGCGGCCGCTGTCGCTGCGGGCAACAATATGGCGCAGAAACACGACGGCAGTGATTCGAGGAAGGAGGAAGGACTATGATCTTGGTATCGTGAGGATTCGGTTTCATTCCAGTACTCGCGGGAGCTCTTGGCCTGTAATCATAGATTTGTTGTCAATTTGATGGCTCGGTATAGAACAATAGATTATTGAATCTCTGCTGAACACAGTTACGTTGTGCCGATTACAATAATCATTTTGAGATTGTGAATTCGCACCTGAGCAAGGTGGTAGGAACAATGCCTGATCATGTCAAATGATGCTCGTAGGGAATATCAACAGTGGAAATGTTGCCAGAAAGTACAGCAATGCGAGAGGTTCTATACGCGAGCAACGCAAAATAACTCGGTGAGACTTGTTCATAATAAAACCAGAATGGGACAATCAACAATATATTGCAAGATTACAGGAAATCGTGCACAAGGAATCAGATCCGTTTCGTTGTGTTCTTGAAGTATCAGACAACCCCAACCCCAACCCTACGATCAGACAACCCTGGCATACATCATTTCGCAGAGGGGGTCCAGCGGGAGAATTCCGCGTTTCTTCATGTGAATTTCCGAAATTTTGATCTCGCGACCAGAGCTCTAACGTCAAGACCGCAACTCGACCAATTTACATAAAGAATGGGTCGCGCTGCGTCACCAGCCCTCTCCGAGACTGAGGTCGACATCTCGGGGAAATTACTACAGGATGACGCTTTCGACAGCGACGACAGTGGTGGGCTTCTGAGCGAGATCAACGGCCATGGCAAGTCAAAGAAGAGCAAGGCGAATGGCACAGGCCGAGCAGGCGGCGACTCCAAGGACGAAGAGGCGGACGAGGACGATGCATTCATATCGGCAATTCAATCTCTCGCCAACAAGAAGACCGAGAACAAAAGCGCTAAAAAGGCCGGCGCCTTCCAGTCCATGGGCCTGAACACGAACCTCCTCAAAGCCATTGCACGAAAGGGCTTTTCCGTCCCGACACCGATTCAGCGGAAGACGATCCCGCTCATCCTCGACGGACAGGATGTCGTCGGCATGGCGCGCACGGGTTCCGGAAAGACGGCGGCCTTTGTGATCCCCATGATCGAAAAGCTCAAATCGCACAGCGCCAAGGTCGGCGCGCGCGCGGTCGTCCTCTCGCCCTCGCGAGAACTCGCACTGCAGACGCTCAAGGTGGTCAAAGAGATGGGCAAAGGCACGGATCTCCGGACGACGTTGTTGGTCGGTGGTGATAGCCTCGAGGAGCAGTTCGGGAGCATGGCGAGCAATCCGGACATCATCATCGCCACGCCCGGTCGCTTCGAACATCTCAAGGTGGAAATGCGATTGGAGTTGTCCAGTGTCAAGTATATCGTCTTTGACGAGGCGGATCGCTTGTTTGAGATGGGTTTCGCGGCGCAGCTGACGGAGATCATGTTCTCGCTTCCGCCTTCGCGACAGACGTTGTTGTTTTCGGCAACGCTGCCGAAGTCGCTCGTTGAGTTTGCTCGTGCTGGTCTTCAGGATCCGAAGCTTGTTCGGTTGGACGCCGAGAGCAAGATTGCGCCCGGGCTGGAGAGTGCGTTTTTCCTGTTGAAGCGTACGGAGAAGGAAGGTGCTCTGTTGCATGTCCTTCAGGACGTGATCAAAATGCCGATCGGCGACACCAAAGCAAGTCTAGCGGCGAAAGATGGAAAGGACTCGAACAACAAGAAACGGAAACGCGGTGATGGTGTGGTGTCACGCGGACCTTCGCCGCATTCGACAGTCATCTTCGCAGCGACAAAACATCACGTCGACTACCTCGCGAGCTTCCTCAAGGCGACCGGCTATGCTACGTCCTATGTTTACGGCTCCCTCGATCAGACTGCTCGTAAGATGCAGGTGGAAGACTTTCGCACCGGGATGACCAACATCCTGGTAGTCACAGATGTTGCCGCTCGAGGTCTGGATATTCCTATCCTCGCCAACGTCATCAACTACGATTTCCCATCGCAGCCCAAGATCTTCGTCCATCGGGTGGGCAGAACGGCGCGAGCAGGGAAGCAAGGATGGAGCTACAGCTTTGTCACAGGAGTGGACATGCCCTATCTCCTCGACCTGCAATTGTTTCTGAGCAGGAGACTTATCCTAGGCCGAACAGAAAAGGAGGCGGGCATGTTTCAAAACTCGATTGTTGTTGGAACCATGGCACGCGAAAAGCTGGAGCGATACACCGAGGAAGCCGCGAAGCTGCTAGAGGACGATCACGACATTTCTATGATGCGCGATGTCGCTGGCAAGGGAGAGAAACAATACCTCCGCACGAGAAATGCATCTTCCGCGGAGAGCGTGAAGCGCGCGAAGCAGTTGGCAAAAGATGATAACGCAACTGGTATGAATATGATTTTTGAGCCAAAGGGGGGTATGGACATGGAGCAGCAGCGTTTGGACATGCTTGCACGAGTCAGCGGCTTCCGCCCACAGGAGACAGTATTCGAGGTTGGAAGACGAGGTGTCATCAGCGAGACGGCCGAGATTATCAAGAAACAGCGAGCGAAGATCGAGTCGAAGAAACAAATTGCGAAGAAGACCAAGAATGACGACGACGAGGAGGATTTAGACGCCGTGCCGAAGCGCAATGCTGATACCATGGACCTGGATTCAGACGACGGATCGGACGATGAGCTCGTCTTGACACAACCGGGGGCCGACATGGATGAAGCATCTGACGGCGAGTTGGAGCTTGCCTTCACCGCTGTCAACGAAGCAGACCCATCATCAACAAGGAAAGCCCGATGGCAAGACAACGAGCACTTCATGTCCTACACTCCGTCGACCCTCAACCTTGCCGAAGACCGCGGCTACGGCGTGCACACGGGCGGAAACTCCAACTTCGTCACCGCCGCGCGCAGCGCAACCATGGACCTCACCAACGACGAAAGCAAATCCTTCGGTGAGCCTAGCAAAGCTGGCGGCCTCCGCTGGGACAAGAAGGCCAGGAAATACGTCTCCCGCGCCAACGACGAGGACGGCTCCAAGGGCGCGAAAATGATCCGCGGCGAGAGCGGCCTCAAGATCGCCGCCTCCTTCCGCTCCGGCCGCTTCGACGCCTGGCGCAAAGCCAACCGCGTCGACCGCCTGCCCAAAGTCGGCGACCTCGAACGGCCCGGCGGCCGCTTCGTAGCCGAGCAGGGCGGCAAGAGATACAAACACAAACTCGAGAAGGCGCCCAAGGAGGCCGACAAATACCGCGATGACTACGAGGTCCGCAAGAAGAAGGTCGCCGAGGCCAAGGAGAAACGCATCGGCCGTTTCCGCGAGGGCGCCGGCAAGAATGAACTTCGCGGCGTGGATGATGTGCGGAGGGCGAGGAAGGTTACCGAGCGTCGCCGGGAGAAGAATGCTAGGCCGACGAGGCGGAAGTAGATGATCCAAGGGACGCAGCAGGGCGGGGAAGTCTACGGAGCGGAGGTGGGAGAAGAATGCTAGACCTATGAGGAGGCAGAAGAAGAAAATGAAGAAGTAAGGATACAGACAGCTGGACGGCGCGATTTTGCGGTCGTGTATTTTCTGGACCGTTGTGTTGTCTTTTTGTTCCTAACCTCCCGGGCGTCTTTAGATCTTCTCTGCTTTCGTCATCCACTACCCTTTCCATTTCTCGCTCACACTGCGCGCGCACTCCAGATACTAAAACTCCCAAGCCGCAAGGGAATGACTCGTGTGCCCTTTCTCCTCGCGCTACTACTGTACTAATCCACCATATCCTGAGGTCCCGACGACCTAGGTCTCGGAGCAAGGCAACTTGTCCCCGATAGATACCGGGTCTACCAAGTTCAAAGCGCTCGTCGGAAACATGACTCATGGTCCCTCATCGTCCATCGTTCACATACCATACATCACCATCGGTTTTGGTAGAGAAAAGACCGGCGACGCCCGTGTCATCGCCCTACTCTCTTGGAGAGGAAAAAAAAGCCCGCTAGACTGCCACCACGATCACCACCACCACCACACCAAAACCTACTACCTGAGACACAATATTCCGGCCCGCGCTCGACCCGTCCGCCGTCGCCGCCGCCGCCTCATCGTCGGCCGTAAACCGATACCAACAGGAGCGTTCCTGTTTGCCCTTGCAGCCTTGCCCTGACCCATATATGTAGTTGGATGTTGGCCCGATGACATACTTTTTCTGCCCTCTCACGCCTCTCCCTCCTTCTCACGGGGACAATTTCGAACGGTCGGTTGCGCTACCGAGAGGGACTGCTGCTGGCTCTTGAGTCTCGACCTGTTGCTCTAGTCCTTACGGGTAAAAAAAGGACGATTGTTCTGCCCTTCTGCCCCGTGCTCAGCGGACGCGGTGGGCAGGGCGGGTCATTAGTAATGACGCTCCCTTGATTCCATTTGTTGGCCCACCGATCTTCAATACCTCGTCATCCTCCACCTCCTTCTCGTCATTATCTATAGAGACGACCGCCGTCACTCTTCCGGGTCTTTCTCGTGTGTGTCTCGCTACCAACCGGGTCTCTCATCTGCGTCAGTCAAGGGAACGGCGAATTCCGTCCGATGGTAAGACAGGGCGTTCCTGAGCTAGCTGATTGTCTCGGATCGGTCTAATGGATTGGTGGCGATGTGCCGCCTCCCACTCGTGTTCACTTGGCGGGTGCCGAGTGATCAGCGGCACACTTGGGCTGGTTTGCCTGATCTTGTCCCATTCTTTTCACTGGGCGGACTGTCATTTGTTCAGCTCGCCTCCTTCCGTGTTGCCATGCACGTGCCATGACAGTGTGCAGCTCAAGTCCACTTGATGAAGTCTGACCTGAACATTATCGTCGTTACTTGTCATCACTCGAACCGTGATCAAAATAATCACATTCGCTCGGCTTGAAAGCACACATTGCCCTTGTTGATTGGCCCGCGCATGCGAAAACCCGGCATTTATCGAGTCATCATGGCCAATGAGGAGACTCGGAAATTCCTTCCGATTCACCAATCAATATATTTTACTTTCTCTCATCGTTGGTGATGGTGTAGACATCCCTGGCTTCCGCTTTTGGACGACCTCATCGAGGTGATGGAAAATGAAAAGGGTGCACGGCTCCTACGCATCTTTCAAATCCATCATCACCCGACGTCTGAATAGCCACAACGGCTTTACGAGAAGGGGCCTGTCTTTTAGGCGCCAGCGTTTGAGACTATCGAGAGCCGTTGTTGGGGTGTGCGGGCGTGCGGAAAGTAAAATCGAAGATTTTTCCATTCGAGGACGTGACGTTGCCGGCGCCCCATGGCGAAACAAACGGCTGCAACGCTCACGCAGAAAGAAGGACTCACGAGTGGGGCATACACACACACAAACATCTCCACGCGGGATGTTTTGGCCCAGAACACGCATTTCCATACTGCCTCCTCGACTGAATGTTGTCTGACCGCCATGTTTGAGTGGAAGAACAAGAGACTGGTGAGATCTCGTCTATGTCGTCTAGTGGAGGAATACATCCATTGGATCCAAAACTTCCCGCGCTGTCCTCGGACTTGGTGGCTTCTCCTACCGAGAAGCCTATCATGACCTTCGTCGGGCTGCGAGGCGGGCCGATCGCAGGCACACACACATGGACACACATGGTCAAGCGGCCTTACATCCTGGCATGACGGGTACGACGGATAACTCCAACTGTCAATGATGAGACTCTCGATCTGAATCCCTAGAAACGTTGCGAACCGATATATGGTTTTTCCTCGGTAGCGGCAGCTCGTTCCTGCTGCGCGCCGTTTGATTCCAAACCAGGTCGATCGAGTCAGGCGCGCCGAAAGACCTCGGGAAGAAAGGGTGGTGGTGCGCTCATTCTTCGTTGGTAAGCTGCTGCGCGCTTCGTCACGCTCGCTCTGCATCCGGTACCGAATGGATGATGGCCTTCACCATGCGATGCACACATGGGATCACAGCCAGCCCCGCAGATCTTTCTTTACAAGTCATCATCTGATTATTTCACGTTGCGTATGAAAATGATCGCCCTTGGACAAGACAAGGATTATCCTCGGCTAAGACTCCGATTAGAAATCCCACTGCTGCATCGATGGCGGTGACTCTAGTAAATGCAAGCTGCTTGCTCGTCATGCCCGTCATAAAATGGCCGAGAGAAAGAAATTTTCTCCGAAATACTTCGCCGCCGTCCAACGAAGCTGCATATCGGATGCGTCGTCAGCTTCACGGGGGGTTTTTTTGGTGTTGCGTGACGATGATGGTAGTCATTGTATTTTTTTTGTGCGCGCTGACGGCTCCACTATCCACGATAGCGTGGTCTTCGGCGGTCGGATTTTCGACCGGGTTGTTTCATCGCACATGCATTGCATGCACGAGGACGCCCTATCACACAGCACAGCCATGCTTTTCTGCTCAATCACCATATGCAGGAGTCGTGCAGGATTTTAGGGGAAGAGCTGCAGCGTGCATAAACTCCACATGTACGACACCACTGCATGCAGGACTTGCACCGCACGTGAAATGCAAAAAGTCACCAAAATCCGGTTTGTCGTGTAACCGGCGCGCCACGACGAGAATCTAAAGGAGCCACGTACGACCCGGTTTCGCCAATCGTCGTCGCGATGGATGATATATCTCCGTGGGTTTAATATAAAGGACGGACGACTGGATACAAATCGGATGAATGCCACGCATGGGCTACGCCGCACACCGCAGACGCCTGACGGCCCCGCTCTAGCCGGCCACTTGATGACCACCATCTTCTGCTATAACGTGCCACAGATCCCTTCGAACTCATATGTAGGTATCTCTCCTTTGAGACGAGGAGATCTCGTAACACGACGTCCTGGTCCAACCTGCTGGTGGTGGCTGAGGCTCACTGGAAAGAAGATGCACGACAAAGAGGAAGGCCGAACATTCATCCGTGCAGCGAGAATTCAAATACAAACACACATACGACAGAGGTGAGATTGGTCCAGGATGTTCTTGGGTTGTTACGGATTTTGTCCACACCTCCCACACCTAACGGTATCATCGGTCGGTACGTGCCTCGATTTCGATGACACCGCTAGCGTTAATTCAGGAACAGTTCGTCTTAAAATGGCAGCGCAGGTCTGTGCGTTGCTCCTGCGTGATTACCGGATCAGGACTGGACTTGATGAGAAGGAACCAACGTTTGACTCCTCGCGTTTCGTTTAGCTAGCTGGCCGCCCAAAGTTTGTTCCCATCGTCACCCTGGCCTCATCGAGTCCACCAGGGATTCAAACCTCATCTACACCTCCATGTTCTGACACAAGTACCGATTTGTCCTTCACACGCCCGGCTCTCAATCTCTCAATGCGAATGCCCTGGCCCGTTGGGTAGTGCGTTTCGGCCTGCATTTGCGAATGATGTAGTCCTGATAGCATCATTTTGACCCTGCACTGTTTCCCGAGAAGGTGCCCCGATCATACGTAGCGTAGCATGCCACCGTGATCGAGAGAAGTCTTCAAGCGGGCTTGCCCTGCCGCACTCGCGACACCGGACATAAAGCTTGTTGCTCATGCTGGACGAAAAGGGTGCAACGAGGACGGCCTCGAGGATGCTTGGCCCAAGTCCTCCTGAATGCATATACAAGGTAACGAGGCCCTAGACTCTTCTAGCCATGATCATGATCAGATCGTCTGTCAATTCCAGTCTCAACCATGGGTCATAAACAAGCCCTTGCAGAACGGGCTTCATGGCTTCACGGGCGGACAGATGGAATGTATATCTATCTGCCTGAGGTTCCCTTGCAGAGCCACAATCGAGAGACAATGGTGGTGAGTTCCGGCCCGCGCCTTGATTCGCCATCGCGTTTTGTCTCACTGTCCCTCTTCGTCCCCACACATCCAATTGATACTGATCGAGGCCGCCACCTTGCTATCCTGATGCTATTGCTGGTTCCTCGGCCCGATGGAGCATCATGATCATGGCCTGCTGCACGATAGGAGAAAGGCTCCGAATCACTTGCATTCGACCCAGGAAACACGATTCCTCCTACACCACGTTCTGTCATGAACGGGGAACCGCGCAGAAAAGTGCATGTGCAAGGTGTAACACACATCGAAGTCTCTTTGGACTATATGTGCATACCGCGCCTTAGGACGCCGGCATGATCTCCGTCATTCATCTTGACGTAACGTGACTCTTGCTGACATGAGACTCCGCTGGCGTCCTTCTCACATCCGCGGCCGTTGAACGGTTTTTTGTGCGTTTCAAAACCACCAGAACCCGCCCCCGGAATTTCCGTGTGATATTGCAGGCTGAAGCCGGCGCAAAAACGACTGTGCTCACTCACTTCAATATATGCCCCGAGCACAGGCCTGAAAAAGAATAGCTGCTCATCATATATATCTCGGTGTGAGAAGACCCCAGTTCCACTTGAACTGGTCGTCGTCGTTGTTTGGTACGAATCGAACAACGCTCTCACATACCGATACACCAGTCATCAGTTCACCTTCCTTCCGACGACCTTGACGTTATTGACCACCGCTTCCAATGACATAAACGATCCCCGCTGCTGTTGATTTGTCAAATTCGCAAAACCGGGCATTTCAATAACGAACGTTGTTCCGGCTCCTACGTTTATGGTAGCATACCGTCCATCCTGTCGATAGGAAAATCGACAAGTGAAGCAACGTCCAGGCCATCCTGTCTTAGCGAGCAGTGACCGGGTGTTTGTCTTACGGGCTGCCCACATTCCGTCATCGATAACCTCACGACGATTCGGATCCCTCAATGCAACGTCAATGTGCCAACCGCACGTGAGACCCAAAACAATCACCACGGTCAGCCCATCGATAGTGCCCAAGTCTGGCGCAATCGAGACATTGGCGGAGCAATGCAGGCCGCAAGAAGATCGATCCTCTTCGCTAGTTCGTCCACCCTCCAGGAACCCGGCCGCGGAGGAAAAGTAAAGCGTCAATCGAACCCAGACTTTCTCTCTCAGCGGGTCTCAAAGTATCTTTGTTGCCGCCGATGTCAGAAGAGTTTCCGGCATCAGGGCAGAGCAGGTCGTTTCGCGATATACCCTCGACCTCGTCGTCAACTCGTGTCATCGCTCCTCCACCCGCGTTTGTACCCTTCCCTCCGACGAGGTCGTCGACAACTTTCGACCGTCCAATGCCTGGCGTCGCCCTGCAGTCCGCCAGTCTGGCGCCTCCATTCTACGAGCGTCCGACTACCGGCGCTACCTACTCGGCACATGCTTATCAGACTACACCAACGTTACCGCCATTGTCGGGCCTCCAGACACCTCAGCTACAACAACAGCGAAGCACTGCCCTCTCGACGTCTTCAGCATCATCGGCCTTGTCGGCGCCTCTTCCCGGCCAGACGACATCGAAACCAACGAATCAGGACAGCCCACAAGGAAGCACCAAGACTGGACGGAAGAGCAAGGCACATGTCGCTTCGGCATGTTTCAATTGCAAGCGAGCGCATCTCAGCTGTGACGATCAACGGCCCTGCGCTCGCTGTGTGGCATCTGGAAAGCAGGTAAGCATCGGATCGTTTATTTTTCATTATTGGATCATGCATCTGACGGAGTTGGAAAAGGATACCTGCTACGATGTGCAACATAAGAAACGTGGTCGACCACGGCTGAGGGAGGAGAGCGACTTCAAAATTGAACGAATGACCGCTGAGCCAGGTCGACCAACTTCGTCACTTATCGGAGCAGCCAACTATGCGTCTGCCAGGCCGATAGCCGCAACCAGACCGAGAAGATCAGATTCATTTCGATCGCACCCTTCTCACAGCAGTGATGGATCGATCGGAATGGCGGCGAGTCCCATGTATCAATACCCTCATCCAACATCAGCGATGAGATCAACCTTTGAACATCCACAGGCAGCTCACCGTCCTCCTTCACCTACCGGACCACCGTTCTTTGAGATACCCACCGCAGTCCTCGATATTGACTTTGTCATCTTGAGAGCCAACAGGCTCTTCTGGCAAATCCTTTTCCGTGGACAAGAATTGGTCGGACGGAATCTGGGCGACATTGTTACACCTGCTGACGGTGAAAGCTTTCTAACGATTCGAAATCGCCTGCGGCGAGAACGAGATGCACACTCACCAGCCTCGGAAACATCGATGTTGCAAGCAGGTTCCGATCCGATCCAGGGTATTCGCGATGTGGATGTCGAGCAGTTCACGCATGGTTTCCATGATCGGACTTACGTATGGACACAAGTTGGAGCCGGTGATCAATCATTCCCTGCGCGTGTACGCCTGGCGAGAGCCTCTTCATACTTTGTCGTTATCACACTTCCCTCATTTCGTCCAGTCGAGTCACGCGCTAGCACCTACAGGACATCGCAGACTTTTCATCGTCCTCACCTATCACATACGCAGTCGTACTCCCACCCGGAATCGTACTCTGCGCCAACATCACATACGCCACAAGCATCTCATGCTCTACCACCGGTAGGCTATCAGAGCACTCATCACCAACACCAATATCCACAAACGTATGCGGCGGTCGCACGTTATCCAGCACCGCAATCACAGCCACCGCCGCCGCCGCCGCCACCTCCACCTCCACCACCCGCGTCCGCTCCCGGATCAATGCCATCGGTCTCGAGATCGTTCCCTCCGCCTTACTCACAGCCAGCTTACCACGATCGACCCACCTATCGACCCACCACACCGCGTGTCTCAGAACCAACTCCAGATCATGGTCCAGCCGGAGACGTGTCAAGACGTCCATCTCTGGCAGATTCGGCAGCTTCTTCTGCTTCTGGAGCAGTCCGTCTGCCGCCTATCCTAGCCAGCCCACTACGTGACAGCCGACCAACGACACAGCTGCGTCCACTTGATCATCGTAATTTTGAGGGTGAGAGCTCGGCAATACGGCCACCGCCTCCTCCAGCTTCCACGTCGTCAATACCAACGTCAGAGCAAGCACAACCACCGCATTCGCGAGCTCCTTACACCCCTCAACAGCCTCAGACATATGCACAGGTGCTTTCCCGCCAATACGATCCACAGTCGGCAGCACAGCAAAGGCCAATGCAGCAGATGACTGCTTCAGCACCACCACCACCACCGCCACCACAACATCAGCCCCAGTACCACCACCATCAACAGCGACAGCAAAGTCAACAACAGCCAACCTCGTACGCACCCAGTGGTGCAGAGAGACGGACTCGAGAGCGAACTGCAACGGAGGCTGAAGATGATGAACAGGACCGACCACGCAAACGTGCTCGACGAATGGGCATCGATGATGTCCTTCATTAATAATCACGGACATTGTTCATCCAAAAATTGGTCCAAAATCATATACAGTCTTGAAAATTCGTGCACCACATCCCATCGCCCCGACCGATCCGCGATGAGTTCGCCTGCAAGCAGACCCATACGAGCGAGTCGACCTTTGCTCTTCCCTGATGCGCATACGATCACATTACAAGTCGAACCTTCCTATCGTTTCCGATTTTAACGACCTTGACGAATATACAACGACGCGGCGCAATCGATATCATAATTTCAATCATTGTTTTTCGTCGGAACACCTTGACCTTGATTCCACCTCTCGACAATCGAAGCTTTAGCGCAAATGCACACATACAGTCCATTTCCTTTTCCTCGCTCTTTCTCTCGCGCATACCTTCATTACCAGCATCAAAGGCAATTGTCAATTTTCTTTCTCAGTACGACGCCAACTTTTTTAAACGGCGCACTCGATGGCCGTGGGGAAAGGTTTCTCAGCTTGCGTCCTTTTCAACCCCAGGAGATTCGCGTCTATCCCGAGGACAGCAAAAGCAAAAGAATCAGGTTCATGATTCAAACTGCATCATGAAAAGGCCTACCTATCTTCGGACGGCCAATTTCTTTTTCTTCTCGATTTCCACCCACCGATTTTTGTACCACTAAACATTTTCGTTTTAAAGTCTCTTCCACCACAACGTACTCGAGGGAGATGCGAAATCACAAGTCCGATTTTCATCCTCTTCGAACGACTCTTATCATGTTGCCATTGGGGACAATGCGCTCTATTTTCTTTCCTCCCGCTATCTATCCACACACTCTCTCTCACTCTGGAGAAATGCACGCATGTATGTGGGCTTCATGGGCATCTCGCGAGCGGTCGGTCTCCTTTTTTTTCGTATCATTTCTTTTGCTTGCTTGAACTTGCCCGGGCGCTCATTTCCTCTTCTTCGACTGATGTTGTATGAATGTATTTATGGTATAGAAGAACCAAGCTTATATAATCCTCGTCTTAGAATAGTTTCTTCCATTGCTACAAATCATTTGAAGAAGATAGGGGTCGAATTGATGTTGGGAGGATCCGGAAGAGTGGGCATTCAGCCTACTAGAGGAGTTGGATCTCCCAACGACAACCAGGAACGCGGAGGTTTAATTACTACATCCTTTGCAACGCCGACACACGCCTTTCCTCCGTTGCCTCTACATGGTATTGGTAAATCTTTCGCACCTGCACAACCCACGCTCTTTTTTTTGCGCGGGCTTCGTACCTGGACATCTTTGTAATGCCGAGAAGATAGACCGTCTAACGACCATAGACCAGCAATGCATGAAATAAATCACATCTAATCCAAATCGTCTTCTTTAGTGACAGGCGCCGCGCTGCTGACGACCTCGCCATTTCCAGCCTTCGCATCGGCCGTCACAGGCGTAGCTGTTGAAACATTCGCAGGAGCCGCTTCTTTGGGCTTTGCAGATGTTTGCGAGACACGGGCTGCACTTCGTAGAGGGCTCTTCACCTGAACCTCTGCATCGGGGAAGACATCGGCGATGAGACCCGGCAGGAATCGCTCAAGCCTCTCGCTCGTCTCGGCCCAGAGCTTCTTTTGACCCTCAGCGCGAGTGTCTTCGGCATTTTTGCCAGGCGGAGGGACCATGTAGCCGCCACTGGACATGACGAGGAGGATGTTCTTGAGACATTCTGGCACAGCCTCGACGAGCACGCCCATGCCCTGTGCGCCGGCGCCGGAGTTCAGGAAGCGGTCCATGATCGCGAGGATGCGGGTCCAGAGGTCGAGGACGGCGTCGTACTCGCCTTCGCCGCGTAGGACAAGGTAGTGCAGGAATATGCGGGAGAGCAACTGTGCGGCCTGAACGCGCGTCTCGCTCATGCCGAGAGGATCGCTTTGGTAGGTCTCGGGTTTCAACAGGACGTTGACCATGGGGAACAGCACTTCGCCAAAGATGTTGGTCCATTCGTCGTGCTCCGGTGTGGCAAGTTCGGGAGAGAGGAGGATGCGCTGCAGGACGGGGAAACTTTGATGGCGGATCTCGCGGCAGGGATTCACGCATTGCTTTGCCAGGCAGCGGAATACTGGAGACCAGTACGTCCGCCATGCCGCTGCTGGCTCGAGATGTGATTTGGAGACGAGCGCGGGCACCTGTGCAGCGAGTTGAGAGACAAGAGTGATTGCACGAAGGCCGCGGAGGAGCACCGGGGACTTTTGCAATTTCTTTTCATCCTCGAGAACTGCGGAGACAGCGGCTGGCTGCTGTCCACGCCGGGAGCCTCCTTGATGTTCGCGTTCTCGTTGCTGCTCTTGTCGTGCGCCAATGCTAGCTGCAGAGGCAAAGTTGTTGAGCAAAATGATCGCCGCCTCGTAATTATCTGGTGTTATAGCACCATCTGCGATAACGGCCTCTGTGATCTGCGAGACCAAGGATGCAGCTTCGGCCTGCTGCGGCTGAAGCGCCTGCAGTACTGCCCAGAAGTCAGGGCTACTAGCCATCTCGTGTCTGAGCTCCGGAGGACCACTGATGCAGCCGTAGAGACCTTTGAGAATGCCTTGGGCGCATTCCCGAAGGACGTCTGGACGGAAGCTGGAGATGCCATGCAGAACGACCGGAGTACGAATGAAACCATGATCATAGCTCGCCCGAAGCAAGCTCAAAAGGTAGAACACAGTGCGGCTGAGTGCAATGGGATGCAGACGTTCGGCATCGCGGACTACGTTTTGTAATGCCTCGGCCACATCCGCACCAAGTGTGGTGATAGTTTCCTCGTCTCGCAGAGCGAGAATGGTAGCTAATTCGAGGACGTAGACAACGGCAGGATTGTAGGATGGCTGATCCACGCCGCCCTTATTTATATTGCGACCGTGTGAAGGAGCAGGAACTTCGGGTTTGACAGTCGTCAGCGGTGGCGAATCCTGTTGTGGAAGCTGTGCCAATAATGCCGAAGTCAATGTCTTTAGCGACTCTACAGGTAGTTCGCTGACATTGCCCAAGATTTTCTCGAAGTGGCAAGCATTAATGTAGTCGACCGTGCATAGTGTAGCGTCAATCTCGGCATCGTTAGGTTCTGGCGGTTCGTCGTTCATGACACTGCTGACGTAGCTCGTGAAGGCGCTGAAAAGGCCGACATCTGCGCTCTTTTCATTCCGTTCAATGACCTGTGAGGGTGACTGAAGTGGTATGGGTGGGAGGTCCAGATCGCGTGAGATGGACTTGAACGAGGTCGGTATTAGGGAGTTGACAAACAAGTTGACGATGATTTTGACAATCTATTCAATCAATGTTAGTGAAAAATTTCGAATTCCCTTTTCTGATCGATGTCTTATGACTTACCGGGTTCCATCCGTCGCGGACCACACCTTCGCAACCATTGATGACACGGAAGAGGACTAGAGTAGCTAATTCTGCCTGGACGTTTCGGCCAAAGTCCACAGCGAATTTGCTGACCATAATGCTCTTCCCTTGTGCAACAATCTCTGTGTTTAGTGCTGTGCTCGCGCCATCAACGGCCAAGGTGCTGATCTTGCTCAGACTCAGGATGATGTGGTCGAGACACTCGTGAACGCCATACTTCGCAGCAATCTGGGCGAGCTGGCTGTATCCTGTGGTGACACGCTGAAAGACAGCATCTTCGGTTGCAGAGACAAAAACGTAGTTGAGGGTCGCAACGATCGGCCGCCATGTCGCGGCGAACATGTCGGCATCGTAGATGTTGGTATTGGTGCATATGGTGAGGCGCTCAGACGTTTGCGTCTTGATGAGAAGCTCCTTCCAGGCGTGCTCAAAAGCATGCTTATTGTCGTGCTCCTCGGGCAGGACGATTTCTCTCGTTTTGATAGACTCGTGGATGTCCTGTAAATACTGAGGTTCGAAGTCTCTGCCGCCATTGACGCCTCGCAAATTCCGCGAGAAGTCTGTATATGTCATGCGGTTGGCGGCTTTTATGTTGGGATTGTACTGATCGGTATTTAGCATGATGATTGCATATGTCAAGATGAAAATTGCGTCCTTATCGGCAACCTCTGTAGCTTCAGCGGTGTCAAAGTACTTCTCGCTGAAGACAGTGACAATGCGCTCGATCAGAGCAGATTCTCCGGGTAATCGGAAGCTGTTGAGAATTTGCCGTAGCGCTTCGTCCACACGCTGACCTCGGAAGTCGAACTGGTCCATGAATGCATCTAATATCGCCTCGCTCCCTCTCTTAGAGATGAACTCACCGAGCATTCTCTTATCAATCCGCGCCGTCCCTTTGAGGAATGCTGTCACCAAATTTGGATCATTGGGGTCTTCTATGATCCCTTGAGATGCGAGATATGCGATGCCTTTTCTTGGGCTCTCGTTGAACCTGGTAGTACCTTGAACGATGACGCCTTTTCGCCGACGCTGCTCATGTAGCTTCTCTTTTGCGGGTAGATCTTCAGTGGAGGGTTCGTCGTCTAAACGATCCGCAATGAATTGGACGTAGCCGAGCAAGGAGTCGAGACACAGCGGCGGAACGTTCGTTGTGCTCCATGTAGCAGAGTCCGGGAAAGCGTTTCTCGAGAGAAGACCGACCATATCTGTACATAGATCGCTTCGATCAATTTCACAATCGTAATTGACGAACAATTCAACCATGAAGCTGGGTATTCTGACGAGACCGCCAATGCTCTCTACCATTGCTTCCCGAGCATCTGGTTTGCGCGAGCCGCCCTCCATACCAAGCTTCTGCCTGTCCCGCACAGGCACCGGTGTTGCCCTGCCGCTTTCAGGCCCGCTGGTCGGTTGCTTGACCAGCGCGGGTGCTTGAGGCACTCCCTGATAAAGGGATGGATCAATTGTTGGCTCGTCAGGGATGGGCACGCGAGGATGCAGGCACGCGACCACGTAAGAGAGGAAAAGTTCCTGCTGGAGCTTCAGTACGCTCCGACACGTCGCGAGAAGTGTGCCTGCAACTCGTAGAGATTCGTGTAGGATTGCGATGTTCTCTGACCGCACGAGCTGAAACAGATTTCGGCAAAGAGTGTCTTTCGCTAATGAGGCGAGACTTGGATGATTGGCAATGCTCGGCCCTGCTACCTCCAGTGCGACATTGACGATGCGCAGAGCCATGACACGCAAGGTATCCGTCCGTTGTCGATCGTGCGGATCCAACAGATCTGCAAGCACTCTGAACAGCTCACGGATGGACGGTAGACCATACGGCTTGACCTCCGTGTCTGTTGGCTTTGCAAGATCCATAAAACTTGCGCTTGTGTCCATTGATGGTCGATCTGCAGCCCCATTCGTGCTGGGAACATCCAGACTCGAGCTCACCCGTACCTTGGTCATGCTATCAGGCCCGAGCTCACCATTAGGTGAAGAGTCAATCTTTGCGGCGTCCATGTCTGCTTGTAGGACAGCCTCCTCCAAAGCAGTAGGCTCCTCCCCGAATTCCGTCTCCAGCGTCTTTAGCCGCGCAAAGATCGTTTGACACATCGTGACCATGCTGATTTCTGCGCTCCTGCGAAGTACCTCGCTCATTCGCAGATGACAGCATATGCTCAGAGCACACTCCATCATCTCGCAAACGCTTTGATCTCCCAGGACATCCCCTGACGCTCCACAGATCATATCTTCCATTAGTTTGAGGATCCTCAAGAACACCACTTCATCGCTGGATGTATTGTCGCCTTCGAAACGGCAGTGAGTAACTGTCGAAGCAAGTGATTGCATTGCGAAGCTGAAGTTGGGCATTTTCGGATGAATTATCCTGTAGGCCAGCATTTTGGTGATTGCGATCAACGCAAGACTCGTGATAGGCGCAGTCGTACTAGAGCTGCGGATTACCTGCAGGAATGGCTGGAGAAGACTAGGAGCATCGAAGTTCTGAATGTCTTTGCAATATTTCAGATCCGAGCGTAGTTTCGCGAATGCACTCATGAGGGGATTGTCCTGCAAGCTCTGGCCTTTCTTTCCACGCAGGCCCCATCTCGATGTCAACGCTCCGTTATCCTCGATGATATCGATCTTACTGGAACTTCGATTCCTTTCGTGGTTTGTCGTCTTTGTTTCGGACTGTGAGGACGATGGCCGAGTCGTGTTTCCTAGAATTGAGGATATAGACGAATGCGCCCAGCGAGCATGCTTTCGCATGGCAGATGTGACTGTGATACATTCTGTGACGACCAGAGCGACCGGATCAATCGCGACCGCTACGGTGTTCGGAATATGTATTGGCGAGTCCATGGTGATCGAGTGTCCGCATCAATGTCGTCGTGGTGTTTTCGTTCTGATCAGCTCGACATTCACTTCGTTCGGATATTGTGCATATGCCGATGTGGTGCTGAGTGTGTGTATCAGCTAGAGGGTTTATCGAGGTGTGAACACTCCCATCACCGAACCCCCGTGGTATATTACGATCAGGACAGAACGCGATTGATCGACTGATCAAATGTCTCTTGCCGAGATCGAATAGCTTCATGCCAGCGAATGCCTCGTTGTCAGCCTCTTGCCCCGGACTTTCGGCCTTGGCGGCCACTCCCGCTGTGAGCATAGGTGACCACTTTCACCATTGCCAGCTGTCACTACAAGTGTTTCTACAGAATATACCTAGGTACTGCTAAATCAGGCATCCGCATTAGAGATTCACAATCAGGCAGCGAATTACCGAGAAATTAGATTCACAGGATGACTTGGGAAACAGCCGGCGTAGAGCAGCGAGGAACTCTAGTTTTCCACTTGCGTTGGCCGGATGCCGAACGGTGACAATGAGATGCTGCAAATTTACAGAAGAACGCCTGACTCCACGCTGGCCATTCTCAATACAATCGTGTTGATACACCAAATATGTCGCTAGCAGGGTACCGAAAGAAATTCACGGACAATGTCCATCAAGTCCGTTCAGTAATAGCCACCCCGGCTTTGATGCGTCTGAAAATTGTGGTCTCCTGACAGTCCATTCAAATTTGAATACAAATCCATGGCTCCGGATCCAGCGTGGTGGGGAGTCGAGGCTACTCCTGCGCCAACCGACGCGCTTGTCGCTGGCTGTGCTGTGTCGAAACGTGGATCTATCTCCATATCGTCAAGGTTCATGACATTGGAGTGCGTGGCCGGCTGTTGTTGTTGTTGTTGTGCATTAGGAGGGTCATTGCCATCCCGAAGGATTGTTTGTGGCGGTACTGCGGCGCCAAATGCCGCGAGTCGAGTGTCCTTTGCAGTGTATCTTCGCTGTGCTCGAGGAAGAGCGTCGCGGTCCCGGGAGGACCCATACGTAGCATCACCGTGGCAATTCATTCGTAATGATGATTCTGGCACCTCACCGCGACTCAGCTCTTCATTGTATTCCTTCTGGCCTAATATGGGCAGAAGGATAGTAGCTTCGTACCATCGACCTTTGATATCGGTTACGTCGACCCGAGCCAGGTTGCTAACGAGACTCCAATAGCTCACAGAGCGTTTGACTTGCATAGATTTGTTGTTGCGAATGGCGAGATCTTGGGTCAGGCGTCCCGGGAGATGGGGATTGCTATTCAGCGAGGCTGGCGAAGGGATATTTGGATTGGTGTGAGCGATAGTCGTGAGATGATACACATCACCTTGGAACAAGATCGATTGTTGTACAATTTGCTTATTAGCCGATAATCGCTTTCGGTCAATGATGGCTTGAATGACCATGATATCTGTACCAGTGCCGATGTGAAGTCGTACAGGCTCTCCAACCCAAATCTTCTCCGCTCCAAGGAAGATGCCATCGTATCGTGCTTCAATAACATCATCTTGTTGCGCATTACCCTGGTGACCAAACAAAGTATAAGAGGCATCTATTGCCTTTGCAGCAAGGATGGAGCCATCGACACCAATGTCACCGGTTCCGTAATTCTGATTTGCGATTCCTTGCCAGTCAGCAGTGTCATATGTGACGGAGACCTTGTTAAGCGCCTCATTGGTGAATGGTGGTACACTCCACGCTAGCCAAGGACGCAACTCGGCATTAGATGACTTGACCACAGCAGTCGGGTTATGACCTGGATATGAAAGAGGTTGAACGGTGTAGAAGATCTGTGATTTCGCCAACCAACGGCGGGTGATGACACCCAAACCCCAGGGCTGTCCTCGCTGGAACCACACCAATTCTCCCACTCTGTACATGAAGATGCCATACCGGCTGTCCATGACCTGATCTTCGGATCGCTTTTGGGGCAGAGGTGTCGGCTGTAGGTGCTGAGGTGGGGGCGTCGGTTTATGAGTCTGTGTGGGCGCTGATGATTTCTGTGCCTGTGCCTGTACCGCAGGAGCCTCAGTCTTTGGTTTGGGAGCCGGCTGTTGAGGAGGTTTTGCTTGTGCAACAGTAGTCGCGACTGCTGGTGTAGTACTGACTTTCGATTCAGCGGCAGGTCGTTCGGGTTTTGGAACAGATAGACCTAGGGAATCCAGATCTTCAGGACAGCAGATTTTGCAGGAGCAATTGTCCGGATCGCCAGTCTCATCCACACCGAGCCAGAGTAAATGGGGAAAGAAATCTGCAGGACTTCGATAGCGCTTCTTACGTCCCATTGGGTGTCCATAGAGGTAGGCATCTTGCCTATCATTTCCACCAGCAGCGTGTGTCTTGCTCTTGACCTCCAACTTGCCATCCTTTTCTGTCTTCTTCACGTGCTCGTAAAGTCGGTAGTTCTCGGGCAAGCACGCGAGGATGTATCCGCAATCTGTGCCTTGATCAGCGGGTGCACTCATAACCAGTGTACGGACGCTCGTCCTACCGCTTCCTACATTATCATTGCCGGGATCCAGTTGACGCGCCAGCATGCCTCCAAGTTTCCGGCGCCAGTCAAGGTGTTTCGGGTCTGTGAGCAAGACTTCGCGATAAAAGTCACTGATTCCATCTTTATCAGGGCGTTGATCGAGTTGTTCATCTGTGGGTTGATTCTTTTCTCCGCTTTTGCCTCTGCCTTTGGCTGCGGTCTCAAGTACGCCGTCGCTCCGTCGTACGTATAAAGCCTTGAAGGGAGCCATGATGTCGATGCGCGTGAAGCAGTCGCATATGTTGATGGAGGCGATTGTATCAAATCAGGTCTCGTCTGTGCTGTGGAGAGGGATTGCAGATGTTCTAATTCCTCAAGTTGGCATTCTCATTTTCAAACGATCGCACACTCCTGCAATATGTCGTGTCGTGTCTGTCGTCATCGCAGGTTGTGCATACGAGCAGAAATAAGATCGATGGGTACAGAACAAATGGCGTCAAACGTGGCTGCACAGATCGCCGAGAATCTCGTGCCTGTCAATGCGGCCGCGGCTGAACGCGTTTCCCCCTGCAGCTCTGGCGAAATTCGGACTGTGTGACGCTGATCTGGAGAATGATCGCCACAGCGACGCGAGATTTCGCGGTTTCACGAAATACTAGGTGTAGTGTTGTACCTGGGTATCTACGGCGCCATTCGGCATGTTAAGCTATCGATTTTGCATCTGCACCAAATGGCGCGAACAAATACTGATTGAATGACAGTAATGATGCGCGTAACGGTACATCACGACTGAAAGGTGAGACTGCTATCATGAGCGATACAGTCCTGATGGTCACTGGCATTATTGGAGTGAGCACGACGACGGTCAGCAACCTGTAGAAGTTGACGCATACTCAATGCCATATATACAAGGAATACAGCGAGACGTATCCTCGCCATAGTATTGTAAGGGCATGTGAAGAACAAGGAAACGATGAGTTAGAAATTTTGATAATGGCTACGCGAATGGCTCATAAACTTGTGACAAGGACTCCATGCAGATAACAAACGGCGGCGAACTCCAACATCACTTCGTGGACCGGAAATAAACACGCCCGAGGTGCGACACTTGCTCAGCGTGCTGTAGCACGCATTTTGGACGCAAAGCGATATTCGGTCGCGGTGATCCTACATCCTATCAGTATAGCATTTCCTCGATTTCGCGACTTGAAACCAACCATTTCTTGCTCTAGATCGTATACGTGATATTCTTCTCGAGATGGTCGAACATATTTTCCAAGGTCTCGTCGGCCTTTTCAGGGGCAGGATTGATCGGGACGTCGACCTCAGCCAAAACCTGATGCGAGTTCTTGGCCGCGATTGCTTTTATAGTCGCGTTCGCAGCTTGCTTATTGGCCTGAAGCTTGTAACGCTGGTACTCGATTCCATTGCGGGTGATCATGTCGCCGTAGTCCAAACGCACTCCAATGTCGGCATCGTGCTTGCCCACCCGTGCCGGAGCAGCTCTTGCTCCAGGAGATCCTCCACCCTTTAGGATCTTCTCCACCCGAGATTTGGCCCCTAAAACATGGGTCTTGAGCTGTTGAATGGAGGCTTTGATGGCACGACTCGTGGTGACGGAAAACGGGCTGTATCGAAGGCTGTGCGTAGGTCGATTAATGATGGGTGTCGACTCCGGTCGTACAGATCGAGAATAACCTCGTGTAACTCTTGTGTCGCCGTCACTCATGGCTGTATTATATTCGTCTACTATCATCTAGCCGCCCAGCTTTGAATTCACGTTGAGTGAAGCCATTCTCTCTGGTCATTGGACTACATCACACATCGGCGCTTTCTAGGAACACTGGATTGGTCAAACGTAAGTCTCGGCGCGTCGCAAAGAAGATGACACAAATTGTCGAGTGATTGGTGCAGCGTGCCGTGTTCGACTGCGGTGAAGCGCGCGGTTGTATAGTCCTGTCTCCACCTGGGCACAGGCTGGAATTCTATTTTCGAACGACGAACTGAACATGCCGCTCAGCGCAATTGTGGCCCAGGGCGAATCTATTCACGCCCCCAGCTAGCGTTGAGTGAGCGCAGGCGTAACATCGAGAATGTATCTTGATCTTAAAAACAAATGTTCCGACGAGCAGCGAACCGACCTCCGCATCCACCACGATGCGCAGAGCTCTACAAAAAGGTCCCTGGGTGACGAAGCGCGGTTGGGCTCTACGCGTAAAGCACAAATCCCAAGAACTTCGACCAAGTGCTGGTCGGCGCACTTTCTCGATGGCAAGCAATGTCATGGGCGAGCAGAATTCATTTGCTAAGTGTAAGTGATTCAGGAAAGATGGTCAGGTATCTACACTTTCTTTACTGATGCAACCAAGATAGTGGAGGAGTCAACGGAGACCTGCATCAAATAACGCGCGCACGATTCGTGCAGAATGAAGCAGAGGAAGCAGTCGCTCATCGTGTTGCATACGACATAGATGCCCTTGCCATTGTCGCAGCACGCGCAGCAAGTTCCAAAGCATGTATCCGCGTTGACGCCCTGCCAGGTGGCATGCACAACAAGGTTTTACTGCTCACAATGGACGACGAGAAACAAGTCATCGCGAAGCTTCCATATCCAGTTGCTGGTCAGCGGCATTTCACGACTGCTAGTGAGGTCGCCACGATGGACTGGCTGCGGACGTCAACGACGACACCTATACCGAAAGTCCTGGCGTGGTGTAGTCGAGCTGAGACCACCCCTGTGAAAGCCGAATATATCATCATGGAAAAGGCATTTGGTGTACCCCTGAAGACCAAATGGGCGGAGCTGAAGGTGCCGGAGCGATTTGAAGTGGCTAAATATATTGCACAGCTTCAAGAGCAGTGGTCTGCCGCATCGCTAGGCGGATACGGAAGTGTTTATTATGCGTCCGATCTGCCAGAACATCAGGCCATTGCGCTTCCACACACAACCGAAGACGATACGAATACCAGATTTGTGATTGGTCCATCAACTGGCCGGGATTGGCTGGATGAAGGGCGGCAATGTTTGGACTTTGACAGAGGACCATGTGAGTTCATCTTGACCTCGGAAGATATGAGCAGTGCATACTCATTAATGGCTTAGGGACCGTGACTGAAAAATACCTTGAAGCTGTGGGTAAAAGAGAACTGATCTGCATTAACCAGATCCCTACCCTGCCTCCACCACAGATCACGCTTTGCGGCCCTGGAACATACACTTCGACTAGAGCCAAAAAGCTACGAGCAGTAGATCTATACCTCCAGATCTACAAATACGTTGCTCCTTCCGATATCGATATTCGAAAGCCTGCGATATGGCACCAGGATTTGCACGTGGAGAACATCTTTGTGGATCCCAACGGCCCGACGAGAGTCACATCTATCATCGATTGGCAATCGACGGAGATTGCCCCTCTCTTTGCACAAGCCCGCGTGCCGCAATTCCTTGAGCACAATGGTCCGCGAGCAGAAGGTCTTGAGCGTCCACGGTTGCCCCCAAACTTCGATGCACTCGAGCCAGCCGAGCAACAGAGAGTCAACCGCTTGACTTTGGATCAAGGGCTCTGGGTAGCCTACAAGATATGGATTCGTGCACGAAACCCTGCCTTTTGGAAGGCACTCGAGTTTCAAGAGACCGCAGCTTTTGAGCTGCTGCTCTGCGCGCGAACCCTGCTTGAGGACGGTGAAGCTATATATGCAGCTCGGTTCCTCGACCTTCTCGAAGAGGATGATGCGAATGTCCGGAACTCCGGCGTAGAGATACCCGCTGATATTGCTGCTGAGATCCGGTCCGACAGCAAAGATGCATTAGAAGGAATGAAGGCCATGTCTATGATCAAGGAGACGATCGGCGACCTGTTCCCTGAGCGCGGCGTCGTGCGTGCCGAACAGTACAAGCACGCAAAGAACGCCCTCGCCCAGTGCAAGGAGCAGATCGTCGAAATATATGCCCGCAGCGACGCTGACCGCGCAGCGTGGGATGCGTCGTGGCCGTTCGACGATGAATGACGATGTGATGTACGATAGCTAAGGTTCTGCTCTACGATACTCCGCTCAATGCATCTGCGACTTTTCCCAAGCTGCCACAATGACCGCATACCCGAACATCATCCTTTTGTAGACAAGGGTATGTTTATAGCAGAGGAGGTGTACCGGAATGAGTGTCGATACCACCGCACCGGGTGACGTTGGAACACATAAATGACAATGAGAGGGATTTCGATATCTCCACGGTGATGAACCTTGCTGGTTCGAGTGTTGAGGATCTCGAAATGGTGGATCGCTCGCTAGACGTGAATTTTAGGGCGCATTTCGGTTCTGCCTTACAATCGTTGTGAGCGTCACCCTATGTTCACTGACTTTGCTTGTATGACTTTCATAAATACTCGTGTCTGATGCTGCGAAGACTATTGTCAAGTGTCGTGTGCTTGCCGGATGGGTATTCATGGAAGTAAGTAGCCTTTAATATGTTTTACATCATGCTTCCCTACATTACATTTGCAGAGGCACGTCTCAAGTCCGAATTGCCTTCAATCCTAGCTAGTATCAAGATACGCAAAATGTGTTTGTTCCAAGATCATCAGGTATTAATTTTTGATATTATTACCCGGCAGGCGGAGCGATGAACTGTTGGCTTATATAATAGCCGGTCTGAGCCCCGAATGCGCTTTTACCTGCAGCTCTGGCGAAATTTGGCGCGTCAGACGCAGATCTTGAGAACAATCACCACAGCTTTACGCGAAGTTTCGCGTTTCTCCGATACATTTATTAATCTAGATAAAATCGGGACTTCACACTATCAAGCAGATCAGCGGCATCTAAGATCACGACATTAGACATCAACCGCGTGTTGCTGGCTGTAAGCGCAACAGACCCAAGAGCTGCTGAGCCAGAGATTCAGGAGACCCTCGCAAATTGTCTGCCGTGCAGGTGATCAAATGTCAGATTGACAATTCACCTGCCGTGCACAAACAGCATGTGATATGATGTCAAAATGATTGCGAGAGATGTGGAAATAACATATCGAAAAATTGTGTCATAAATACAGCATTGTGGATATTCACCTGCTAAAGGAAGATAAACGAAAGCGCACAATATCTTACAACAAAATCTTGTTGCGACACTCTTAAGATGGACTTCGACCACGACAAGGCCGATTTACGTCCTACAAAACAACGAAAACTCATTCCAGCAATCCCAATGCGTCGTGCTTCTGATTTTCTCGCTGCTTTCGGTGCGACGAGGAGCCCCTCTTCAAGTTCGAGGATGAAGCGCGAGGCCGTCATCGAGATCGACCAGGTTTCTCCTGCAACGTCACGGCGTGTCAGCGATTGTGGATTTGATGGAAGTCCTCAAATCGAGAGCGATGTTATTACAAAAGATAATGCGCGTGGGTCGCAACTCGAAACCAGCGAAGATGAGCTCAGCGTCGGCGACACCATTCAAGGTACGTACACAACCTCAGACCACTTTGCAGCTATTCTGATTTCTTGTCAGTCTCGCGAGTACCGGCGGTTAATCTCCAGAAGCGTGAATCGCTCAGTCGAACCGTGCCTGCTCGTTCCACGAGAGCACAAGTTAGCTATGCACAGCCCGCGGTTCGCGCAAAGTTGATCCCGTCTGCCAAAAGTCCTCGTCCAAAGAGAGAGTCCAAAACGTTATTAGTCTCCGATACTCTGCCATCAAGCATGACAAGATCTCAGCCTTCCAAGCCGCGTGTAGAAACAGCACGAAACAAAGTGCGAAAGGACATCGCGGAGTATACCAAACCCAAAAGAGATGCTTTCCTGTTGGATCACAAAGATTTATTCTTGCCATTATTACCATCCACCAATTACATCAACAAACTGGCACGTCAGCAAGAAGCCAAGCTGCCGCCCGTCGTACCGTACCGCTCTCTCACTGTACAACCAGAGGGCGTGCTCGCAACGATGAAGCCATACCAACTCGAGGGTCTCTCGTTTTTAGTGCACATGCATGAAAATGGAATGCCTGCAATTCTTGGTGACGAGATGGGTCTTGGGAAGACGCTTCAGACACTCTCGTTGTTCCAATATCTGAAGGACAACAAAGTCACCACTGGCGAGCACAGACCCTATCTTGTGATTTGTCCACTCAGCGTTTTATCGTCCTGGCTTGCCGAGGCCAAGAGGTGGGTACCACACATGAAGACAGTCCGTTTCCATGGCCCAAAGGGCGAACGTGACCGCCTCAAGAAAGACACGCTGTTGGGAAATGTCCAATACGACATCTACGTCGCCACTTACGAGTCATTTCGAGCGGAGCACAGTTGGTTCAAGAGCGCTTTCGTCTGGCGATATTGTGTGCTGGACGAAGGCCACAAAGTGAAGAACAGTGAAAGCGATGTCTCCCACACGTTGCACGGTCTAGGTGCTGAATACAGACTGCTTCTCACAGGAACACCTGTACAGAATAACCTCTTTGAGATGTGGTCGCTCTTGTACTGGCTGCTACCGGAAGTCTTCACTGCCGATACTGCGGCAAACTTCAAGAATGCGTTTGATCTCTCGCAAGGCAAAGCATCGACGAGCTTCATGGACCATGCAAGGCGGCTATTGGAGGTCATCATGCTGCGTCGCTTGAAGGCCTCCGATGGCGTAAATCTTGGGTTGCCTCCGAAGGAAGAGGTCCTCCTTTACGTACCGATCACTCCCATGCAACGTTTCTGGTATGAGAGACTATTGACTCGGTCGGACAAAGCTACTCTGGACGGTCTATTCTCAAATTCTCGTATTAAGGAAGAGAAAGCTCGGGAAGATGAGCGGACGGACGGAAGCATGGCGCTCCTGGAACGAGCTGCTCATCTGGCCGACAAAGCAAACGCCAACTCGATAAATGTGTGGGCCGAAAGTCAAGCTATTCTGGAGCAGGCCCTTGAGACCGAAGCTGAGCAAGACAAAGGAAGCTGGAAGAAGCTGATGAACCTATTAATGCAGCTGCGAAAAGTCTGTACACATCCTTACGTCCTCAAAGAGGCGGCACCTCCTGAGTACCTGCTTGGGGAGCATGTCATCACCGCATCTGGAAAGTTTATCGTTCTGAGCAAGCTGGTGGACGAATTGGTGGTGAATCAGGGCAAGAAGGTACTTATTTTCTCTGGATTCACTGGCACATTGAATTTATGCGAAGACCTCTTGGTCTACAAAGGCGCCGACGGTGACAATCCGCGATTTCGGTACACAAGATTGGACGGCGGCACTTCGCGGGCGCGCAGAAATTTGGGCATGAGGCAGTTCAACGATGCAAACAGCAACTTTCAAATCATGCTCCTGTCGACACGAGCAGGTGGCCTGGGTATCAACCTTACATCTGCAACCGAAGTCGTGTTCCTGGACGAAGATTGGAATCCACAAGTCACGATACAAGCTGAAGCTCGAGCACATCGGATCGGACAAACCAAGAAAGTCACCATTTACAAGCTTTGTTCTCAAGGCACAGTCGAAGAGCAGATGATGGGCCGCATTCGCAAAAAGCTTTATCTGTCAGCGAAGATCACCGAGGGCATGCGCAACATCCACACGGAAGAGTCGGTCAGCAAAAAGAGGAAACGACAATCCATCAACCCAGCAGCCAACGACGACGCGCCGCAATTGACTACTGCCTCGCTTCAGGTGTTGATCCGCCGTGGGGCCCAGACTCTTGCACGACCTGCCGTGGATGCGGCCGAAATGTTACTTTGGGACTGGCCTACCATACTGATGAATTGCAAAGACAAACCGCTCGACGCACTGATCACAGATGAGGAGGTCGATGAGCAAGCTTGGCTGAACACCATGGAACGCGTCGAATGCGCTGTATTCGAGGGCCGGAAGCATCACAAGGAGATCGATATCAAGATTAAAGCAGAAGTACTCAACCGAGCTGACCGTCGTGAGGGCAAAAACACCACCGTCATGATGAACGGTTTCATGATAAACAAGGAAAGTCTGCTCTGCGCCGACTGGGAAGCTGTCCCCACTCTCGCCGGCAAAGACCCACGTCTCGCGGAGCCGAAACGCGCGAAGCGCAAAGCCATCGAGCATCAAGACTACTGTCAGACCTGCTTCGACGGTGGCGATGTGGTCGTGTGTGGAGGCTGTCCTCGCGTCTACCACATCCCATGCCTGGACAAAGACTTCCGCACCAAGGCCCAAGGTATGAGCTTCTACTGCCCACAACATCAATGTCACGACTGTAGTGCCAAAACCGGCGACGCCGGCGGACTCATCTACGCCTGTCGCTGGTGCGAGAATGGCTTCTGCGAGGACTGTCTAGATTGGTCCAGCACGAAATTGCTTGGGGATAGATTGCCGGAATACGATATACTCGGATTTCAGTATAACGGCAACGCGCACTACGTCGAATGTTCTCACTGTGTTGAAAATTGGGCCAGGGATCCCCAGGCTCGACAATTCGTTGATGAGGAGCGGAGCCGCGTTCAGACCGAATACGACTTTGTCCATGATCATCTCGCCGTTGAGGCGGAGCAAGCGATCAAGGTTGAGCCTGGCGATAGTGAACTCACGCCCATCACAATTTCGGAGGTTACCACACCTACTGCGGATGTTGCCTTGAGTATCAAGGTCTGAGAAGTGTCGACCGCGATTTCATGACAATTCGAATTGGAAGGACTTGTTCGAACGAAGGCGTTTCCTTGTGTGTTGAAATTGCGTGGAGGATTCTGGCAGAGGAGTTCTGGGTTGGTTATGAGATGTAAATGTATGGGATTCATTCTACCGTGCTGCTGTTGTATTCCAGAATTATTCTATTGATCTGAAGAGGGTGGCTCAGGTCTCTTTACTGTACTATATATGATTCACTCTTTACCACGCTGCTATACTGGCGGAAAGGGAAAATGATTTCGTGATGTCGCATGCTCAGACCAGCACAGAATGAACTGTCGCTGTTTCAACGAGGAAATGATTTACTTTACAGTGGCATGGCTTCACAAAGGATAGTGATAACCATCGCGGAGATCAACAGGGGCAGCCGCACGAGAAAGCTGGCGGGGTCGTGTGCGTGTGTGTGCGGTGGTTGCATCAGCTCAAATCCCAATGACGATGCGGGCGGGTCCATGACCGAATTTGAGTGACGCTCGCTTGTGACGTCAGTGTTCGCGTCGCACGAGCTGTTGCAATCGAGCAGAAAAGTACAAGAACGCATTGAGAGGTCTCGTGCCTTGTCGTTCTCTTCTTCTTGCTATTGTATCATCAAATTTCAGAACTTCATCTCACTTCGAATCACTGATAAATCGAACTCCCCATTACAAAACCCTTCAATCACATCACATCAATCACAATGAGCACCTCCAACGTCGGAAACGCCCAGGTCTACGAGGCTGGTGACCAGGTTCGTGACTGTACTCTGACTTCTGAAGAAGTTCAATGATTGACGCCATGATACACAGCGCACCGTTGCCGACGCCGAGATCGAGAGGCAGAAGAAGGAGCAGCGTTTCGAGGAGGGCAAGGAGAACTCCCACAAGGCTGGTGACCCGAGTACGTCGAGTGTTATTCTTGTAGCTGCGCATAGACCGCCCGACTAACCACCGATGTTATAGAGGACGAGCGCTCCATCGCCAACCGTCTCGAGAAGGAAGCCAACAAGAAAGACGAGGACAACGACAGCAACGAGACCAAGCTCCACAAGCTCGATGCCACTGCTCCAGTAAGCCTTCTAGCCTATCTCCACGCATACATGTCCATACTGACAGTGCTCGACAGGCCCGCGCTCACGGCAACGAGCCATCAAAGGGTGCTAAGATCGACCAAGAGCTCCGTGAAGAGGAGGAGGCTATCCTGAAGAAGAAGGGTGCCTTCGGTCCCAAGGACTCATAGAGCATCATCGCTATGAGGTTTGCTCTGTGCCGGATATCGATGTATGCCCGGAGTGCGTAGGAGGAATGATTATGACATGGTTCTCCAGTGAGGACTTTATGTAGAGAAGATCCCCAAAAAACGAAAAGAAATTTATTCACCACATCTACACCAATGTACTGAAACAGTAGATGAAGAAGGTAGAAGGCAGCATTATGTCTTGGTTGTTCATCAAATGACGAAAGTGTACCTCAGGTTGAGCGGACGGCAAGCGACAGGCACGAGCATGTGGCTGAGTCATGTGGCGCACCTCCGGCGCAACCCTAAACTTCAACATCACCTGGGCACCCGAACGAGGCGGCATTTTGTGGTGATCTTGAGATCCATTAAGCGATAGGATCAACCCAAATTCGGAACATGTACGCGGTCGACATCGGTGTTTTCTTGGTAACTGGAGCAGACGAATCTTGGAACGATTCATAGGCGATTCCGCTGTCGTGTCGACGGAAATCACTTCAAGTTTGGCACAGCCGGTCCGACATTTGCGACTCGAGCCTTTAACGCCACAAAACATGCGCAGCTGCAGCTATGGGACAAGGATATTCGTCCGTCGCGCTTCCCAGTGGTCTTCAGCCGGCTGAAAATTCAGAGATCGCGGATCTGGTTGTGGAGAAGCAATTGGGAGGTGCACGATTCCTCAGGACCGCTCGAGCAAGGCACCAATCCGGGATTGTCGTCGTCAAAATATGCAACAAGGCCAACCAAACAGTCTCTTTCAAAGAGTACGCCAGGAAGCTTCGCGAACAGCGCCAGGCTCTGAGAGGTATCCCGAATGTACTTACCTACCAGCGTATTCGGGAGAGCAACACGATTGGTGTTCTAGTCCGACAATTCATCCACAATTCGTTATATGATCGCATCAGCATCCGACCGTTCTTGGAGGGTATCGAGAAGAAATGGATTGCATTCCAATTGCTCTGTGCGGTACGCGACTGTCACAGTCGCGGCGTCTTTCACGGGGATATTAAATCGGAGAATGTCCTCATCACGTCCTGGGGTTGGGTATACTTGACGGATTTTGCATCCGCATACAAGCCAGCCTACCTCCCAGAAGATAACCCGGCCGATTTTTCCTTCTATTACGACACGTCTGCCCGTCGTACTTGTTACTTGGCTCCCGAAAGGTTCACCACTCCTGGCGAGCAACCTCGCGAGGGCACGGTGGTCCAGTGGAACATGGATATTTTCAGCGTGGGATGTGTACTCGCTGAATTGTTTACCGAAGTGCCCACATTCACTTTGAGTCAGCTATTCCGATATCGCAAAGGCGAATACGATCCTACTGTGCAGCTTCTGAGCAAGGTTGACGATGACAACATTCGCAGCTTGATTACGAGCATGTTGCGACTCGACCCCGGTGAGCGATGGCATGCTCAAGATTATCTCGATGAGTATAAAGGGAAGGCCTTCCCTCTGTACTTCTACAACCATCTTCATACCTTAATGGAAGAGATCACGGACCCAACATCAGGGCGAGCTATCACAACAGCTCCAGAGGCCAACAACGGTATTGCGGACGACCGGATCGACATGATTTATCACGACTATGAGAAGCTCTCTGTCTCGCTTGGATATGAAACGGCTCAACCCCAGCACAAAGCTTCAAGATTGGCCAGCCACGATTTTGGCGAGCTCTTCCCACTTCAAGTCGATTTGCCCAACAGTCGACACGCTGCGGCATCACTCAAGCCCAATAATATAGACAACGGCACGTTCATATTGCTCAATGTCGTGACCGCCTCGATGAGAAGTGCCGCAAGATCCACCTCGAAGACTCGGGGTTGTGAACTGCTCCTCGCCTTTGCAGAGATGCTGCCAGATGAGGCAAAGTTAGATCGGGTGCTGCCATACGTAATCGCTCTCCTTGAGGACGACAACGAAATGGTTTTGGTTGCCGCGCTAAGGACAATGACACAGCTGCTTGCGCTTGTGAAAGTAGTCTCGCCAGTCAACACATTGCTATTTCCACAGTACATATTTCCAAAGCTTCAGATCTTCATCAAGACTGATGGGTTTGTTCACAACCCGCTGGTCCGAGCAACGTACGCCGCATCGTTGGCGAGCTTGGCGCAAACTGCATCGCGGTTCTTGGACATCATGCAGGCACTTCGAGCCGATGGCGCTTTGCCCTCACACACGCAAGGCGCTGATGCAGATACCGATGACTACGCTGCATATCACGACGCCTACGACTCCACACGATTTGATGTTCTTGATCAATTTGAAGCGCAGACAAAAGTCTTCCTGACCGACACCAACAATTCTGTCCGACGAGCGTTCTTGACTTCAGTTCCTTCCCTTTGTGTTTTCTTCGGTGAAGTTCGAGCAAGTGACGTTCTTCTGACTCACTTGAATACCTATCTGAATGATCCAGATTGGCTGCTGAAGTGTGCAGTTTTCCGGACAATGATAGGCGTTGCTGTATATATCGGTGGCCCAAGTCTGGAAGAGTTCATCTTGCCACTAATGCTACAAGCCCTTACAGATCCGCAAGAATTTGTGGTCGAACAAGCTCTACGCTCCATGGGAACTATGGCGGAAATCGGTCTTCTGCAGCGGACGAAGATCTGGGAATTGATCGATGTGGTGGCCCGGTTTTTGGTTCATCCAAATCTTTGGATCAAGGAAGCTGCTGCGCACTTCGTCTCCGCCGCGACGACATACCTCTCCGCCGCTGATGTCAGGATTTTGACCGCCCCGCTCGTTCACCCTTATCTGAAGATGCCAATCCATTCATTAAGCGAGACCGACCTGCTGGACGCTTTGAACAAACCTGTGTCTCGTCCTGTTCTAGATATGGCGCTCCAATGGGCGGCCAAGGCTGAGAAGGGCATTTTCTGGAAACCTGCGAAAGAGTCAAGACAAATGAATCACCGCTCTGTGACCCAAATGCCTCCGCGATCCTCTGTCGCTGATCTCGGACCAAAAGCCCTCGCACGAGCGCCCAAAACCGTTGAAGATGAATCGTGGCTTGGTCTACTACGCAGCGCAGGCATGCGCCAAGAAGACGAAATGAAGATCCTAGCTTTGCGCGAACATCTCTGGCGTACTGCTCAGAGAATGAAACGTGATGAAGTAAATGACTCATTCTCTATTTACGATCAAGTTATCAGCTTGAGCAAATTGAATATTACTGCTCAGACAGTCGTCTTCGAGCAAGATTTTCGAGTGTACGAGCAACGGATGGAGGCGCAAGATCAAACGATTGCTGAAGCACTCCGAGATGCTTCTAGTCCTGTTATAACCGCCGATGTCAGAAATGAAAGCTCGGCGGCACATGCGAATGCGACCAACACGACGATCGGACCAAGGCTCGAGCTCCCAGAAGCTATTCAGGGAACCGCGCGACCTCTGGACGAATTGACCATTGCTGGTAGTCTATCGTCATCACCAAGCTCAGCAATTGGTGGCGCCAGCAAAGAGGGCAGTCGCGCACCTCGATACAAAGCGAGTGCTACTGGCCTACTTGCTGCGTCTGAGGGAGGACTCGGCAAAGCTCGGCCTGACGTGGCCACAGACGGTCAAACCGCTGTTGGGCATCTGAATCTACCGTCAAACCTTGGGACTCGAAGACCATCACCTTCACCAGCTTCCAGGACACCTTCAGACCAAGGGCAGCCTCAACAAGCTGTTCATAACTACTCCGGAAGCGATCCCACCGTTATGAAGCTTTTGGATGCGGTATACCTAGACCGGTATCCTCTAGACATTGCGGAGTTCGGACCACTTGTGCAGTACAGACCAGGCTCAATTGTAAAAAGCAATCCACAAACTCCGTCTGCGGTGTGGAGACCACTTGGCAGCGTGGTGGCTGTCCTCGGCGAACACACGGCCAAAATCACTCGGATTCTCCCAGCACCTGATCACAGCTTTTTTCTGACAGCATCTGATGATGGGTCCATCAAAGTTTGGGATGCTGCGCGACTGGAGAGAAACGTCACGCATCGCTCCCGCCAGACATATCGTCTCGCACCAGGTGTCCGAATCACCAGCCTTTGTTTCATACAGGCTACATATTCGTTTGTGTGCACAGGATCCGACGGCAGTGTTCATGCAGTCAAAGTGGACGCTTCCGAGTCAAATTCAGGCATCAAGTATGGCAAGCTTCGAGCTGTGCGTGAATGGCACATTCCATCAAGAGGCGGCGTCGTTGAATTTGCAGTATGGTCTGATCATTTCCGCGGTGAAGCCGGTAGCACGCTTGTGCTGGCAACAAATCTAGGTCGTATCCTGGTCATCGATCTGAAGTATATGTCGATCACATATGAGATGCGCGTCGCTGCCAGTCATGGAGAGCCAACCGCATTCTGCATTGGCCGTAAGCACGACTGGCTCCTCGTGGGCACCTCCCATGGTGTACTCGAGCTGTGGGACCTGCGCTTTCAGCTACTGCTCAAGTCATTAGCGTTCGCCAGCGCCGAGCCCATCACTCGACTGGAGCTGCATCCGAGCCGCAACAGCTCCCGCCGCAACAAATTCTGCGTCACAGGAGGCACCAGTCGCGGCGAAGTTTCCATCTGGGACGTGGAAAAGCTCATCTGCAACAACGTATACCGCATCGCACCCTCGGACGTGCGCGACCGCCTTCAACTCGAAGACTACGAGCTCCGCTCCATGGACGACGACAAAGACAAACCCAACAGCCTTCTAGCCCGCGTCACGTCCGCATCGGCACGAGACCACAGCCTCCACAGCCACGCCGCAATGGTCTCCTCCATCGGCATCCAACTCCCCTCCAAAGACCGCGAGCGCGACAACGCCTTCATCGTCACCGGCGGCCCCGACGGCAAAGTCCGCTTCTGGGACTGCGAGCGCGTGGAAAACTGCGGCCTCGTCAACGGCGGCGGCAGAGGAAGCCCTCCCCCCGACGAGAAAAAGCCCGTCTACACCCTCAGTCATCCCGCCCAGCGCGGCCTCGACCTCACCATTTTCACCGAGAAAGCGGCGGACGACGCGCGCACGCTGGGAGGGGCCATCGAATCCAACAGGATCGGTCCGGCGTCGCCCCCGGCGTCGAGGAGGACGCAGCAGAAGGGGGACGCTGCCGGCGCGACGGCGAATGCCCCCCCGCGGCCGGCGTCCAGGTATGAGACCATCCGGCTCTCGGCGCAGAATCTCTTGGCTGGCCACCTCGATACCATCACGGATGTGGCGGTCCTGGAGAGGCCGTTTGGGATGGTGCTCAGCGCGGATCGGTCGGGCAGGGTGTTTGTTTATCAATGAGCTGGTGTGTGTGGATTACTTGTGGTTGTTGTTTGTCTTTTGAAGGGGTTGTTTTTACTACTAGGAGAGAGAGGGAGAGAGAGAGAAAGTCAAAGTCGGCCCCCCCTTGTACATTCCTATTCCCATTCTTTTTTTGGTCTTCTCTCTAAAATCGTAATGCGAGAAAGTGCCGGAAAGAAAAACGCCAAAGGCCTCGAACTGTATTAGAAGAGGCGAGACTAAAAAGGGCATGACCAAGAGGGAGCGGTCCACTTTTCTCCCGTCGTGGACTCGTTCTCAGCTCTGCCTCCGCATGCATCCTGAAATGCAACACATGCCCAGATCCCCACATCCCTATGTTTCAAGAGAGCAACCGCAAACTCATCACCTCGCCCTGCCCGGCGTCCCCGGCCCAGAACTCTCCGCCTGCATGGCCGGATGATGGTGGTGACTGTCGTCATCGCCGTCGTGATGCAGCGTGACGCTGTTGAACTCCTCAAAGGGATCCGCGATCTCACCCCGGGGGGTCTCGAGGCCGGAGTCGAGGGGGACGCCCTTCATGTTGCTCGCGGGCACGCCCAGCCCTTTGTTGACCAGGACTTTGGCGCCGCCGCCGCCCAGGTCCATGCTCGGCTGGTCCCGGCTCTCTTTGACGTTGCGGAAGTTCACCGTGTCGATGCCCCGCCCGGCGTTCGGGATGATGGGGGGCTTCATGTGCCGGAGCAGGGCCCAGGAGGTGGGGCGGAAGAAGGGGTGGGCTTTGACGTCGCTGGCGCCGGCGCGGGAGCCTAGACGGCGGAGTTCGTCTTTGATGAGGAGCTTTCGGATGAGAGATTTGCAGAGGCTGTCGCGAGGAGATATGGTCAGTAAAAGAGAGGGGGGGGGGGGGGGGGGGGGGGGGGGCAGATTGGCCATAAAGGGGCAATGGGCTGGGAAGCAGGACGTACTTGGAGATGTTCGGGCTCCCGGATCCTTCGGGGAACGGGACCTCGTCGCGTAGAATGTTCGCAAACGTCGCGTTGCGGTTCTTGCCCTTGAAAGGCGTGGTGCCGAATAGCATCTCGTAGATCAGGATGCCCAAGGTCCACCAGTCAACGGCACTGGTGTGGCCGTTCCCGCGGATGACCTCGGGTGCGATGTACTCCTCTGTACCGACAAACGAGTTGGTGCGGAAGTCGGCGATGCAGCTCTTAGTGTCGATGGTGGGAAGGTTGTTCGGGGCAGGGTTGCTGGAAATGCCGCCGCTGGCATTGCGGCCACCTGCGAGGATCATGCCAGGAACACCAGCGGCGTCGGATTGTTTCGAAAGATCAAAATCTGAAAGCATGATGTGGCCGGACTGGTGAAGAAGGATGTCTGCGTGCGGAGAGTCAGTGATTTGCCACCATGAAAGGGAGACGGTCTCCGAGAGTCAGGACGATAGAGCGTACTTTCGGGTTTGAGGTCTCGGTAGATGAATCCCATGAGATGAAGGTATTCCAAAGCCGCGGTGACTTCGGCAGCATAGAAGCGAGCGGCATCTTCGTCGACGCACTTATTGGGTCGAGTTTGCAGAGCGCGGAAGAACTCTCCTCCGCTGCAGTATTCCATGCATAGATAGAGATGGTCTTCTGACTGGAACGAGTGATATAGTGTGACAATGAATGGGTGGTTGCTGGTCGCCAGGATTTCCTGTTCCGCCAGAGCGCGCTTGATCTTGTTTCGCTTGATCATTTCCTTCTTCGACAAGACTGTTCATACTCGGGTCAGCTTGAATCTCCTTGGTTGACTCCTCGGAGGTAGGTATCATCATCCGTCTCTCACCTTTCATAGCATACAATCGGGAGCTCTTCTTCTCCCGAACCAAATAAACCTTTCCCACGTCTCCTTTCCCGATGAGTTTGATCTTATCAAAGCTACTCGGCCCGACCTCGACGTTGCGGACCTTGATGCTGTTGCTGCTGTACGTCCGCCGGAAAGCAATGTTATTGCGAATCTTGCCCGGCGACATATCGCCAGGAAGGTCTGGCACGGTCAATGAATTGTCGTCGATCAACGCCGACCCTCCCAAACTCATCGCGCTGGCATTGCTGTGTGCTCCCATGCCGTTAGGCTTGGGCGGTGCCAATGCATCCTCGTCTGCCGTCGTCGGTCGGCTGTCGCCGTTGTTCTTCTTGCCTTTGCTAAATAACCCTTGTGCATTGGGTGCACTGGCGACACGTCGTAGTTTCCGCGCGAGCTCTTCCTTTCCTGATGCCGACAAGGTCTCTTTCCCTTCGCCCTGAGGCGCAATCTTTTTCGATCCTCTGGGAGTGTCCGGTGGTGAGGGTGGGATGCTACCGGCATCGTGATGCCGCAACGCAGGTGGGCCCTGATGTTGGAAGTATGGGTTGGCAGTGGCCGTCGGACTCAATGCGTCGTCGAGCGGGTGTCCCTCTGATGCTACGGTGTTCGTTCTACTCCGACCGAGATGAGGGATGAACCGACTGCTCCTCGCGCTGGCTTTTGCGCTTTGTGTTGAGGAGGTCTTGTAGTTGATGTCCGGCTGGGTATCACTGTGGAAGGAGCCCTTTTCTGATGTGTTGGCCGAGGTGGCCTCATTCTTGCCGTTGATGCGAAAGAAGTTTTTGATCTTTTGCCCAGCGGAGTTGCTGACTTTGGCATTGGGGTTGAGATTAGCTCCAGTGAAGGTCCGTTTTGCCGGTTCGATGGGTGTGGAAGGCATGCTGGAGGTGTGGGATTTGGACGCCGTCAAGGCGGGCATGGCCTCTAGGAAACACCGATGATGAGAGTCTGTCGCAAATGATGGTACGAAGCGAAGATGAAGGTCCAGTCAAGATGTGAGGAAATGGCGAGCCGTGATACGAAGTCAAGATGAGTGTCACTGTGGGCCCGTATGGAATGGGAGGTTTTCGACGAGGAGTTGGCTGGAGAGACAGCAGGCCGGAAAGTGAGAGACAGCCCTGAAGTGCAGATGATGTGAGGCAGGATTATTGGTAAGCGGCGCGGAACCGGTCGTGCAGGAACGGCGAGATCAGCAGCAGCAGCAACAGGAAGATAGGGCCGGGAGGATGATCTTCCACGGTCGATCGGAAGGTGAAACAACAGGCGACGTATAGGCTGGAATGCGACAGCAATGTGTGGATATGTGTGTAGTATATTGAATGGAGAGTAGCAGCAGCAGTAGCAGCAGCAGGTGGAGGAGTTATTATGATGTTATCGGTCGTGGATGTAATGCATGTGGTATGGTATGCAGCAGGTTCGATGGAGAGACAGACAGGCATAGCACACAGATAGACAGACATTAAACACGAGCTGTCCAGTTTACGTATGTCACCCTGCAGCTGGAGCGGAACACGGGGGTGTGGTGTGTGCCAGCAGGGTGTATATAAATCTAGCCGGAGGGGAGGGCGATGGAAATCCTCTATGGCGTACGTGTATGGTGTATGGGTACACGGACGCTCACGATGAATGAAATAGCAGAGGAAGGGCGCCCGCCGCCGCCGCCTGTCCTCGAGAAGGGCAATGACCGCCAGGGCGAATATACTGAAGTAGAGAGACCATTGGAACTCTTCGCTTCTCGGGGAGTACATTGTTTCTTTGGGCCAAAAGTCCTTATCACACGTTCCGGTTGGTAATAAGTACGTATGTCGTTAGCAATATAACATCCGTAGAGTGAGCCTGCGGGTAGCTTCAAACTCCCGCGGAGAGAGCGTAATACCGGGAATGTTGGGGAGATCGCTACACGTCCGTAGAGCTGGCACAATCGACAGCGACTGCCGACAAGATAGATCTCATTCTCTTATTAGAGAAGAGGTCTTGGGTGACGATGGGATATCGCCCAGAGAAGCATCGTGGACCACGTGATGTGGCGGAACGACAAAGTTGAAAGTCGAAACCAACAGGGCGGGCAGAACAGTAGGCCTCATATGTAATAATACTGCACATACCTAGGTACTGTAATAATAATAAGCACTGGAGAAGCTGGGCGCAGGGATGATGGAACATTCTGAAGCGCGCGCGCGGGCTCGGAGAAAATGACGACGCTGGTGCAGCTTTTGGCGGCGGCGGCGGCGGACATGTGGATGGACTTCTCCTCCTTTTGGACCCCCTCCGGCTTTATTGATCACACTGTTCCTCTTGGATACCCTTGTTCACCAAGGCAAGCATGGATGAATTCACACTCCCACATGAAATCCAAACATGTTTCTCGAATTTCGAAAAATCACCATGATCATGAAATGCATCCTCCCATCCGAAGATTCGGCTACTCTCCTCTATCGATATGAAAGAGAAAGAGAGAGAGAGAGAGAAAGAGAGAGAAAACAAACCAAAGCCAGGCCAAACCCAGGGTCCGTTCCACCACAGTCCACCACAGCACAACAGAACAAATGAATCGTGCAGGAGAGTCGTGCAGGTGTGCGGAGCAATAGCTCCTACTGTCCCATCGTCCCGCTTTTTCCCCAATCAATAAATCAGCCACGATCGAAAAGGAAAGAAAAACCCCAAGTCCAGAACAAATTAGCGAGTGATCGATCGGCTCTGTTGAGGAAATACCATGCGCAAGATTTAGTAACTCTCTCCTCAGCGGGCAGCGCAGCCGGCCATTGTGCAGAAGTTCAGACCACTTCATTTGAGGTCGTTGAATGGTTGACAATAATGACATCGAGGATATACGTCTCCTTTCCGCACATTACATGGTCCCCTCGTTAAATGCCTCAAATCAAAGGATCGAATCATTATCAATATATCATCGTCTTCATAAAAGACAATTGCCACAAGATTTTGCGGACTTGTCTTTCTGTAGCCAGGAAGCCAATGGAAGGCTTTGACGACTTCATAACCCTAAGCCTGTTTGTCGCTCGCAGCTTCTCCTCTCCGAGCGCCACAGGCTCAGAAACATCCCTGGGTGTGATAACAATTGGAAAAAACGTCAGTCGATTTGTCATGATTCGATTTGGTTTCACGTCAATCGGTTTCTCCTATATCGCCCTCGAAATGGGGCTCCGAAGAGAGATCTTCCAATACCTCAATAATGTCATCAATGCCTCTTGCTCCCCCGTCTCCGGCACGTCATCGTTCCTCGACGCACTCTCGCTCTGTCATGGAGTACGCAAACTCCGCCTGTATTGACTGACTATGCTAGCCATGCCACGGGATATCCAAATTGCTGTTCCCGACTGAAAGCTTTGTGCAAACACGAGGCACGCCTTGTCTCGTGCTCATTGTGAGGAAGCGATCGTGCTCGAGGAAGTTCGTGTCCAGCACGTTCCTGCGTCTGTTGAGAGATGATGCACTCTGCCGCTCCGGCTCCCGTGAATCATGATTGCGTGTGGATCATGCATGTCTTCGTCAAGTTCGTCGTCGCCATTGATGAAGGATGCCGTGCATGTGCTGATATGCTTGCACAGCGTGGGCGCGAGCAAACGGGCGGCAGCAAAAGTAATTTTGCTTCGCTGCATCTTTGTTGAGAACATGTGGTCATCCGTCGTTGGTAGTCTGTAAATCTCTTGAAGAGTTGCGATCGTGGACGTCGAGTTCAGTCTCCTCGACTATCTTCTCCCGCATGTGCCGATGGGTGTCCAGATCGTGGGTTGGTCCGCCGGGATAGCCTCTTTGATGGCTGCCGCTTGGTCCCGGAGATCTTGAGAGACTGCACTGTGTATTGCGCAATCGCGGCTGCCCTGACTGAGCATGTTTCTCCCGTCGAGCTATGCCAGATTAGAGCCTGCTGCTGGCTATGCTGTGGCCCTGACATTGCTTTGAATCACAGGCATAAGTTGTTTGTGTTCCAAAATAATTCCCCAAACTGAAACATTTCCATTCCCGAATGTTCCAATCTCTCATTCGATGAGCAGTTTTCTCTGGCCACCGACGACGGCCACACCCAGGGCTCGTAATCCAGCAGGGTCGTTCGCCTTGATGATAGATGCAGCAGGCAACATTGGGTTGTCGGGATTGGTCCGGCGGTCCTTGGCAGCGATCTCGATGCCTTCCATTTCTTCCTTGCAACTAGCATGGTCGAATGGACATACGACAATCGGTTGCCGCAGAACGATGTCTCGTGCGGATTTGAGGTTCGCCTGTCGGGAAATAATTGTCAGCTTCAGGTACAAGAACGATTGGCGATCAGCAGGATGTGAAGATCTTACCCGAACGGTGAGGAAGTACTCAATTTTGTACAACGTGCACGTCGTCGTGAAGCTGCTGATGCGGTACATAGGAAAGCCGTTCCGGCTGCGTGGAAGGATACCCTCGCTGTCACGAAGCTCGCGCGCCGGGAAGACCAGTCCGAGATTCGTCATGTATCCCGCCTCTGGCATACGAACGTTCACAGTCTGTGTTTGCTTGGCGAGTGTTTTGGTCTTCCGTTGTGGTTCGTCACCTTCATGATTGTAAACAATCTCTTCCTCAATGGCCACTGTGATAGAGTTGATCGTCACTCGGCGTGCCCTGCTCAGCCAGTCGTTGTTCGGTGAAATCTTAATGTATACCGAGACGGGATCCAGAGGTCCATAGCTCCACCGCGGCAGGCTGATGCCCAGAGTGACGATGTTGTCCGTCGTGCACTCTGCGCTCTCGGGACGATTGTACATGCCGAAAGTCGAAAGCATGTCATATCGCGTGATCGGAATGGGGAATGTGTGTTTCCTCTGATCCTGGTGCCCTTGTTGTACAGTGACCACAATCTCGTAGTAGGTCTCGGCCGTTCGCTTCTCCAGCTGTAGTGATGCTGGCGGTACCCTCCGCGCGATCTCCTCACCTCCGCGACCATATGGAATGAATATGACAAATGGTAGATCCATGCACAGTACTGATTCCGCCTCTTTTCCAGGTGGACATCGGAACAATAGCATCTCTTTTCCCACGGTATCTGTGATTTCCTGCCGGACTGCCGACGGCCGGACCCTCAACATGCTATCTGCAGCGGGGTGTATTGATTCGCGCCGTTGTAGGAGGACTGTGACAAGTGATATATTGACTGGCGCGGTGACACCGACTCCAGGTCGGATCTCAACTCGACCTTCCACACGAGGCTGGGATATGAGTTAGCGACGGCGATAAGGAGGCCGCCCATATCGAGGCCACCGTATAATACACAGTATGTCCCACGAGAAACTTACGAAAGTCGCTGCAATCCCTGGATAGCCCACCAAGAAATGGCCGTTTGGCGGGCCCGAGACCCTCACATTTGCAGCCATATCTCATGCTGGCTATTCGAAGGTGAAGCGTGCCCTCGAGGGCTTCGGAAAGTGCGCGCGCACTTCGAGTCAAGTGGGTGAAGCAATGGTCGTAGCGGCTCCGAAGTGTGTAGGCGACTAAGCCGGGAATGATGCGATTGCGTAGCTCGATACAAGTAAATCTCTCGGGTGCGGTGACACTATCCTCGTGCGCGGGCGCGAATAGTGAATGTATCGCTGAAAGAATGCGAGCGCGATAGCCAAGTCGAGGCAATTTGCGAGAGTCGGAATCGGTTGGCGTAGGAATGTTTGGTCGACGGTGTTGAAGAGTATGCGAGGCGGGTTGATGTGCGGGACGCAAGTGATGAGAGTGGTAGTGTGCTTTGCTGGTGAGACGATAAACTGCCCACCACCACTAGGTAGTTAATTAACTTACTTTACCTCTGTCATCACACACGTTCGCCTTACAACAGTCAGTCCCTAGGGTTGGTGAGCGGACGCGGGCCCGACCGAATCTGACGCGATCACTTTGTGATGAGGAGGGGAGACGACCTGACAGACACTGTATGTAATAGAAATCAGACCAGTTGCCTGCGCGACGCTGAACGTGTAGCCCTGGAGATCTTCAGAGGGTTAATGACATCGCTGGCTGGCACAATGTCCAATTCACGGCGCAGCCTTCTGAGACCACCATTGCTACAGTGATGATTTTGATGACGGGCGAGGAAAGGAGAACCCTGTAGCATACAGACATCATTTCACACCGGGACAGTCGCCGGGATGCCTGGAATCCTTCCACCTCCATCATCATCAACTTCAGCCCAGGGCTTCATCAGCGAGCAATTGGGGGCCGAGGAGATGGCGGCTCTCTCCCGCCAGATTGACTCGGAAGAAGCCACGTGCTGGTCCTCCGTAGCTACTGTATACTGTACATAGGGCTCTCATCCAGGGCAACGCCGATCCTTCACCATCTCATCGTGCATGTTCGTTTATGAGGACATGAAATAATTCCTTACCTAATTAACAACTTCTCGATGGGTTGAAAGCATTGATCATCAATTCATCGTCTATCAATACATGAGGCTCATCAGTTACCAGTGATACCGAATCGAAATCATCGAAAAGCCCTTGCCTTACGATTACCATGGCCGTCACCCTGCACACGACACACGGTGATCTCAAAATTGAATTGTTCTGTCAAGCATGTCCCAAGACGACATACAACTTTCTGGCCTTGTGTGCGAGTGGAGCATACGACAAATCTCCATTTCACCGCAGCATTCCGAACTTCATGATTCAAGGAGGATCGCCGGCATCGGGAACCACCAAGGAGAGCAGTTCCGTGTATGGTGGTATGTTCGAGGATGAGATCAAGGCTTCGTTGAAGCATCATGCGCGTGGAATCGTCAGCATGGCGAACAAAGGACCTGCGACCAACGGCAGCCAATTCTTCCTCACATTCGCCGCAGCTCCCCATCTTGATGGTAAAAACACCGTCTTCGGGCGTTTGCTCGAAGGTTGGGATGTTCTTGACAAACTCGAAGCGATCCCGGTCGACAAGAAGAACCGCCCGCAAGAATCTATCAAGATTGAAAATGTTCAAACTCACGCCAATCCATTGGCCGACGAGCGGTGAATTCAAGGAACGTGAATAGTGACCGCTCCCTCGGGTCCGTTCGGTACCGTCACATGCCAACACGCGACACTCGGAACACTTGTGAGTATCATTGGCTACAAATTGTTTTCGACAATCGCTCCGATCCCCTTGCTGTGTTGAAGCACTTGTGCAACACTTGCAAACCGCCAATCCACAGTGGAAGCGGTCAGGTGGGCTTTCTTCACTAGTGGGTACGCAAGTACCCTGACAAGAGATCCTTACCACTCACCTTTGGGACCTTGCAAGCATTCCAAAGCTCACTCATCAATCTGTCCAAGCTCGGATCTTGCGACACACCCTTTTGTCTGTCCAGCTCTGGGCGCGACCGGCCTCACGTCGCACCACGCACCGCGCCCGCCTCCCCCTACCGCCCTACACGCCGGGTTTTGTGACCATAATTACCAACTTGGTGCACCCAACGATCCTTTACCTTCCTGTTTCAACCACAATTCCCTTTCTCACAGGATTCAGCTTTGTCTACTGTTGCGCAATAGGCACCACGGCGACAATCTACGACAACCAACGGAGCCATGTCGGACATGTGCTACAATTGTGGTGATTACCACCTTGGCTGCACACCAACGCCATGCAAGGAGATGCTCAAATTCTGTCCGATCTGCACCAGCTATGGGCATAACATAGTTTTCTGTCCACGCGGAATCAGTACATGGGATCCAAGCTACAAGGTAGACCATCTGTGACAAACATTGACCGCGCGATTCTGACATGTACTCGCGATCTAGTTCCGCGCGCGATGTCAGAATTGTGACCAATGGCACCTACCACAACCTTGTCAAGAAGAACTGCGTCGTTGTGTCCGTTGTGGTCACCTTGGCCACAAACAGCCTCACTGCCCTTTGAATCCGCCTCCACGTCCGCACGTTCATGGAGCCTTCAATGGCATGCAAGGCATGAGGAACACAAAGCGACATCGTTCTGAAGTCGATATTGGTGAACGGCAAGATGCCATTGAGCCATTAGCTGCGGACACCATGGCTGTTCGCCCTGATCAGATTTCGCCGAGTAGGTGTCATTTCATACACGAAAACTGTAGCATCTGCTGACGAGATCAAGCTCTCATGAAAAAATTGTGTAAGCAAATGGCCGGGTTCACTATGTACTTGATCGATCAGGGCTGCGACAGAGCGACAATCCTCAACGGTCAGATACCCAACGACTTATCCCAACTGCGCATGATTCTGGAGTCGTCGCTGCCGCTGAGTCGAGATCCATCGGCTTCTATGTCAGTTCCATTCATGCTCGCGCAGAACCAACCTTTGTCCGTCCAGTCTGGACCATCAAACCTCCTTGCCACAAACGTGGTTATTCCAGATATTCCGATCGAGCAGGCAATGCGTACTAGCAATTCCCTGTCCACGATCGGCCCATGCCCAGATTTCGCCCTGACAACGGGTTCGTTCATGCCACTAACAGACAACGAGAATCCTTTCAATGACGCGTCGTTGTTGCAACCAAGTGTTTCATTCTCTGCAGCGCAACCTCTCCAGGCTCAGCTCCTCACCACTTTCGATGACCTCGACATGACTGGTCCTTGGGATGGAAACATTTATGCTCCTGAGTCCACGAGGCGTGACCCGGGTTTTATGGACACCACGTCCCTCTCGACAGGACAACCACAGCCGAGTCAGATCACTGATTGGAAGACTAGTGACCCGTTCGAGGGCTTAGACGAGACCTACTTCTCTGGGGGATCTTTCTCATCTTCAGGAAGCTTTGGAAACCACTCGTACAACGCTGAAGACCAAGATTTCTCTCAAAACGCCGAGTTTGTTCAACCGCAACCTCAGCGTATGGAAAGCGTCTCCAAGATCACGGAGATTGTGTCTCCTGGGGGGGATGAGCCGGCTGCCGACATGGAAGTCTCTCCAAAGGCCATCCCACGAACGCGAAAAGCTGGCGACAGTGAATCCCTGATCGAGCATGACTCGATACGCAAAATCAAGTCGCACAACGCACCACGCGGCCGCGCAGCCGTCAACGGAACAAACGACATGAGATTGGCGAACCGCAAACTTGCTTCCAACGACGAAGGCGCCGACGAAGAATCTACTGTCGTCGTGAAGACAGTAAAAGGAGTCAACTACATCATTACGGGCAGAAAGATCACAGCGAAAGCTCCTACCGCCAGCCTAAAGACCACCACCGCGTCCGTCACCAACGCAGCTGCCCACAAGACCATGAAAGGACGCTCTCCACAACTTCCAGCAGAACGCTTCAAGCCGACGCCGCGACGACAAGGCAAAGAGCCAAAGCCAAGCAAGCAGGCTGAAGCTTTCAAAAAGGCCAAACGTCGCGAGCCGGTCAGCAAGGGTGACATCGAGGAAGAAGAGGATGACGGTGACGACACCGGAACTTATGTCGAGAGTCCGAAGCGTGCTGCTCCTGTAAAGAAGCGCCGCGTGCAGCAGGGCGGACGTGCGAAACCCATTGAGCTTGATTGAAGGAACCTAGAATGCAATGGATGACAGCAGCAAGTTGTTTCTTTTCCTCTCAGGATGATCAGAGAGGCATCCTGTGGACAATCGTTTCGTGGCGAGTTGTCAGCGGGATGACGGAACCGCCCAGTATGGCCCATCATTGCCTCATCATCCGACAGGTGCACAAGCAGGAGGAAGGGCTTAGGGTTTCTTTTCTTTCCCTTTAACACGGTTTGGTCATGGATGGCATCAACTTGAGAAGAGACCGGCCAGAATGAGTGAGCATCGACGTCCTGGATGGAAGGGGAAAGGAAAAGCATTTGCTATTATTTATCAAAATGAGGACTCTTTGAAAACCACCTATCTGACCGTACCTGCAGGCGTGAAGGTGACGTTTTGTTGAAGAATGCAAAAAGGCGTGAGACGCATGATCTAATAGGATTTACATAGTGAGCTGCGAAGACGACGGAACAAGAAAAATGTAGAAACAACGAAGACGTAGGGTGAAAGTATTATTCATTCGAATGTTTTGCCGAAGCTATTTTCTTGCTTCCAAAAAAAACATCGCTCAATTCGTTAATGCATCATAACGCTCGTAGTCCTCATCATGGTATCTGTCTGTCCCAAAACTACTGATACAAAGCCTCGAAACCCTTGCCCGGGAGCAATTTACAAGGGCTGTTGGCCGGCCTTCTCGCCGCCGAAGATGTGTCCTTCGGTGCGAGGCTCGCCCTTGAATCCGTCGGTACGCTCTTCGCGGCCGGTGAGACTACCACCTTGGCGCTTGAACTCGTCCATGCTGACGGCGGGCAGGGCGGTGGCGCTGTGGTGCTGGGCAGCGTTGTGATGGACTTCGTGGATGGGGACGGTGGTGTGGACGACCTGATGGGGACATGAATGTTAGTTGTGGAGATCTCGAAGTCAAGTGTAAAAAACGAAGGAGGTAGGAGACGTACGTGAGGCTCAATGGTCTGCTTCTGCACGACGGGCTGGATCGTCTCGTGGACGTGGTGGTGCACGTGCTCGCCTGCAACGATGGGCTTCACGCTCGCCGTGTGCTGACCCTCAACGCGGACTGACTCGTTCTTGAACTGGGCAGCCTGGGTCGCGAGGTGGTGCTTGTTCTTCTCGTGGTCGTCGTGCTCGATCTTGCGGTGCTCGACGGGGATGACCTTGTGGTGGTGGGTCTCGGGGAGGACCTCGGTGTCCTTGACGGGCTGGATTGAGGTGTGGTAGTGGTCTTGGTGAACTTCCTTGTCGACGGCGGTTGTCACGTTCTGGTGCTCGGTCTTGTTGACGGTCTCTTGGGTGACGGCGGGTGCGACGGTCTCGTGGACGGAGGTGTCGTGGTGTCCGGACTTGTTCCTAACGGGGTGGGCCATGATGTTAATAGGGATGATAACGATGGTGGATTGGTTTGGTGATGACAAGACAACAGGAATGGGATGGAGAGGATAAAGGGATTGAAGGTGATACGTACAAGAAGGACTTGACCTTTTCCTTGGCGGCGTCCATTGTGAGGATGAGATGACGATGTGTTGGAGTTGTGTGTATGTGGGTTATGAAGTTGTTGTAGATCTGTTAGATGGTTGCACTGCAAGGATGTGAAGAGGATTGTGGATGTTGTGTCCGGATAGCTATGGAAGACATCGCAGGTGTTATTATATACATGCGAGAGGGGAAAGATGCATCGCTCGTCACTGCTATGACGACTTGCTATGTCAATGCCTCCCCTGCTACATCCGCCCAACAATCGGGTTGATCGCGACCGGCGATGGTGTCAGTATGGAGTGGCACGTATGTCAGAGGCGTAGATGTGAACCATTCGGTGCATGACTTTGCTGTGCAACGATGATGCTACCACGCGCCTTTCTACACCTGCAGTACCAAAATCGGCAGTGACCGAATCGAGGAAAGTCTGGGTGCGCTTGGGCTTCATCGACTTGATTCCTTCCCGAACCAAACAGTGACGACAAGTGTTGTATGGCATGTGTGTTGTTCGTCAAGCCACGCAGGGATGCTGATCACATTGCGTCTAGCAAGCAGAGTGATCCAACAGCCTTGCGGCAGGTTTGTTGGTCAAATTGATGTCATATCGTGCTGTTGATTCATTTTGAGCTGTCCCGCTTTGAAAAGAAGGGACCCTTCCACGGAACGCATGCCTTACAAATGATTCGATGATCGTCGGAGCCCGTACCGTGGCCGAGACGACCGATTGTAAGCCAGAAAGTCTTGTTCATCTCGTCACCATCACCAGTGGAGCATACGTTGTTTGTGGCGGCATTGGAAATCAAGGCAGACGTGGCAGACATCGGTATGATGATGCTAAGCCCGATTGCTAAAGCCCCGCGGCGGACTCTAGAGCGGGATGTTTCCAAGGCCGCTGCAGCGCTTAATGCATCAAAATTTCGAGCCATCACGCAGCGTCATGGCAAAACGGCATCAGATAGACAGGTCACCTTGCGCGACAGGCCCGGCAGTCCGGGAGAGGCGCGTACCGAATCTACCGATCCTGGTACTCCCATGTTGTCATTGCCATCATCTCAAGATCCGCTCTGAAGGATCGTAAGCCCGCGAGGGTGGCTTTACTCTGCCAAGCGTTCTAGATACGGACGCTAAAGTCCCCTCACCCTCAATTGCGCCGAACAGCCTGTTTGCAAAGCGACACCAAACTCTGTAGTGCTGTACATATTTGATACTCCAGCATGGCGAATATCCACGCGCGATACATCATCGGGGCCCACTACCGACTTTCTCAAGCTCGGACATCACGTCGCGAGGGAGCAACTCGCTGGTATTTGTCACGCCTGACACGAGCGGTCGAACGTGTTCGCAGGGTTACACTCGCAGCCGTTTATTATATGCGGGTCTGCGACATCATCGTCATCCTCGACTTATGTCATTGCTGAGGCGCAGTCGTGGGTGGCTGAACCCCTACCATCATGTCCCACAGAGGATTTCAGACACTCTCCCGCGGCTTGCTGGCAATAAGCGAGGCAATCGATCAACATACGATGATGAGCGCTATCAGATCAGGTTCAAAATCGATCCTACTGTACGATCGATTGCGATACGACAAGGATTGCATTGCCTTCCCACGATCTATCGCAGACATCATGCAGTGAGGCATCCCACGTCACGTACATCATTTAAATGATTTCTCGTGATGATTTAAATAGTCCCCTACCGTCGCTCCCATTCACCGTCCCACCTTGTAGATGTGATACTTCCTGTGTAATCATAAGCTGACAGCATAACAAGAAATTCCAGGTGCAGGTGTCTGCCTCAACAATCGGTCCGCGAAGATACCGCAGGGCAAAACGATGGCATTGTGATGGACAGCTGACAACGTCGAACCGTGGATCTGCGTTGCGCTTCCGGTGAGGACGGACAACGCCCACGTCCGCTTGAGACAGCGCCTGCATATTTTCATTAAGCCCGCGAGGCTGTGATTATCAAATAAACACATAGGGTCTCTCATGACGTGTCGCAATGTGTGAGGATTGAGATGATGACCTCAATTTTGGTGCCTGAGGACGAGATCCTAACGACTCACATCTTTCCCACCTGCACATTCCACTCGTTTTTAAACACGTGACCCATTGGCAGAGCGCTGGCATATTGACACATCATCCGTCCGTGGAAAAGTCCCTTCCAATCATTCGAGGTTCACTATCGATGGTACGTTCTAAAATATCTGGGAAGTCTATGATGGAAAGGCTACCCAACTTGTAGTAGAAACAGGCGGATAGAAACCTTTCCATAACGCCTCGATTACTATTCGATCGACTCCACGATTTCATGGCTTGGGAGGGATGAGACATTTCACAACTACTGATATCAATGACGACATGTGGTTGTTTGTCGTCCTGTAATTTGATTTATTGATACATGTCTCGCGGAACCTTGCTTGCTTGCGAGACGTTGTAGATTGGGTTGAGATCTCAGGGTTTCAACCACGGAGAGCTGTGAGATGAAATGGTTGGCATTTCAAATACACACGACAGTAGCATTTGAAGACATGGCAAGATTGTGTCATCACTCAAGCTGGGCTACTATACCATGGCAGACCAACACTCGATATATTCGGTGTTGACCTAGATCACCACGGTACCAGAATCGACACATACCATGGGGATTGTTCCAAATCATCCTGTGCTGGTGGTGTATGAGTGTTCGAACGTGGTGAGGATCGTGTTGATGGAAGTGTAGCACATATCACGGCTTTGGTAACGAACTCGAGAGTGAAAAAAGGAAGGTAGTATGGGGTTAGTTGTGCGTGTTCCAGGGAGATGGCGTGTGTTTCGATGATATACAAGACATGCGCTAGCGGAGGGAAGCAATCATTTATCAGAAACGAGGAATGAATAGACTGTCGCGAAAGCCTGTCGTTTTCGTGACTAGCCTCTGATTTATTGATGGATACCCAACTAGTAAGATCAACTCACGTGATATGCATAACCGACCTTGAACACGACCGGGGCACGTCTAGATGGCGTAGAACGTGAGCGCAACATTCAGATTCTCATTCTTGCAAGCCATTTCATCACCATCTGCACGGCTGAGAACTTCTGTTGCGGAGTGCTCACGTTGATGGTGGTCTTGGGTGAGGTACCTTCATGATAGTGAATCGGCTTCCTCCCCGCGACTTGTACTAAATTCTGCACGCATCCAGATTCGATCACAACTTCCGCATTGGGCGAATGCTTTTTTATCTCGATAGTATTCAACCGCCATCAAAGGTCGTGACTCGTCGGGGAGATGGGTGCCTCCTCTGCCGTAAATCCAGGCAAGACTCGGGTGTTTTCCTGGTTCTTCATCTGATCTTGAAGTCTCCCTATCGGCGGTGCTGAGCCGAAACAAGCGTGCTCTTCCCAACAACATGTCTCTTCCCGGCGCAAGCTCCTGCCGGAGAATGTTTGGGACACTCAATCTCGCGGAGGAGTGCCACTGCACCCTTCGTGTGTCGCCGTGCATATGTTGCGTCCAGCGTGTAGGCATTTGTGTGCGAACAAGGACGCTCGTGCAGAATCGCACTTCGGAGCGCGGCGGCTCTGCTACCGAAACAGTCGCGACTCTCACGCGTGCGGTTGGCGAAGACCTCTGATAGATTAAGAGGTCGCAATGCCTATTATGAGATGAGTTTTGGTCTGTCGCATCTTGTATTCTTCCCTCAAGTTCGTTGCCAACTGCTATCGATCATCGCTGGCCTCACGCGCACGAAAATCGCGACTGATCACTTCGGACATCGCAGCCACCCACTACCTACAACACCTTGAGCATTGCTCTCACACTCGTAGCCATGGCTTTCGGAGTCCAGAGATGGGGCTCCATCTTCCATTCCAAGGAGAACAACGACTCCCAGAGGCATACCAAGTGCGACTCGGGCCCGCACAATGACAGAAAGAACCCCAACACACCGAGGCGGACAGGCACCCGGCGGCTTGCAGCTGGTAAATCCCTTCGTGATCTACGAGATGCTTGGTCGCCAAAGAACAGTGAGTCTGATTATGGAATGCAATCTTTGCGTCATGCTGACAATCTCAATCAAGACCGTGAACCGTCCCATATTGTCAACGACCCCAAGTCAAACGTCGCCATTGACTTCATTCTGTCGCCTGACATTCAGCGCGCGATATCGCAAAGTCGATACCCGTCCCATGTTCTCCCGGATGTGCGTCATCACTCGGATCTATTGATGGACCTAGACTTTCTGACCCTGGACGACAACAACGATCATGCGCCTCCTCAATACTCGCCACGAGCTCATAACTCGCCTCGCTACAGTCCACCACGAGAGTTCGCCCGTTATGGAAGTCGATCCCCTTCGATCGAGACCGGTCGCGTCATGATCATTACCAGCCCGAGCAGCAGTCGCAGCAACTCATACACAAGAGCTGTTCAGGAATGGGACAAGCTACACCAACAACAGCAATATGCTGCCAGTCAGGATGAATCGATACCTGCTCCTCTTCGCGTACGGAAGAACTCTGCAGATTCTTTGAGCGACTCTGGCGTCTTTTGCTCATCGCCGGCTCATTGTACACCTCTGTATGAGCCGGATGCATTTCCGTTCCGAGACTCAATTCATGTCGGTATTGACTACACATGTCAAAGCTTGTCTTCGGGCAAGCGCCGTCCTGCACGACAAAGTCAAGGACACGAACTCAGACGAGTGAAGCGCATTCGCTTGGAGCAGCCCCTGCCGCATCTACCTAGTTTCACAACGGCGGCAACCGATGACGTCAGCTGTCGTCACAAGGCTGATTCTGGCGTGGGAAGCGACTTTGGCGCGAAAGATGATGATCTATTCCAGCGAAACATCTCCAGCTCTTCTGTGAACTCCTTTGATTACATGATGGATGTCGACCGCGCAAATTTTGCCCCGAACGCGAATACCATGTCTACGTCAAGTCCGACATATGAGACCATCGTTCGTGAGACGGTGGCTCCGGCTGCCATCCACGAGACCATCATCGAGGACACCCACGAGATCAAGCACGAGGTCAGCCTCATTCATCGTCTACGACGATCTAAGCGTGGCTGCCGCTGACTCATCACCCGTCGGCACAGGTCACCACACGTGAGATTCACAACCACCACGTCTATCATCGCGTCCTTCCGATCTTGGATATAGAAATACTTCCCGCCCGTCACTTCATTCGTGATGAAAGCGATCCCGTCATACTTCATGAGATCGCGGCTTCCGCTCTGCCTCCTGGATCTAGCGAGAAGGCCCACTTGGCCATAGCACAAGCACTCTCTCAAATACTTCCTGCTCCTCTTCCCGCCCACCAAGTCTCTCATCCTCGCCGCTTCACTGCACGCGACTTCCCAGGCACTGATGGTGACTACCGGGAATATACGACTCCAGATGGTGTCCTCCATACAGAGCGCTGGTGGGTCCACCCGCCCACACTTGATGACACCGCACAGGCGGCAGGTAAGACTCAGGCCTTTCACTTCGATGCACCAGATGGCCTGCCAGATGGTTTCCGTGAAGGCACCACCGCCCAGGATGGCGTCATCACCACTGCGCCAGCTATTCCAGAAAAGTCGCCGCGACGTTACCAGAATGGCCCGACCGCGAATATCGCAGCAGCAGCTGCCGCTGCCGCTGTACGAATCCACGCCCCAGGAAGCGAGGCTGCGGTTGCGGATTCATTGAGCTCGTCATCGAAGAGGAAGAGTCTGCCTCTAAAGATTTTGGATGAGATCACTGATCGTCTAGCGGACCTGGATAAGATCAGTCACCGTCTCGGATGATGAATGATACACGTTTGATGCTGCACGACTTTGAAGATGTGTGTTATGATTGACGAAGGAAATGATCATTGTTACCGAGTTCCTCGGATCTCATTACCGTATAGCGTTCTGCTTTGTTCTGAATCATTTTCCGAATACCAACTCATGACTATAGAAAGCAATTGTTCATCTACGCATCCCGAATGCTCTGATCGTGATATACACAGTGGCCGCCAAATGAGCTCCTATTGTGTCATCCGCATCGGGCCCTCGCATCTCATTGGACGGAGTTGCCGCGGCTCGTGATAATGTACCTCGACAAAATCGCAGCGTGAACACGTGCATGCACGAAGTCAAACATCGTGGTATCCCATAAGCCCATCACAGCTCCATGACCACAAGTCTTTTCAGCACAACATGCCTACCGATAACGTTTGGCTGACCATTGCTTGCCTCCGAAAAACCCTTCTCAAAGGCATCGGCATGGAAGTCTCATGTGCTGTTCGCGACCTTGTGGTGACGGTCGCTGTGACGCTGCGGAAGTCCTGGGCATCCATTGCAAATTCTGGGAGGGAGGGAGCAGCTCATGGAGAAACCTTGGAGATGACATGACGGTCTGCAGAGCGAGGTCATCCAACTGCGTACGCGTGACTTCGCGGATCTACTGTTGCGGGTATCGGATTTTTCGCTGGACGAGGGCGAAGAGACTGCTGTCCCGTTTGAGATGTCGAGGTAAATTTTCTCAGAGCTCCAAGGTTCGTACAGCTCTTTCTCTTAGCTTTCGTCCGATTTCTCGGGCATGTGACAGAGTCCTGAGACCTCGACAAGCCCGTCAATGTCACCCACGAGTTATTGAATCACAGTGATAGAGCTAGATGGAAACACATGGATTTGAAACATTGGATCTCATTATGGTAATTGGTGGAGCCTGCAGCTCGATTGTTGGAACGAGCTAGCATGTTTGTGATGAGCTGGTACATTTCTGCACATGGTCACATCCTTGCAGGTGCAGTTGGACGTGACTACAGGCATGATGGGACCCCACCAAATTTGGGCGCAGGCGGGCGCGGGCGGCGAGGAACCGAGAAGGATTGGCCCTAATTTGGCACGTACCGACCCCACGAAAATGCCGAAGCTCGCCCGTGCTGCAAATGTTGCAGGGACCGCGAGCTCGAGTTGAACTCGAGATGACTACCAACGGTGTAATTCCAGGAACTACCGTATTCATATCGTGGAAGATAGCAGGCCCACAATTCCGATGTGCTCTTTCCGTCCGGAGAGGGAGAAATTTTGTTGACTCGATGACCCGTGGGGATAGACTTTTCGCAAGCGAACGAGGTCAGGGTCTTGAATAACCAGCAAGGTTTTGCGTTATGCGGCATTCGTGAGTCGCCGTCGGCTTCCTTAGCATTAACATCACTAGTATAAAGTTAAATATACCGTTCATGTGCTGGCACCGTCGGCCGTGCACATCGCCCAGGACGAGGACATCGAGGACTAAGTGCTAAGATGGACGTTGGCTCGCTAGCTCGTGGGCATGCGGATCGGCATTGCCGGCCGGTGATCAATTAAATGTGTTTTGGGCTCCAGAGCGGAAACCCTCAACATCCAGCGCAGCAATTTCGCTCCTAACATTCTTCCAGTCTCAACCGCGAGAACCGCGGAACTCGCTGTCTATATTTCTCCCTTGGGGGGCGCCATGTGGCGTCCGGGGACATGCCGGTAGCTTCGACACGGCGCGCTGTTCAAAATATTGGGCGTCTCCACAGTCTCGACTTGGGAACCGTCTCTTGCTCGGGCAATTATTGGTGGAGCCGACATCCCACCCCAACGGGCGGCGGTTTAGCGATCTGCGTTGCATATTAGACTATTTTTGAGTTGTGAAAGTCTAGTCCGTAGCAAAGAATGGCGCTGGATGGTGAACCCTGCCGATAGATCGGACGACTGAGTGGTGCTTCTCATGCTTATTTCTACTAGATGGAGGTTTTCAAGTTGAATGAAGCTCTGTCGTGGGCACAGGCAGTAGTTGCTCGCGAAATGTTTCGTAAGGATTTCCTTTCTTCAGTGACGAAGATAATGGAAATATCCCGACAGGGTAGTTGAGTGTATAGCTCACTCCAAGGACCTGCGTGAGCACTGTTCACTCGCGTTCGACACAACAAAAGTCTCGTTAAGGTACAGTGTCATTGGCACATCAGCCATCAACGCCACTCGTACCAATATCAGAATGTCGGCTACTAAGTAATTTACAATGATGAGATTCGGTCCCACGCTAGTCATGGATATTAGAGGATGGCGGAGACATTTGGTTCGTTGAACACGTGCAGAAGTGCTCGTTCATTGCGGGCGGCCCGAAGTCCTATAGCCGGACCGTTTGACGATCGTGTCCAAAACGTGGTCGCTAAACGCAATGTGTCGTACACATCCTTGAGGCAATCCCATATCATGCCACTGCACGATCACTTCGGCCATTGCTGGCAGCCTACCCGAAGCTCAACGTTGTCACTCCACCCTGCAGCTTCGTTCAGGGTCCAGGCGAAGGTTACGAGGGTCAGGACCTGCGAGCCAATGGTGCCTGGTGCCTGCGGCAGAGAGAAGCAGGGTACATGTGGGTCTTCATTGGCATGTTTGTGACGAGAATCGACCTTCTCTGCAATTGCCACGGAGGATGTGATCGGGCTGGTGGATGCTCTCATCTCAGCGGACATGCAGCTACCCATGTGGAGACATGTGGAGTGCGAGATTCCTCCAATATAGTGAATAGTTTGTGATAGCTCATGTGCAATGCGTTCACTGCCAAAGTGGAATAACCCCATTAGGCTAAGCGTACCGCGCATCGGGCCTCCCCTTCTTGGTCGCTAAGATGACCCGCTGTCGACGGGAAAACATCCTCCCGAGGCGGACCCACCCGAGTTGGTTCATCTCACGAGACTGAAGCGCTTACTTGCTCATAACATAACGAACTTTTGCAAACAATGTCATGTCGTTCTACAGGTGTTGGAAATGGTCAAACTGGAACAAGTTCATCCGCCATCGCTGGGATTGCCGACGTTGACTGAGGATCCAGTTTGCCTTGGGTCTATAGCGTTGTGGCTCAAGTTGCGAACCTTGACACCTAGAAACAAGCAGCCCCACTGAATGATCACCCATTGGGCGCAAGCAGAGCCATTCGCTACACTGTACCAAATGTTCAGCCCTGATCGACGCGCTGGTTGTCGATCCTTCCTGCAACGGTCCTGAGTGGCTTAATCTTCTTGTTCACTGCACTCACATGCAGATATTGAATTGGAAAACGGATGTGGTCTGTCAAGACATTGTAATGTCTACTTGCGGCTAGCGGGTCCGAGGTGCGATTATTCAGACATGGTTCCTCGAGCGTTTTCGGAAACGCTGCAGGAACACTGTAACCAATCCCACGTCAACGATCTCGCGCTTCAACATCATTGTCATGTTGATCACTTCCACGTCACGATGTGGTCGACCTCATCGTTTGACCCACAGTGATCACGCACACGTGTGAAGGCTCGCTCACCAATGTCGAGAATCTGAACAACCTCGAGAGAAAGACATAAATACCTCCTCCTTCCTCCCCCTTGGATTAGACTCATCCAGCATCCCAATCATCAACCTTCCCTTTCAAGTCTCATATCACAACTTCTTTTCCACCACATCCATCATCAAAATGGTTTCTTTCCGCAAGGTTTTCGTCGCTGCCATGGCCGCCGCGCCTGCACTCGCTGCGCTCTCCCCAGCCCAGGTCGTCTCCAACATCAAGATGCTCACCCAGAAGTCGCAGGCTCTGCAGGCTCCAGCTCAAAGCATCACCATCATTAATGGTCCTTTGATCATCATCGGCCAGGGCCCATTTCCCCAGCTCATCGCCGGATTCACCGACATTATCAGCACCGCAACCACTTCCATCGCGCAGATGCAAGGTGACGCTCCAGTCACCAAGGCTGCTGACGCCACTGCCATCTACGATGCTTTCCGTGAAGTATGCATACTTTCTGACATCTCCCAGTACGTTGCTGACTCTGCATTAGTTCGTTCGTGTTCACCAGGTCCTCCTCAACATCCTTATCGGAAAGGCTGGTCTCTTCCAAACTGTTCCTTTCATTGGCCAGCCGATTGCTGCGGTGCTTCGCCAGGTCGAGGGTGTCGTTGACGTACGTATCGCCTACTTTGATCAGTTCTGAGCGTGAAACTAATTGACCGCAGACTATCGCTTTCTCTCTCATTGACGGCGTCGAGAGCCGTGCCGCTGACCTTCAGGGTCAGGCCAACAGCCTTCACCAGACTATTGAGATTGCTATCAATTCTTATGATGGCCTGTCCCTGTCCAAGCGCGCCCCTGGACCCATCAGCCGTGTCAAGCGCGCCATGGTCGCTGCTGCTGCCTAAACTGGACGTGAGCTGGACGAGATTGAGACAACGTCGGGGAACGATTGGTCCTCTCACTCAAACAGAGCTCGCCTCCACCGCAGGAACTCTAGTGTGGCACACCTAAGATTGTCGGACGATCCAACGTCCAAGGAACATTTTCGTAATTATCGACAAGTATTTTGTACGTCAGTATCTAATAGTATTTATTACATACTCTGCCAAGCTATAGCCTACTGTTCGTCATCTCAAAGCTGGATGTTTGTAAATTTCCTATGTTCTTTTGTCCTTCGATCTTGAAAAGCAGCGTGGAAACGCATCTGCATAAGAACTTTAGCCATAACTCCCTCTTCAGCCGCGTTGAATGTCCTTGAGTTCTCCTGTCGTTGTTTGATCAAACCAACATTCCAATCGTAGAGCTTATCCGGGCACATGTTCGAATACCCTGGCTACACCGATAGCTCGAGAACGGTAGCTTTCCTACATGTAAGAGAACTCTTGCGCAGCCCGCGCTCTATTCTTCAGCATATTAGCAGCTTCCAGCAGAGCGGATCTGAGAGCGTTGACATGAAGTTGCGTCATATCACTTATGTCTCTTTGACAAATTCGGAGCCTGCACGTTCCAGCAACCTCTCTCCTCACTACATTACGAGACACTTCAGTACTTTATTATCTTTGTGCAGGTTATCAACCCAGATTTTCCCTACTCGTAATAAGTGACTGAGCGAAAGAAACGATGAACTTCATTAATGGCCCAACGAGCCGGCGAGTAGGTGTTACGGGTCAACTTCCTGTAAGAGAAGTAACTCGAGAGATTGTTCTACGTTTTAAATACTAGGTTAGGATTAGGGAGGGTTGTCTAGTTTTAAACGGAACGATGGTAACATAGGATTGCGATCATAATCGCAAGTATCGCATGCGCCATATCTTCGGACCTCTATCCTTAATTAAACGCGCCTCTAGTTATGGCTGCGATGCGTTGAATAGCCGATAGATGCAGCTTGTGTCGAACGCACCAATTATCTTTCGTTATTCATTAGGCAATACCTACTAATTATCCGAATAAAGCGTACTGATTCTTTATGAATATCAAACGAATTTATACTATACGAGCCCGATCAATCGAGAATTTGTATCTTAATCTCCGTAAGGGACAGGATCATAACGGGTAGAAACTGCCGCCGGAGCTGTACTATAAATACACTTCGGGCGTGTCGTACTGACTGTGAAAAAAATTCCCTCGGCTAGTCAACTCGTTATGTTCGCCAATCGCCTAGACGTCGTACTATCTATGTGTCGGAGTATTTAGCTCCAAGGCTCTTTACAAGCAGATTAACTTAGCATTCGCTATCCGTATTTGCTATTTCTGTTTTGTCCTCCGTCCGGTAGTATATACTAGGCGGGTGTACTAGATGCTCTGTCTGAAATCTCGACTGCTATCTCTAGACGTTGCCTTCTGTAGGCTTGCTTGGAAATGTTATCTATCGACTATCTTTATGTGTGCCCTTAACCGCCTAGAACATATCCGTACTCTTCTCCGTCTAGCTCTTTCTACCAAAGTGCTTTTTTGAAAAACCCGCTATTTCTATATACGAACAGCCGTAGAATTCGTTTCGGAAGGGTCCTATAGCAGCCGTCGTGGCTGCTCGGAGCCCTGGTGTAAAGATGATTTGTGCTTTCGGGATGTGCAGCCGAATAAAGCGCTAATGCTCGGTGGTTTCCCCAATAATTAAGCTCCGGTCTAGCCATAATCGATGAGGCATTCTAAGTTATTGGCGAAGAGAAAATCGCATATTAGGAAGGAATCACGGTCCCATCTTATGACTAGTACGTCTGAGACGAGATGTTTCCGAGGATTAGGATGTCCACCTGAACGCTGTGGCTTCTGTCGTCGAAGCTGATCCGGCTCGATTGCGTGTTCGCTATGCCGTGTAGTGCGTCGCACAGTCAAATCTGAATGCTTCTCGAGGTACGAGCGTGACCGGTGAGAAGCGCAAAGGTGAGGGATAAAGTTGTGAGGATTGTGTGGACTGCGCCTCATTACATGCCCAAACCCTACAAACACAAGAAAATAATATACGCCTACTTTAGGTTGCGGGGCCGCTCGAAGCAGGCCCGAGAGATGTAACGTCCGCTTGTGCTTGCTGACATCTCTTACGTAGTTATTTCAATGTTCCTTACTCTACAAATTGGCAAGGTCCAAAGGTAGCTCTGTAACCTTGAAGCTTCGTTTCCCTTTAGAAACGACGACAAAAGAAGATAGCCTCGGGACATGGTCATCCTTCTCTTCTGCGTATCGCGCTGGAGACTGCAGATTATTCAGACGGTTAGTTGTCATCCTCGGCCCATGTTCGAGTGTGGCGTGAGCTGTGAGCACAAGCGAGGACATACATAGATACATGCTTATTACGCCACCCCCTCTGTCCAATGACTGAAGGGGCTAACCTCCCAACCTCTAGAGCAGTGTAGGGTGGGATTCAATTGCGGACACATCCAAAGTCCTCTCGAGCCCTATCCACAAATTCCAGCTGTGATGGAGTCGATCACATATATTTACTAGCTACATTTGGTTCGGGTACGGACCCTAAGGGGGTCGATCACATGGGGTCGATCACATAGGGATGCCAATGTTTAATAATTTCCAGATGGGTACCCAAAAAAAGCGCAGATTTTGGCGATCAAACGGACATAGTTCTCGTAATTTTGCGACGTTGTTTGGTATGTCGTTGTCGGGGTTGGAAGTAACGCAAAAAAAAATGAAGTTTGCGCGGGAATTTGGGGTTGGCTAGGGTATACAGACACGCTCGCGTCGCGAATGTCACGACGCCGATAGCTGTCAGCGCGCATGCGAGGTGCATATAGTACAGCCATTTGGTACAACATCATGGAGCTATTTCAGAAATACTTCTTACATAACCAGGCTTGCCAGGTCATAATCTGTAAGCAGTGTCAATATGCCGTTAGCCCGGCCCATATTCAAGGCCATTTGCAAGAGAAACACAAGAGCACCACTGTTCGGCAACGAGTCGACATCGCAGCGTTTGTTCAGCGTCTGCCCCATGTCGCACAGACGCCCGACGAGGTTAAGTATCCCGATGCGAGTAGTCCGCCCATCGCCGGCATTCCCGTATATCCCAATGGACATCGATGCGTGTTCAACGTCGACGGCCGCGAATGCAATGTCACATACCGCGAACGCACGGGCATTCAGAAGCATTGCAAGGACCAGCATAATTATCAGAGTACCCGAGCAAAAGGCCGACCGGATTTCGATGCCGTCCACCGTCCACCATGGGAAACGAACCAACCATGCCAACGTTTGTTCCGTACAGGCAAATGGCAAAAGGTATTTCCCGTCCAGGTCGTGCCCCATGCCGGCCCAGCCGTAGACATCGATCATGCCGCCCAAGGCAAGGCATGGATGGCGAAGTTGTTTGCCGATTTTCAGCAGGCGCAGGAAGACGCCCGCACCGAACGGACGCGGTATGAGCCTAATCCATGGTTAGAACACACCGGATGGGAGCGTCATTTATCGAACGATCATCGACGATGGATCACCGAATGCGTCAAGGCCGAGCCTAATGTCGACAAAGTGCAGGCATGTTTAGAAGACGATGCCGCCCCATTCGCCCCCGAATCGGAGCAGGCGTTGTCGCGGGCGTGTGACGGTACCATAGTGTTGATCCGTCGTTCGTTCCAAGCCAGCCGGGTAGAGATCGTCGGACGACATGCGTTGCATTGCGTCAATCGCCGGGAGACCGGCGCCGACAACAACAACACGCCA